GGAATTCTAATGTTTGAGAATAAACTTCTCTGAATTGGTAGGAGCAGTGCAGATATTCAGACCTGTATTTTAACTGGCTGTGTTCCTCTATTACGAAACCTCGAAAAAGGGCTTTTAGGAGAATGCTTGCGTGTTCTGAGGTTGGCGAGCGTCATGTGGTCCCATTGGATCTCAACTCCACATGGCAAAGCACCACTAGTGCTCGATGAGAAGCCTTCCCCAACCAATGTAGGCCACGACCGCAGCGTCCTGCATCACCACCAGAACACCCAACCACTCGTCTCTGTCAGCGACAGCTCACCTGCGCCTCACGGAAATCAAACAATTCATCTTCGCTATTGGATCATTTTTGTTACCGAATTCGCAAATCTAGATTGCCCATTTACCCGTGCAACAGCAGCCTCACGTCTCTTGCAACACAAAGCAGCGCACTAGGCAGCACTCGTACCAGCCACAGCAGCAGCGAGCTGGTTGTATGAAGCAAGCCGCAGGTGGGAGTGAGTAGGCATTAGTTGAGTAAATGGCAGGAGAGTAAAGGGGAGAAAGCGCCCTGATCAGCGTAGGTCAGCCCACTGAGCAGCAGGCGTGCTGTTGCTGGTTGGTCTGGCTTCAGCGATGAACAACCTTCCTGCACACGTTGCGTGAGCAAGCCACGCTCACAAAAGCTGAAGAATTTCTCCCGTTCTCCAGATAACTGACGAGGTATCTTCGCGTGCGTTCCGTCACGCTTCTGCAGTTTCTTCTTTTCAAATGATGCACTGAATCGAGACAAAATTGAAGGGGGCTGACGGTTCGCAGCGAGACTGTATTCAAGAGACACAGAAGGGAAGGATGGAAGTGATAGGGAGGGTAGAGGACGCAGCGGCTTATGAGCCAGATGTAGAAGGAATGCCCGAAATGGAGGGAGGATACCTGCTCGTCAAGGCACCAATGCACCCTTCCCTCCGGTTTGAACATCCTCCCATGGTTACCACCTTTTCGCCGGAATTTATCACATTGCCTGTCGATCTGTGCCTGACGAAGCAGTCCGCCGATTGGAAGCCAAACGAGTCCCCGCCGCCGACCGCGCCGCTATCACCGCCGCGATCACCGCCGACGTCATCTCACGTGCTGTCGCTGTCGCTATCACCGAGCGTTGACGGCATTGCGTGTCCACCCAAAGGGGAAGCCGTTATCGACATTTCAGGCGCATTCGAAAGAACCCTTGCTGCAGATGAATCGTTGCGCGCGCTGACCACGGCGGAACTCATGTGCGCGCTGCAGCTGGCGCAGACCCGCGCAAGAACGGCGGAAGAGTCTCTGCGCGCGTTGGAGCAAGCGGTACAGGCTGCGCGTGAGAGAGAAGCGGGACACGCGCGGAAAGCGGTTGAACCGCGGGAAGCGCGGTCGCGGGAAGCGGGGGAAGCGGGGGAAGCGGAGACTAGCGCAGATGACAGGCGCCAGCCTGTGTTGTACGAACCCGTAATCCAAAAACCTGTAATCCAGGGTTGGAAAGAGGCGGTTGGGGAGCTCGATGGAAAGGCAGCAGAATGCAACCGCAGTGACAAAAACAGGGACAGGGTCAGTAACGCAGCCTCAAGTCTTCAGAGGGGAGATGCACACAGCACTGTCTGCGTGGAGGAGGTGTGTGACAATAATAGAAGTGACAACATCAGCAGAGACAATGTAGGGAGCGGTTTAAGAGGTGGTGGCTGGTCTCTCAATCTCTGCCGAGCAGAGCTCCCAGGGACGTACTCCAGACCAGATTCCGAACCTGGGTCCGAACCTGATTCCGAACCATTCTTTGGATTGAGTTCTACACACAATCGGCGTCTTCAACAGGCGCTGCTTTTATCCGGCGCTGGTTCGGACGGTGAATCAGCAGCTTCGGCAGAGGCCCTAGGTGCGGAGAGAACCTCAACAACTGTCGTCTGCAGTGGCGAAAGAGAGGGTGGCAGATTTTGTCTTCATGGCACCGGTCGGTGGCCTGCTGACGTGGACGAACTGCGGGAGGGTCTGAGAAAGGCAGAGGAGCTTGCCACGTGGCAGGAGGGAGGGGATGCGGGAGTGTGGCAGGTCCGTGGTGAAAAGCCAGAGGAGCCATGGAAGGGACTGGTTCGCAGGGCAGAGGACGTTGCTGCTGCAGCTGCTATCCACTTGCCTCCTCGTGCTTCCATGCGCCCCACACCTCCTGCATTTTCTAATGCTGCGCCTCGTTCCTACGCACCCCATTCCTTGCTTTCTCCACAGCTCCTGTTCCCTCTGGCTGCTCCTCCCTCGCCTTCCAGCTATCTGACAGCCCATGTTCGCCCAGACACTCCCTGCCTCCCATGTTCACCCATGCTGGGTCATATGTACAGCGCCGCTCCTCCTGCTCTCTCTCCTCCCTCTCCTCCCTCTGCTCCTTCTGCTCCTTCTGCCCCAGCTGATTCTTCTGCGACGGCTATACCACCAACTCGTTATGCACTCACCGAGGAATTGTTTGCACAGAAATCAACAGTTCAAGGCCCTGCTAATTTCGATTCCTCTGCCCTATCGTCTTCCAGCGCATCGCACGTTTTCCACTCCTCACTCATTGACCCGTCTGTCTCAGCTCCATCACCTTTCTCCTCAGTTTCCTCCGGTTCACTTCCATTTTCAGCATTCACCACTCGCACTTCTTTTTCAGAATCCTCCACTTCCACTCGCATTCCCCTGGCAACGTCCTCTCAAGCACGCAGCTTCTCCACCTCTAGTCTCATTCCATGTCACGCACGCATGTCAGTCCAGCACCACAAACAACAACCGCCTTCTGAACCGCCTCAAATGTACTCTCAAGCACCCACCGCTTCAAGCTCCAAACTCATTCATCCTCTTCTACCCCACTTACGTCCATCAAACCAGCAGCATCTACAACGTTCGCACCTGGGATCGGCTGTGTCATACAAGCATGTGGAACCCTCACTCTCTGCTCCTTATACTCGTTACAAGAAAGCTGCCCATGGTTCATGCACCAGACAACGCCCCTCGCTTGTATCGAACCTGGTTGGTGCGCTAACCCGCTTTGTTCGCCGATCCCTAGTCCTTCCCCGGCTCCTCATGAGGATTCACCAATCATTTCTCGTTCCCCACATTCTAGGGTTTATCTTCGACCAGCTATACACCCGGAGATCATGTGGACTTGTGGAGCCCTTATGTGAGCCTCGGCAAAATGTCACAGGTGAAGTTAGGGAGTTTTCTACTTCAGCAAATTGTAGAGAGGGAAATGGACATTACCCTACGGACAATGACGATGTGGAGGTATTAGGGGATGGAGATTCTTGGTCAATAGCATGGCTTGTTCAAGTGGTACTTGCCATGGAAGAGGGTGGTTAGATGTGAAGATCGTTGTTTAGAAACAACCTCTGACGCCGTCATGTGTAGATGCCTTGAAATTGAGTGTGCGTCTGTGTCACACCAATTAGCTCCATTCCACACCACCTTTCTTTCCTGTATGGATCAATGGACTGGACATGTACGGCATTCCAACATTACGACAGCAGCGAAGAGTATCACAACGAGTCATCCGACCGTCGCAAACGGTCGTTCATACTCAGCTGAACCTCAGCTGAGTGCCCGACGTCGTCGACGACGTTCCAAACGAGCTCTTTTTATTGGGTGTCTAGTGATCGTAAGCGGTCGCAAGACCGTCACCTGACGGACGACGTTTTTACAAGCCGCGCATGAGCGCACCGACCAATCAACTCATAAGTACCGAAGCGCACAATACCTTGGCGAATTTGCAAATTTGCAGCCCCACTAATGGGATGTGATACATTCCAGCATGGTTCGCACCTTCGCAGGGCGGATTCGTGAATTCGCAACTGTATGGTCGCATGCTCGCAACGGGGAATTTTCTCGCGCGTTCGCCACATGGTTTCTCGTACTTGTGCTTTCACACGGCTATCACCATGATAGCCCCAGCCTTGCTTCGACTTGTACAATTCACAGCCACACAGTGCGCCTGTCACCTGACAAATAACTTGCACTCTTTCACTTGACAAGCAGATGGCTGGATTACTCTCAGGGCGACGATTGCTTTAGTTTGGGGCAAGCACGGAGGCGAGACGTAAGGTAGGGTAGTAGTAGGGACGTGCAAAGTCGCCGTTACGGCAGCACCCTTGTCCGTCGTTTCGGCGATACCACGGCACAGTAGTTCATCCGCTACCAGCACCTAGTAGGCGTGCGCCGGGATGGGGCGCCTCGGGTCAGCTGACTGCGGCTGTGCCAGCCGCGAATCCTGCGAACCCTGCGATGCATGCGATTCCTGCGAAGCACGTGAAGCCTGCGTCACGCTACACAAGATTCGATCATGCGAACCTGTACTACCAAGGACTATCACCAGACCGCACGAGCAGATAATATTTATTCCACCCTGGCGTGGTGGACTCCGTTTAGCGACGCCTGAACTCTGGCCTTGTTTATTTCCGGAGCGTAACTGCTGCTGAAACTAGCACTGCTAGAGCTAGTAGTACTGCAACGAGCCAGCAGCGCCGCTCTGAGAACGATTCAGGGTGCAGAACAGGAGAGTAGTACCTGCTGTTGCGCGGTCTGCTTCCCGATTGTAGGAGCCTCGATTCCGGTAATGGGGGACGTGACTACCTGCTTTTGCAAGGTTGCATTCTCTGTAGCTAGTCTTCTTACGGTCTGGTGTTCGTCGTTCCGAGGAGCTATGATTTGCACCATCGTTTCACAGTAATTTCCTCGCTGGTCGTTCCGCGGTACTTTCGCTGTGATTTTGTGCTCCGAGCACCAAAAATCGTGTCTAGAGCACCGCACTCCACCGCCAAGCTATCAAACCGCACGGCTGCTCTCAGAGAAAGTAAAACTGATTCGCACAACCGAGCGAGGTAAAAAAGGAGGCAAAGCGCTTATCTGGCGCGCGAGGCCAAACGTGCGAGGCGAACGCTGGGTGAAAGCGGCAAAATCACGGTGAGCGCGAAGGGAACATCGGCGAACGAGAGGCGAACTTCGGCGAACGCGAGGCGAAGCGCGGTGCCGTCATGGTGAAGATAGGCGGCGCGCGATTGGAGGACGTGTCGCCGTTCTTCCATCTGCCGATTGAGGAGGCGGCGCGCGAGCTAGGCGTGTGCTCCAGCGCGCTCAAGCGGCGATGCCGGCGATTGGGCATCAAGCGATGGCCGTTCCGCAAGGTAGGTGCCACCTCATACCTGCGGCATGAGACAAGGGAGACAATCTCTCCCTTGCCTTATGCCGCAGGATTCTGCTGAACACGAGTGATTGTCTTAAGGGAGAGAAAGACAGAAAAGAATAAACTCCTCTTTTTTTTTAAGAGGGGGGGTTCTATTACTGTCCGCCCTGTGCTGTGCCTTACCTGTACTCTCCGCCATCCCGCTACAGGTGCGCAGCATGAGCAACTCACTATCGCGTACGATGGAGGGCATGTGCAACGTGGGCGCGGGCGGGATTGTGCCGCCGGAATACCTCCAACCGGACGCCGCCACGCGTCTCGCAGCGCAGGTGGCCGCAGCGAATCTAATCAACCTTGACCAGACGCGCCGCCCGCTTCTGCCACCCATGAATCGCCCGCTCATGGGCGCGCGGGGGGCGGCGGGAGCAGCAGCCGCCGTGGCGGGGGGAGACGCTGTGGGGGGCGCGGGGGGGATGGTTGCGCAGATGGGGGGAAGCGCGGGAGGTGGTGGCGGAAGCGGAGGGGGGGATGGGGCAAACGGGGAAGGCGATGAGAATCAAGAAGCGCGAGCAATCGTGCTTCGTATGGGTGACTCTCCTGTACTCGCTTGGGAGTCACCTGATAAGTGTGACGAGCAGGGCTCGTGGGAAGGCGGAGGAGGGGGGATGGAGGGCGGCTTTCGAGGCGCCGAGTCTGCTATGCTTCAGGGCGCCGTGGGGGAAGGAGGTACGTTGATCTGCGAACTGTTGGGCGCCTCAACAAACAAACAAAAAACGTTTCAAGGGAAGGTTGCGCCCGTATACCTCTTCTCATTATCTTCTTTAGTAATATTCTTGCCAGTTTCCTCTCTTTTCCATTCATTCTATGCCTCCCATCCCTCCCAATTCGCCCGCTCTCCTCAACATCCAGGCCCGTCCCTCATGCTGTCAGTGATTCGCCTCGCCCGCTGCCGCCCGCAGAGCAGAGGCCGAGACAGAGGCAGCACCAGGGTATGACAGCATACACACGTGCTCACTCACCAACCCCTCCTCTTTTCACCGCCCACCCCAACTCCCTCGCCCTCCCCAACCAGGTCCGTCCCTCATGCTGTCAGTGATTCGCCACGCCGCCGCCAGCAGAGCTGAAGCGGGCAAGCAGGCACCACCCGGTTATGACAGAACACCCAGCTTCTGAGTCGACTCACCAGTCCCGATCCATCCCATCCCTTCCGTCCGTCCCTCCCATGCCATGTATCCCTCTCACAGGCCCGTCCCTCATGCTGTCCGTGATTCGCCATGCCGCCGCCAGCAGAGCAGAAGCGGACAAGGAGGCACCACCCGGTTACGACAGCACACACGCCCTTCTCCTTTCCAACCCCTCCCCCTTCCTCCTCCCACACCACCCAACCCACCATACCCAACCAGCCCACCCTACCCACCCAGCCATCCTACCCCACCCATCTCAACTCCCTCATCACCCTCCACAACCGCTTCAAGTCCCTTCCTCCTTCCCTCCCATGCTGACTCCTAATCCATTTTCCACCAGCCATACTGCCCCCACTGCCACCACCACCGCTCCTTCCTTCCCTCCTCCTTTCCCCGCTCCTCTCTCACTTCCCTCTTCTCTCCCTCCTTCCTCTCTCCCACCTCCCCCTGCTGCTCCCATCTCATTCCCACCACCCCCCTCCTCTCTCCCCCCTCTCCGCTCCTCCTCCTCCTTGGAACCACCGAGTCGCCTCCTCCATATAGACCACTCGCGATTGGTGCTGCCGCCTCCCTGTGCTGACGTCAAGCCCTCTGCTGGTGACGTCATCCGTGCGCCGCTGTCAGCAACTGCTGACGTCAGCTTGCCATCCTTCCAGCCGCTTTCCCTCCCGAAACTGACGGCTTGGTCCAAACCTCCCAGTACGCCTGGGAGGCTGCTGTCAAACGGCCAAACCAGCGGGCCCTTAAACACCCCACTCCACCACCCCATCAATAACCCATCACATACACCCATGTGTCAAATCTCTACACCCGCCAACCCCGCTTCTACAGTGTCAGTTCCCATATCTACACCCGTTATTTCATTTCCCGCAACTACACCCATGATGCACAGTGGATCTACACCCAGCGGAGCTTTATCCACAGTAACGGAGCCACTTATAACGGGGAATCCTCCACCTCTCACTCTCCCATCACCCCCACTGCCCCTCAGCCACCCACCATTCACCCTTAGAAACCCAGCTGAATCCACGTCAGCCATTGCCACATCAGCAGTTGACACGTCAATGGCCGTAGCAACAGAGGCAGGAGGGATAGGTGGACTTGAGGGTTCAGACCCCCAACTTCAGTCACAGCAGCAGTCTCAGCAGGAAATTCAGCAGCAATTGCAACAGCAGCCGCCGATGCAGCCGCAGCAGCAGCCGTTACAGCACCAGCAACAGTTTGCTCCGGAGCAGCAGCAGCAGCACCACCACCACCACCACGACCAACCAGTAATGTATCAACCATACGAGCATGGGGACGGACATAGGTATGGAGAGAAGCATGAACAGAGTCACCAGTACCAGCAACACGGCCAGCCACAGCACCATCCGTATCAGCATCATCCGTATCAGCAGCATCAGCAGCATTATCACCACCACCAGGAACAGCAGCAGCAGCAACAGCAGCAGCAACAGCATCAGCAGCAATGGGAAAGCATGCCTCCGTCACACTCTGAGTCACATCACGGGCAGGATGAAGATTTCGAGCTGCCCGAGCCAGTCTTCCTGGATGGGTTTCACCTCCAGGAGATTGTTCTGGATAATGGGAGCTACTTCTTCACGCCTCCACGTGAAACACCCTTTACTCATTACAAGCTGTCTCCTTTCAAATCCATAATGAGCAATAGCAACACTGCACAAAATGAGAAGAGTGGTTGTGAGCCTATGGATACTGATTTATCCACTGCAATTGCAGCTGCTTCTACCGAGGATGTGCGCATGCAGGAAGTGCTTATAACAGGAGTGGATACGCTGCAGGGAGAGCTTGAACATGCTACTAACGCGGATGGAGTGTACCACGCAGGTCAACATGCTGGTTCGTTTGAGTCGGTGGGGCATGTAGCAGATAGGAAGGAAGGAGAGGACGGGAAGGAGGCCAAACGGAGCAAAGGAGAGACAGTGAGGGATTTAGAGGTGGTGGGTGGAGGGGTTGCAGTGGCAGTGGCCGAGGGAGGGGAGGAGGAAGAGGTGGATAACGCTGCAATACAAGGTACAGCGGTACAAGGTTCTACAATACAAGGTGGTACAGCGGGTGGCAACTGTGGAAGAGGAAAAGGCGGAGGCGATGTGACTACAGCGAATGTGACTGGGGGAGCCGCGACGCGGAAAATGACAGAGACAGACCTCTTGAAAAGCGAGCTGGAAAAAGAGATTCCAACGGATAGCACGCTGAAGGGAGGGCCTCTACTGGATGGCACGCTGAAAAAGGAGTCTCCAACGAATAGCACGCTGAAAAGAGCATACAGCTGCTTTGCATTCCACTCCGACTCGCCCGCGCGGGCCAATCAGGACGCTGCCTGGTGCCACCACCACCATGGGGGGAATTCGTCTCCTGGTGCTCATGGGATGAACCCGCTTCATGCTTATGGGACAAACCCGCTTCAGGGTGTGTTCGAGGATTTTCCAACACACCCAGAGCCTGGGTTGTCACCTGAAACTCGCCGCTTCCTGCAAAGCCTGGGGCTTCTTGGCAGCCCGAAGCTCCACAGCCCCGTGGCTAGAGGTTCGGGGATCCGCAGCCCGAACCTGATGGCGTCCAGGCTTGGGAGTCCAGGGTTCACTGTGCTGAATTTGGGAGGCTCCGGGAGCAGCAGCCCGAACCTGATGGGGGCGAGGCTGATCAGCCCGGGACTGAGGTCCAGGCTCGAGAGCCCAGCCAGAGAGAGGAGGTTCAACAGTCCGCCGACCCTGCGACACGCAAACCTGCACAGCCCGACCCTTAGGTCCAGGTTCAGCAGCCCTCTCAGGTTCGGCGGGGCACGCGGGTTGCAAGGGCGCAGCAAATGCCGGAGATCAATGGAAGCCCCTCATAAGGGCAATATTGGCAGCCCCGGTCAAGGCCTCGATGGGGTGTTTCGCAGTTCCATTGAACCCCCTCATAGAGGACAAACTAGTCCGTTGCACCTTGTGCTGCCCTCATCAGCCCTTCTTGACTCCAGGAGCAGCCGAGAGACACAAGGGGGGGACGATGTGGTAGGGGGGAAAGCTTTAGGGAAGAAAATGGCAGGGGAGGAGGGAGAGGCAGGGAAGGGAGGAGCAGGGGAGAAAGTGGCAGAGGAGGAGGGAGAGGCAGGGGAGAAAGGAGCAGATCATGGCAGCAGCAAGGGCCCGAAAAATGGCAGCAGCAGGCACATGTCCCCCACTGGAACCACCACGAGCCCGAGTCAGGCACGGTGTGGGAACCCGAGTCAGGCACGGTGTGGAAGCCCGAGTGAGGGACCAAAGCAATCCCAAAGCCGGAGTGAGAGCCCAACGTTGTTGCTGCCAGCCTCGTCCTTTTGGATGCACAGCCCGTCTCACCTTCCCCATCTCCGCAGCCCTGTAAAGGGTGCTGCTGCTGCTGCTGCTGCTGCTGCTGCCGGGATTCACCGTGCTGGGGTGCATTGCTCTACACAGCTGCATGCGCGAACCAGCCCTGGCAGGCTTTCGGGAATCGCTGGGATTCAGAGCCCTTCAAGGCTTCTGGGCTTCCACAGTCCTTCCCAGCTCGTGAGGTTCCACAGCCCGGGTCTGTTGGCAAGAAGCCCGTCCAGGTTCGGAGCATTCTACACCCACATGCACAGCCCTGGGATTGGAGGGGTCCACAGCCCTGGTGTGATTGGTGCGTTTCACAGTCCGTCCAGGCTCGGCAGCACTGTACATAGCCACATGAGCCACAGCCCTCGGAAAGGGCCAGCTCAAATTCCGAACCTCCCGTCTAGGCTCGGTAGCACTGTACATGCCCAGGTGACACACCACAATTTGTCTGGCACGGGGACGGTTCATCATAGTCCTTCGAGATTCGGCAGGATAGTACATACGGGAACTAGCCCATGTAGGATGGGTGGTTTGCAACAGAGCCCGTCAAGATTTGGTAAGGAGAGCAGGGCGCATGCAGGTGTGCTGTTTCGGCGGGAGAAAGGCGGACGTGGTGGGGAGAGTGAGTTGTTTTCAGGGATGGAGCCCATGTGCTTGGATGGCAGCACAGGAAGTGAAGGTGGTACAGGAGATGATGGCAAAATAAGAAACGAAGGCTGTACAGGAGGTGGTGCTTGTACACGAAGTGATGCTTGTTTGGGAGGGGATGGGAAGACAGGAGGCGAGGGTACTACAGAAGATCATGGCTGCGATGGAGGTGGTGGAAACACACGGGGCAATGATGGCACTGGAGGACGTTGTGGCGAAAGGAATGGCAGTGGCCAGTTTGGGTCAGACTGTGCTCCCAGTACCGACAAAACTGTGACTGCGGTTGGAGGAGGTGGTGATGGGTTACATGGAAATGGTGGTGAGTCTGCCCATGACACTGCTGGTGCTGTTGGAGCCATTGCAAATGGCACAGAGGAAGATGTTTTCATACCAGATGCTCCGTGAATCCCTAGACATTAGAGCGCCATAAACGTTAGGGCAGTGTTGTCACGTCGATTGAATATGATTCCTGTATTTTGCAAATAAATAGTATTTTTACTCCGGAATTGAGGTTGACCACTTCCTTGCTGCCATAATACCGTATGCACAGTCTTCCGCGATCCAGTAAACATGGAGAATCTCCAGAAATGGGAGATGAACTTAAATGGATAAACGGAATGCAATCTGATGCTTTCAACTGCACAAATGTCGGCCTGCACAGGTAGAAACGGGCAAGTTTCAACCCCTTTCGAAAGAAGTTTGAAAATGAATACATCCCGAAGTACGGAATGCATTAACTGGTGAATGAATCAACCCACCAAAATACTTCAGGATCCAATAGACCTCTCAGGGTCCGTCGAGAATGGCCTTCTCCACATCCTCTCTGCTAAAAGAATAGCTGAATTTCCGTTCAATGTCTCTGCTCAGTTTGCCAGGACCGCTCTTCAAGTACCTGGCGATGACAGCAGGCCATGATGGAAAAGAAAATGAAAAGAATCAGGATAAAAACGGAGAGGTTACTACACGAATAATGAATGAAAGGTAGTGAAGGCTTGAGAATACGAAATGAGAACTACGGAGGGCTAGGAGAGGAATGCAGAAACCCGACTGGATTAGGACGGTCAGCAGAACGAATTGCCAGCTCTCTAATCAAGCCAAAGTCAGTCAATTGAAATAATAAGCAAGCTAGCTAATACAAATCTTCCGCCGATCATTGCCTATCCTTATTATAACCCTGGTTGTTCCAAACATAAAGAAACCGCCTTTCACACTCGAATTTTCGTTGTGAACGACTCGAATTTGCATTGTTTTTGCACATAAACCACAGGAAAGGCACTCACCTCACAACCACATCTGTTACATCCGTCACCAGCTCCGCATGCCAGTCGCTCCGCTCAAGACGCCAGAGCTCAGGCTTCGCGGCCGATTGTTGAAACCCTAAAGATCGGAGCCAGGCCTCGATCGACGGTAAGCTGCATGCGTACAACGCGGATGATTTGTCCGGAAGCTTCGCCAGCCAATCATCGTCCGTGAACAAGGAAAAATCGTCTGGGACGACTGCAGCAACGACGATTTTCGTACGGCTGTTCTGTAATCTCGATCCCGGGAATGCTCTGCGCTGGCTGTGCTTCCGCGAAAATGCGAGAGACTGAAGTCGAGGAAGAGGAGAAGCAAGTACAACGCACACGTGAGCTCCCGAATTCGACGCGTAAGAATCCTTCGAGGAAATTAAACGGGCTGGAATTGGTCGTGTTGAAGATAGAAACGCGACTTCCGCCATGGCCACCTGCTACACAATTGTTGAAGGCTGTGCTGACCTCACCTTCGTCCTGTGTCTTTGGGGGGGTCATACCTTTTCCGGCTCGTCTGACGCGGTTCAGTACGGTAAATAATTTTTGGACGCGGTTTTCATCTCTTACCATTGAGCACCAGCATAAAACTTTCAAAATGAACCCCCCACCCAAAAAAAGACTACAGAAACAACTTTCCCTAACTTCGCGTCGCACTACATACCACGTACAACGCTGTTTCCCGCCAAGCACCCGAACAGTATCCCGTTACCACTGTTAGAATCCCAGCTACTAACTACTCGGATAAAAGAGCTTGTTTGTGTAGCGGGTGAGTGCGCCCATAACCCCCCAGGCCGACGTGCCTGTAACCCTTCCCTAGGATCAATCGGGGATCTCCAATGGACCTCTGACAACCACTTCGCAACATTAGCCTCAGGACGCGGTAAAAGTGAAAATATCGCAGGATTGTCTGCAAATATCGAGCCCCACAATCGAGTGGGCAGATCGATTGGCGAAACGTGGCGACCGCGACGTTGTAACGATCGCACCTGAGAATTGACAGATCTCCTGCGATCAATGATCATTCGCACTCACATACTGTACAGAAATTTTGGCCAAATATCGTACTGTACATGGTTACAGTGTAGTTAATAGGGTAACCAATCCGCACATTGATCGCGACTGGCAATCGATCGTCTACTCCTACCGCGTCCTTAACAGTGTTCCCTTGATGGCGACCATCGCGCCCAAACCATCCAGCTTAGCTGGTAACCTACGGTCCGACTGTTAGAATCAGGATCTCTTAGATACGATATGTCTGCTAGAGTGTAGGTAGCGGAAGTTGTCAGAATGTTATAATTGTCTAGTCTGCAGTGGGGTACTCTATAGTGAGTACAACCCAAATTAGGGTTTGCTATATGTATCCTATCTGCTGCTAGTGCAATCCCTCATTCCTGTTTCTAACTTTGTTAGCGTTTCTCGACATGCTATCAGAGCGAGAACGCTCCTGGCCTGTGGGCCCACCTGCTTCCGCCCTACCTGTCGCGCGCCTCAGGCGCGCGACGTCTTCTGCCTGCCGCGCGCCCTGCGCGCGTGGCGAGCGCGCGGCGGTTTTCTGCCCGCCACGCGCTCGGGGCGCGTGGCGGTTTCCTGGGTGGCGCTCGCGGCACCCTGGGAGCGCGCGCGCCGCCCTGCCTGTCGCTCGTCGCGGCGCCCTGGGGGCCCGCGCGTCGCCCTCTCCCGTCGCCCGTCATGGCACCCTTGGGGCCAGCGCGCCGCCCTGCCCGTCGCCCGTTGCAGCGCCCTAGGGACCCGCGCGCTGCCCCGCTTCCGCTCGCACGCGTATCTACCCCGCGCCGCACGCGCGCCTCCTGCGTTGGGGGTATGGGGGTGGCGGGTATGGGGGTGGCGGGTGTGTGTGCCGTCCCCTCCTCCTCCTCCTCCTCCTCCTCCTCCTCCTCCTCCTCCTCCTCCTCCTCCTCCTCCTCCTCTGTCTCCCACTGCTACAGCAGTCGCTGAGGGGGGTGGATGTGTGGGAGCCGAGGGAGTGGCGCTAGGGGGGTGCCGTGGGAGTGGAGCTAGGGGTGCATAGGGGGGTGTGTGAAAGGGGGTCTGCGACAGTGGGGGAGGGTTGAACGGAGGTAGCCGTTGTGGAGCCAGCAGCGCCAGTAGTCCGGGAAGGTCGTGTCCTTGCTCCGGTAGCCAGCGAGCCCGTTGCGCCAGTTGCCCGTGGGTCCGTTGCTCCAGCCGCTCGCTGTAGCCGCGGAGCAAGTTACTCCAGTAGTCCGGGAAGGTTGTGCCCTTGCTCTGGTAGCCAGCGTGCCAATTGCTCCAGTAGCCCGTGTGCCAGCAGCTTCAGCCGCCGCCTCCAATCTTCTCTCCTCTCACAGTCCATCCTCCTCCTCACTTGCCCTCTGTGACTGCCTCTAGCTCTGCTTGTGTTTGTGAACTTCTCATGCGACTGTTTGCTGTGCTGAAATAATACCCCACTTTGCCTATGGGGGTGTGTCAGAATGTTATAATTGTCTAGTCTGCACTCGGGTACTCTATAGTGAGTAACCCAAATCAGGGTTTGCTATATGTCTAGTTACATAAACATTTACTGGCCGATATCAAACATACTCATCACTGGTGGCAAGTCGCAGCTGTTCGCAGAGGCACGAGTAGTGTATTACGTAAAGCTAGCACCAACCGCATATGGGTACGTGAAAAAAACACGACAGCAACTACATTGGTACTATTACTGGCCAGAACTGTTGACCCACATACGGAGGCACGTGCCCCTCATGCCCCACAGCGTGCTTGGTAGTAGGTGACGATGGACTTCGTGATGAGGCTACCGGCTGGGAGCAAGTCGCGGCAACGCGACCCTCATGGTCGTTGACCAGTTGTCGAATATGGCGCACTTCGCCGCGTGCAAAAAAACAATATCAGTAGAAGAAACAACTCGGGTCTTCATTTGACCGTTGTTCACCTGCACGGGATCTCCGCTGCGATCATCAACGACGGCGAAACGAATTCACCACCAACTTTTAGATTAACCTGTGGCAGTAGTTCGGCACCCGACAACAGTTCAGTTCATCTTACCACCCCGAAATTGACAGACAAACGCACAAACTGGCCGCATGCAACGACCCGACAATATGGGAAGAACAGCTGCCTCTCATCGTGTTCGCGTAGAACAACTCACCGTCATCCACCACCTAACAGTCACCATTCTACCTCTACCACTGACATTTTCCGACAGTACCCATGACGCCAAACCCCGACAACCCCCGTCCCTCGCACACTACAGTTCGCCGAAATACTACAGGCAGCCTGGACCCCAGCAGCATACGCAATAACAAAAAAAATAATATCATCGCTAAGCGTAACGCCGACCATCACTGCCGCGTCGTCACATACCAACTAGACGACCTGATACTACGATACTCTGAACCTCCGTCTGGCCGTCACTCCGAAACCACGACCAAGATATTACAGGCCATTTTGAATCAGCCACATGATAGTTCCCGTAACCTCTCACCTCCTCCTGCATACTAGCCATCAAGCAACTGGCCATCAAGCATGGCGCAACCACCCAACGAGCCAATCATGACGTCCGATAAAATTCTTAGCCACCGAGTGCGCGACTTATATAGAGCCTGACGAATTGAGTTTTTAATACGCTGGAACGACTGCACATCGACCGAAGACAGCTGGATCCCTTTGGGTAAATTTGAAAGTCACCCCGTCCTCACCGAGTATCTGTGCAAAAACCATCTTCCGCGACATCCACGCGCTTTAGTTAAGGCCTCATTTCGTAAATAACTTCTCATTACTTCGCACCATACTGCATACCGCGTATAACATTAGTCCCACCAAAGCATCCGAATAGTATTACATTACCACTTCGCAATATTCGACTCGGTATTCCCACCATTATGACTACCACACCCAAACCACCAAGCTCGGATGGTAACCCCGCGACCCTGCCATACGTCTCGACATTTCCCAACCTTGGCGCTAGGCTCGTTAGGCATCCCTTCACGAGCATGTGACATTTACCATTCCATTGGTCCTATTTAACAATTCGTCGATACCTTTGTTCAGTGTACTTTTTGCCTCAAAAGTGCAATTTTTATTTATTCACTCAATTGCACTCGTAACAAAGACCATACATATAACCAATAGTAAATGATATCTATATATTTGTCAGAATGTTATTATTGTCTAGCCTATAGTGGGGTGCTCTATAGCGAGTACAACCCAGTTAGGGTTTGCTATATGTACCCCAACTGCTGCTAGTGAAAACCCTCTCCTAGTTCATTCATTCTTGCCTAGTTACTTTGATATGGTATCAGAGCAGGACGATCCAGATGGGTCGATCCTGTGGGTGGGCCCCACCACCTGCTTCCGCTGCTCCTACTACTCTTTGTGTCGCACGCCCCGTGGCGTGCGACGGATTTTTCATCCCGCCGCGCGCTCGGGGCGTGCGGCGGTTTTCTCCCCGCCGTGCGCCCCGAGGCGCGCGGCGGTTTCCTACCGTGGGGAGCCGCGCGCGACCCCCCGCGGCCCCGATTTCCCGTCGTGCCGCCCTGGGGAGCCGCACGCGACCCCCCGCGGCCCCGATTTCCCGTCGCGCCGCCCTGGGGAGCCGCGCGCGACCCCCCGCGGCCCCGATTTCCCGTCGTGCCGCCCTGGGGAGCCGCACGCGACCCCCCGCGGCCCCGTTTTCCCGTCGTACCGCCCTGGGGAGCCGCGCACGACCCCCCCCGCGGCCCCGATTTCCCGTCGTGCCGCCCTGGGGAGCCGCGCGCGACCCCCCCGCGGCCCCGATTTCCCGTCGCGCCGCCCTGGGGAGCCGCGCGCGGCCCCTCGCTGCCCCGTGGTGGCGTCCTGGGGGCCGAGCGCCGTCCCCCTCGCCGTCCCCCGCGCTCCTTCCCCCGTTCCGCCCGTTTTTAGGGTTTGGGGGTGAGGAGTGTGGGGGTGGCAGCTATGGGGGTGCCGTGTGTGTGCGCCGTCCCCTGCTCCTCCTCCTCCTCCGTCTCCCACTGCTGCAGCTGCCGCTGAGGGGGGTGGATGTGTGGGAGCCGAGGGTTTAGGGTTTAAGGGGGGTGTCGTGGAAGTGGAGCTAGGGTGTCAGCAGGGGGTGTGTGAGAGGGGCGTGGGACGGTCGGGGGAGGTTGCGTGGAGGTAGCCGTCGTGACGCCAGCAGCGCCAGTAGTCCGGATGCCCTCGCGCGTTTCGGTAGCCCAGCGAGCCTACGTCGCCAGTCGCCTGTGGGTCCGTTGCTCCTGTGTGTGCTCGTCGTAGCCGCGGAGCCAGATACTCCCGTAGTCCGGTGCCCTCGTGCGCTCGGTAGCCACTGTGCGCGCCGCTCCTGTTGCCCGTGTGTCTGCAGCTTCAGTCGGCGCCTTTCATCTTCTCGCCCTCACAGTTTCTCCTCCTCCTCACTTGCCCTCTATGATCACCTCTAGCTTTGCTTATAATTGTGAACTACTGCTATGCCTGCTCATTGTACTAATTACACCCCACTTTGGCTATGGGGGTGTGTCAGAATGTTATTATTGTCTAGCCTGTAGTGGGGTGCTCTATAGCGAGTACAACCCAGTTAGGGTTTGCTATATGTACCCCAACTGCTGCTAGTGAAAACCCTCTCCTAGTTCATTCATTCTTGCCTAGTTACTTTGATAATATTTTCACGTAAAATGGTCGTAATTTCTGGTTTATCTGTGATTGGGGTTATGAAGGAGAATCACAATTTTACTGTGGGTGATGTTTCGAAAACCTAATATGAGCAGAAGGCCGTTTCGAGGTTTGAAACAATTAAAAAACCGACTCGCGTAAGTGGACAATGTGTTAGACACCGCTGGTTTCGTATTTGCGACATCGAGCGTGAGAGCCTCATTCATAGCCTCTAGATTCTGGGTGTCGGACTGATTAAGCAGGAAATGGATAGGGGTATCTTCAAAAATTGTTCAGGGACATAAAAATACCAGTGGCTAGGTGTAAACACGGGTATTAATTTTCGGTGGAAGTGGTGCTTTCGAACCTGCGCTTTCTAGGGACCTTCACCTCTACCTGCACACAGTCTCCCAGGTGTCGCGGCCCATGCAGAAGACTTGTTACACTAACACAGAACTCGTCTCCAATTTTACCCACGTGTCATCATCTCGTAAGCCCACTGCTACTGCTACTCAGGCAAACGGTGGACAACAATATATATATTCTTTTTAATCCACACGAAACTAAATCCCTCTCGGCTGGCAAGTGATAAAGAGCATCAACCCTAAACACTGCGACTAAGTGTTTAGGGTTGATGCCAAAACTAAATCGCTCTTGGTTGGCATGTTATTGAAGGGCACCAACCCTGAACACCTTGTCGCGTGGTGTTTAGGTTTGATGCCCTTGAAAAGTTGCCATCGGAGAGGGGTTTAGTTTTGTGCTTGCTGGCAGAAGACACCCGATGAAAACAGTCCTTGCGTGACGTGCTGAGTTTGCAACTCTTCCGCCTCAGAATCAGCGGGAAGTGTGTGCAAGTTGAGATGAAAGTCCCTCGAAAGAGGGACAGCTACAGTAAGGACGTGGCCCAGACCGCTTCTGATTGCCTCGATCAGAAGCGATCAATAACTTCCAGGAAGCCCCAAGGCCAATTTCAGGCAATCGGGGGCAATCAGCTGATCGCCCCATCTCGATCAACCGCCTCAAACACCCCAATCAAACACAATCACACACAATCACGCACGATCAGTTGATTGCGTTGGGTTGCACCCCTATGCGACGCCAGCGAAAAGTTACAGTGTTCGTCTGGGTTTCGAGTAGCCCTCGCCTTACCTCCACGACTGCAAGAACTTTCTGGAGTTTCTGGAGCCGTCGTAGCGTTGCTGTCTCCCTTTGCGAAATTACAGGGTGACACAGGTATCGCTGGAGCAGTGCTCATGCCTTTTGCTGTCGCCAAATTTGGCCCGAAGCTGGTGGGAAATGTGTTTGTGCTTGCCATGCACCATCCCATCACATTCGAGGAATTTCGGCTCTGATCGGGCGGCACGCGCCGCGCGATCAAAGGCGCCCCGATCAGATCCAACCCGAGCAGATCACTGCCAATCAGACCCGGTCTGGGCCACGTCCTAAGCCTTCCGAGGATGGCCCAGACCGCTTCTGATTGCCTCGATCAGAAGCGATCAATAACTTCCAGGAAGCCCCAAGGCCAATTTCAGGCAATCGGGGGCAATCAGCTGATCGCGATCAGCTGATCGCCCCATCTCGATCAACCGCCTCAAACACCCCAATCAAATACAATCACACACAATCACGCACGATCAGTTGATTGCGTTGGGTTGCATCCCTATGCGACGCCAGCGAAAAGTTACAGTGTTCGCCTGGGTTTCGAGTAGCCCTCGCCTTACCTCCACGACTGCAAGAACTTTCTGGAGTTTGTGGAGCCATCGTAGCGTTGCTGTCTCCCTTTGCGAAACTACAGGGTGACACAGGTATCGCTGGAGTAGTGCTCATGCCTTTCGCTGTCGCCAAATTTGGCCCGAAGCTGGTGGGAAATGTGTTTGTGCTTGCCATGCACCATCCCATCACATTCGAGGAATTTCGGCTCTGATCGGGCGGCACGCGCCGCGCGATCAAAGTCGTCCCGATGAGATCCAACCCGAGCAGATCACTGCCGATCAGACCCGGTCTGTGCCACGTCCTAAAAACCAGACCGCTTCTGATCGGCAGTGATCTGCTCGGGTTGGATCTGATCGGGGCGACTTTGATCGCGCGGCGCGTGCCGCCCGATCAGAGCCGAAATTCCTCGAATGTGATGGGATGTTGCACGGCAAGCACAAACACATTTCCCACCAGCTTCGGGCCAAATTTGGCGACAGCGAAAGGCATGAGCACTGCTCCAGCGATATCTGTGTCACCCTGTAATTTCGCAAAGGGAGACAGCAACGCTACGACGGCTCCAGAAACTTCTGACTTGGAATCCCATCACAGTGATTTCGCAGATAGAGACAGCACAGTGACGGCGAGGGCTACTCGAAACCCAGATGAACACTGTAACTTTTCGCTGGCGTCGCATAGGGGTGCAACCCAACGCAATCAACTGATCGTGCGTGATTGTGTGTGATTGTGTTTGATTGGGGTGTTTGAGGCGGTTGATCGAGATGGGGCGATCAGCTGATCGCGATCAGCTGATTGCCCCCGATTACCTGAAATTGGCCTTGGGGCTTCCTGGAAGTTATTGATCGCTTCTGATCGAGGCAATCAGAAGCGGTCTGGGCCACGTCCTAAACACCAAGGGCCGGTCAGAGTTGGTACACTACAGCATTTAGTGCGGAAAAAAGCGATGGTGTGTGCTCAGGGTTTGTGTTGCGTCTTTACTGTTTTAAACCGCGTTTTAGAACAGTAATATTGCCGCCCATTTTTACACATTGACAATGCAGGCTCAAGTTGTAGGCCTGACGCCACAGAAATATGGCTGGGGATCCGCACAGAATAAATATTTCACGGTCATCTTGTAGAGGGTATTTCCGAAATGTTTTGTCCACTCTCTTGGTTCCTTTCGCTTGGTATATTCTGGCTCAGTGGTAATTAATGTCAACATTTTTCCTAAACCTGAAATACTTCAGCAGACAGCTTTTTTTTGTGCTGTTCAGCAGTTTCGGGTACAAGAGAGCCCTAGAAAAATATATCCCCATTTAGGGACAGTCAGTGTACAGTTGTTGCTGGTCTGCATGGGACTTGCACGCGCAATCTTCTGGCATTCCTGAGGCCTGTGGTTGGCGGATTCTTCCTGCCAGCAGTCCCTCACCCAAGCAGACACCATACGTCAGCATGTTGGACCAACTGGCGTCACGTGAGGCATTCCACAACCAGATGCTCTGCTAGCGCGAAAGAGGGTGTAACTTTCGGGGCCGTCCAATGACAATGCTTCAAGCCTCCACACATACCGGAGGGAATTCTTTGGGTAATGATTTGAAGGGTAAACATCCGACAAGCTGACTTTCCGGGCATTTCAAGAATCACAACTCAAAAGTTTATTCCTTAAAACACGCGAGCTTCTGAGCCTTTCTCCATAATCTCGCGTTGCAACTTGCATTTTCCGTTGAACCTGGTCCTGATCATATCAGATTCACGAAGTTTCTATTTTGAGCCCTCGTTCCGTTCCAGCTGATCGCTCCACTTTCCCCCTCCCCCGTTGCTCTTTGCATCTCTGTCCCGCTCACGCCTCATGGCTCGTACAAAATCTCGAAACTTTGAAATTGGAACAGCCTGTTTCATTGTACTGTCGGGGTGAGCTTGGTTGAGCTTACCGCACGAGCTGGCACCCACATCCCAAATGCCAGGATTCAATTTCCCAGCTCAATTCCTCAGACGGGCCAGCGGGAAAGCACATCGATATGGTGGCTTTGGCCTGAGTCAAACGGTGTATTTTTGCGAGTCAAGGTTGATGTAACTGAGGTTTCTTCTAGCGATGCAGGCAAATCCAATACTGGACGAAAGCAAGCCCTAGCCCTCCTAATCCGTAGGCACAAGGGCTTTAGTTGTGACCTGTCAGCGTGATAGTACCCTGTGACTCAGGCAGATCCGTTCAGCATCGACGTCACTGACTTGCATTTTGCATTTCAATAGCTGTCCCGCATGTGAATCCTCTCTGGCTATTCAGAAAAGTCTTTCACCGTCGAAGTGAGGCTTGTACAGTCAACCAGCGAATGGGATCACCCCATCTTTCGAGCTTTTCGTTCTGCCGCTTCCACGTAATGCACGACGTATGATGGTCGGTGCTGTAGGGACCGGCGGACTCGCACTGCCCCGAAGATCGCCGGATCTATGCAGAAAATATGACTTTCTAGTCGGAGTCAGCGGATGCACAGCGCCGGCGGGAGATGCTTTTTGAAAAAAAAGCTCGTAATTTATAACGTCAAGGCCGCCAAAGCTTCTGGTGGGCGCTGCCGTTGTTGGTAGAAATGCTCAGGGACGAATGGCCTCAGAATTCATTGCAGTAGTTCGTAACTGCATCATGGAACTGAGCTGCTACTAGGAGAGATGAGAGCTCCGCGGCAGAAGATTACAAGTACATCTACTTTTCGTAAGGTGGTCGCTGTGGGATTTCTTAATTCATTCACATTTCCCCCCCCCCCTTTTTTTTTGTTATAAAAGTTTCAAGGCTCCAGGGTAGAAGTAGTCTCCAAGTCGCTTCCAATCTTCATTCCTCGGGAAGAAAAAAATCCAATCTCACAGCAGTATGAGCGCAACTGGACGAACCAATCTTGACAGAGGTGAATCAGAGAAGCAAGGCGATGGTATAGGTGAGCAGGAGTGGGAATACGGTCATGAGGCGTCCAGGCTAACTCCTCATGGCGTCGGTTCTGGCTTCTTGGAGCTTGGTTTGGGAGCACGGATCCACTGTTTCAGTGAAGAACACGTGAGAGAGAGCCGGACAGCTGATGATGATCGTCATGGTTTTGCTCTGCCGCAGAGCATCATGGCATCGCCTGCTTCCAGGACCACCATGTCAGCACATGGTTTTGGCGTTGATTTGAGCAGGAACCCTCATGAACCACCGACAGCAACAGCAGAAACAACAGCATCAACAGCAGCAGCAGCAGCAGCAGCAGCAGCAGCAGCAGCAGCAGCAGCAGCAGCAGCAGCAGCAGCAGCAGAATCAGCAGCAGCAGCAGCAGCAGCGGCAGCGCCTACAGCTTCTACCGGTGTGAGCTTATTGAATGGTCTTAGTCGACCAAACCTAAACCTTGCTGCTGTGGGGGATTCATCTGAGTATACGGCAGCAGCTGCTGGAGCAACAGGGTCTGTTCCAGGCCGTTTTCCGTCTGCTATGGCTGCTTCTAGTGGACTCAGACAGGCTCTAACTTTTGATGTTGTGGTGGATTCAGCTGATGACAGAGCCGCGGCCGCAGCAGCAGGGTCTGTTTCAGGTCAGTCTCCTGCTATGGCTGGCTCCAGTGGACTAAGGCCAGCTGTTCATCTTGATACTGTCGTGGATTCAGCTGATGATGACAGAGCAGCGGCCGCAGCAGCAGTTGCTGCGTTTTCTGAAGCGCAGGCGGAGTCTCTCCGTCTCATGGCGTCCTTCTGCTCTATCATCCCCAGCCCCACGCCGCTTCAGGCACTGAATCAGTCACTGCAGCAGCAGCAGCAGTCACAGATGCAGCAGCCGCAGCAGCGGCCGCAGCATCAATTGAATCAGCAGCAGCAGCCCTCAACCCTATACAGCTCCCTGTTTCCAAGTCTAGACACAAACACCCGCACTACGAGTGCTGCAGTAATGCAGCCAATTCCCTTAAAAGCAGGTACTTCCATTTCAGGAGTTAACACTCCCCAGAAGCAGCAACCACTCGCTCACCAATGGCAAGCACGACAGGCTCCACCCTCGGAAACAGCTCTCGGCAGGTCCGGCAACAGCAGTGTAAGCATTCTACCTGCTGGGCTTTCAGCGCCAGGGGTTCCTCCAGCACCAGCGACACTCGGCAGGTCTGCCAGCAGCGGTGGTATCGTGCCGCGCCCGGAGCTTTCAGCACGACAGGCTAGGAGTACCGCCCCAGCAGCGACATTCGGCGGTTCTGCCAGCAGCGGTGGCATCGTGCCACTGCCACGCCCAGAGCTTTCGCTGGCAGCACATCAGGCTACAGACCCAGCAGCGACACTCGGCGGTTCTGCCGGCAGCAGTGGTACCATGTTGCACGCCGAGCCTTCAACACCACAGCCAATCTTTTATTGGGGATCGGCCCCAGGGCAGTTGGGATCTACATGGAGGACTGATGCGGCTGTGGGAGAGCTGGGCGATACTTCAGGTGGAATTCCAGGTGGAATGTCAGGTGGACCTTCCGGTAGAGGTTCAAGTGGTTTGTCAGGTGGACCTGCAGGTGATCCTGTAGGTGGACTCTCAGGTGGTTCGCCAGGTTATCCCTCAGGTAATCCTTCAGGTGGCCTCTCAGGTGGGTTTTCAGGTGGTCTTTCAGGTTGTCCCTCCGGTGGTCCTCCGGGTAGACTCTCAGGTGATCCCCCAGGTGGTCTCTCAGGTGTCCTGTCAGGTGGACCCTCAAGTGGTCCTTCAGCTGGACCTTCAGGTGGTCCTTCAGGTATTAGTCCTGGAGATTCCAGTCCTGGAGATGCCAGCCCTGAAGGTGCCAGTGTCACCATGATGGTGGACTTGAATGGGCCTCCAACAGCTATCAGCTTCCGAGAGCCAGTAGCTGAGCGCATTTTTAAGAGCCTGGCACCTCTCTCATCTTATACCCAAGCCACACTTTTTACCGAAGCCACCCATAATACCCAAACCACCCACAATGCTCAAACCACCCATGATCATCAAGTTACAGCCACCCAAGTTATCCAAGCTACTCAAGGTATTCCACCTTCCCAAGCCGCAGAAGCTACCTTTGCTACCCAAGCTACCCATCCTTTAGTACCAGCAACGTCACTTGTTATTCCTACGCGCACCTTTCCTTCAGCTCACTGGACAACAGTTCCCCCAGCAGCAGCGCCAGCAGCAGCGCCAGCAGCAGCCCCAGCAGCAGCGCCAGCAGCAGCCCCAGCAGCAGCGCCAGCAGCAGCCCCAGCAGTAGCGCCAGCAGTAGCGGCAGCAGTAGTGCCAGCAGCAGCGGCATTGTCACCAGCAGCAGAACCATGGTCAGCTGTTCCTGTGCCAACATCCCAGCGCTTCTCGTGTCCGCCATCCAGGCCCATGTCAGCCCCGCTCCCACCAGCAGTTGTGTCACCCACCGGGGGAACAGCAGCAGCACCGTCAGCCCTAGCAGCAGCGCCACTAGCAGGACCATCAGCAGCTTCAGAAGCATCAACAGCATCAGCGCGGTTGTCATGCCCTTTATCCCGCAATCTGTCAGCCCCGCTCCCACCAGCAGCTGTGTCACCCACTGGGGGATCAGCAGCAGCAGCAGCAGCATCGTCAGTACTGTCAGCACGGGCAGCACCGTCAGCAGCATCAGGGCGGTTGCCATGCCCTTTATCCCGCAATGTGTCAGCGCTGCTACCGCCGCCAGCTGTCTCACCCACCGGGCGATTAGCAGCAGCATCTTCAGCAGCACCAGCAGCAGCACCATCAACAGCACCAGCAGCGGCATCGGCAGTGGGACCATCAGCAGCGGCACCATCAGTAAAACCAGCATCAGCAACACCATCCTTTCCCCTCTCACCCCCTGGAACCAACCCCTTGGGAAGAAAACGGAGCTGGAAAGAATACTCCCTCTTTAACATCTCAAGGCTCGACAAAACTCGAGCCACACTCTCCGGACCAGCCACTACCACCACCAACACTTTCAGCAGAAGCAGCACCAATCCTCCGTTCTCAACTTCCCTCCACCCCACCCCTGTCACCACCGGAGGCAGGATCGTTGCCTCTCAGAGTGCCCCTCTGTTGGAAGAGAGGACCATTGCTGCTGTTACCGCCGCTTTTGCCGCCTCTGCTTCCCTTGCGACGGCTGATGCTTCTCCTGCTACAGCCGCCGCTGCTGCTGCTCGTGATACAGCCGCTGCTGCTGCTGCAGCTGCTGCTGCTACTACTGCTCGTGCTACATCTGCTGCAGTTCCCAGGACTAGTGCCATGCGTGGACCCTCTGCTCATTTGCCCCTGTCTCCTGCATCTTACACCCCATCTGCTACAGCTGCCACACCTGCTACATCTGCGGCAGTTCCCATGCGTGGGCCCACTGCTTCTGTTTCTGCTGCTGCTGCATCTCCTGCCGCCAACGCTTCCCAAGATTCTGCCGCTGCTGCATCTCCTGCCGCCAACGCTTCCCGAGCTTCTGCCGCTGCTGCATCTCCTGCCGCAAATTCTTCCCGAGCTTCTGCCGCTGCTGCATCTCCTGCCGCCAACGCTTCCCGAGCTTCTGCCGCTGCTGCATCTCCTGCGTCCGCTCAACTGACTGACGCCTCACTTGCTGCAGGGGTTCTCATCTCTGCTGCCATCTCGCGCGCTCTCTTCTCTGGTGCTGCTCCTGCTGCTGACTTCCCAGCCGTGAACACTTCCCTAGCTTCCGCCGATGCTGCATCTCCTGCTGCTGCCGCCGCTGCTGCTACTGCCGCTTCCCTTGCTGCAGTCGCGTCTGCAGAGGTGGCGAATCCTGGCGCTGACCTGTTGCTGCGGTTGTTGAGGCAAAGAGGGGGAGGTGCAAGTGCTTTATCTATGCCTAGCCACGTTTCTGACACAACTGCTGCTGGTACCGTTTTTTCTGCTGCTGCTGGTGCTGCTGCTGCTTCTGCTGCTGCTGCTGGTTCTGTTGCTTCTGCTGCTCCATCTGCAGTTGTGTCTTCCACAGCCTTGGCACCGCAAACTGCAATGACCACTCCCCTGGTAACATCCGTCAGCCTACCAGCGATAGGAGCCACAGACAACACAGGTTCTGCGCGCTCCCCTCCCCTATCCTCCCGCCTGCTCTCCCCCCATGCATTTGACGAAGTGACTCCGCAGCAGCTGATCACGGAATTGGAGACCTGGGATGTGGGGGTGTGGAGAGAGGGTCTGCTGATTGAACAGGAACAGCAGCGGCAGCAGGAACAGCCCCGGCAGCAGCAGCAGCAGCAGCAGCAGCAGCAGCAGCGGGCTAACCTAGGGGCTGGACTTACAGGAAGAGGGCTAGGAAGGAGCAGAAGTCAGGGCCATGGTTCTTCCAGGAGGCAAGTCTTCAACTCCTCTAGCATAATCGGGGCATGGGAGGGGAATAGGCTATCGCTTGATTTTGATGAGAGCAGGACTACCCTGCAGTTAGGAAGGCCTGTCTATGATGATACTTTCATGGAGGAGGGAGAGCAGTAGGTTGAAAGAGGATTTTTTTGTCGACTCAAAATTGGCTGGCGAGAGGAATAAGCTACCGTATGTCCGAGGTTCATGAGAGCAGGACTACCCTGCGGCTAGGCAGGCCGGCCTACGAGGAACCTTCCATACAAGAGGGTGAGCAATTGGTTGAGATGGGATTTTCATGTCGGCTCAAAATCGGCTGGTGAGAGCAGGATTAGTCTGCGACTAGGGAGGCCGGCCTATGATGGTCCTTCCATGCAAGAGAGTGAACGATAAGTTGTGAGGGGATTATTGAGTCGATTCAGATTTGGCTGGTGAGAGGAGCACCAGTAGGTTATCACCTGAGGATGATGAGAGCAGGATTACCCTGCGGCTATGCAGGCCGGGCTATGGCGATCCTTTCTTGCAAGAGGCAGAACAACAGGTTGAGAGGGGATCTTTCTGAGTTGGCTCAAAATTGGCTGGTGAGAACAGGATTACAATCCTGCAGTCCAGGCAGGCCGGGCTATTGATGGTCGTTCCATTCAAGAGGGGGAGCACTAGTTTGAGATAGGATGAAGCTATTTCCGGCTTGGTTTGTTGTAGCTGTCAAAAGTTGAGCTTGAATTTTCGGGATTTCCGTAACCTGAATTTATAGGCTCTACAGGCAATGTAGTATACGTATATAATTATGATGGTTCATATATGTATTTAGTTGTTGCCCACCAAGTTGTTGATACGATGCGCTTCATAGTGTATGGTCTGTATGAAACTGATTCTACATTCTGAATGGTGGAAAGCAAGCAGGAAACATGAGTGTAAGAGCCTTTGTAACAGACTTCTCCACAAGGCCCTTTGGTTTCAAGAAGTGTTTTGTAGCTTCGTATTAGGAATTTGGATAAGCAGTGTTGTCTGTTGTCAGACAATGGGGTTCACTATACAGAGGATATTCATGTGGGTACCTTCGTTACAGGAGCAACGAACATTCACCCACAATGCTTGATGTGAGCTACTCCTCCACCGAGCCCAAGCGGAGAACATTCGCTCAAATGCTTGACTGGCTGTAGGTTTGCCCAAGTACTGCGCTCGGTTCGTTACGTTGCAGTGTGGTTCTCTCCTCTACCGACAATCCCTTCCCCCGCAATGCCCCAACTGCCGCAAAACCCCCACCCAGCTCAACCCCCCTCCACCACGCGCAGCCGCAACGCGCTCTCCCGCTTCACGCCCACCTGCCCCCGCGCGTTGTTCGTCCCTTCTCTCCCTCCTTCTAGGCGGTGCGTCAATCCCGAAGGGGCGCAAGGCGGGGGGAAAGGAATGCTCTGGGCTGGGAGGTGCAGTTCAAAGGGAAAGTGCTCGATTGTTCGAGAATGTTCGGGAGAGTTCGGGAATGCTCGGGATTGTTCTCCGACGCGAAAGCTGAGGAGACTTTCGTTACCGTCGCATTGCTGTATTCTCTTCTTTCGTCCTCCTTCGAGTGAGTTCGCCATTCTTCGTGTAAATTCGCGAAGCACATTCCAGCCCTATCCCGTTCGTGCAACTCTTCCCCTCCACGCCCGTCTTCCATTCCACCCTGATCATCTCTTCTATAAATATTCGTGAGCTATCTCCATCCGTGTTTCAAATCCGTTTCATAGCAACGCAAGCTACTACCCAAGCTATCTCTCTTCCTCTCTCTGCTCGTCCCCTACCAAATTTCTCCAAGAACAACAAACTCTAGCCTGTTTGAAAAAGTTCTTGACAGCGTTTCTATAAGTGATTAGATTTTCGACCTTCGTACTAAATTGTAAGATGGGGATAGATTACTATGGCCTGCTGTCGGTCCCGAAGACCGCAACCGACGATGACCTGAAGAAGGCGTATCGCAAGCTCGCCATGAAATGGCATCCGGACAAGAACCCTGACAACAAGAAAGCAGCAGAGGCCAAGTTCAAGCAAATATCAGAAGCATACGAGGTATGATTTTTCTTTTGATAAATGCATCTGCCCACCCATAATCTGTCCATTTTTTGTATAAAAACGATGAATTTAGCGTATCGTGCTGCGCAAAACCCCCTCGGAAGAATCTCGTTAAAACAATCAATGTCCTGAGCGGGGGTCTTTACTAATTTTTATCTTACCTCTTTATGATCACACGCAGGTTCTCAGCGACCCAGAGAAGCGACAGATCTACGACCGGTACGGAGAGGAGGGTCTTAAAGGAGGCGTCCCGCCTCCCGGCGCAGCAGGCGGCACCGATGGCGCCGGGTTTCCGGGCGGCTTTCCCGGCGGACCAGGCGGCGGCGGCGGCGTGCGCTTCCACACGTTTAACCCGCGAAACGCGGAGGACATTTTCGCCGAGTTCTTCGGCGGGTCGAACCCGTTCGGCGGCGGCAGCAGCTCGTTCAGCGGGTTTGGCGGGCCGGGTATCCGCGTAACGCGCATGTCACCCAACGGATCCCCCAATATGGGGGGGATGGGCGGGTTGGGGGGAATGGGCGGAATGGGGCCAATGGGCGGAATGCAATTCCAGGAGATGTTTGGCGGAGATGAGTCCCCTTTCGCGCGTTCGCCCATGGGCGGGAGCCCCAGGAGTCCCAGAAAGCCGCCTCCTGTGGAGAACAAGCTTATGTGCACTCTCGAGGAGCTCTACACCGGATCCACGCGGAAAATGAAGATTTCGAGAAACATTGCAGATGCCAGCGGGTAAGTGATCCCAGGATCACATCTGAGTCTTAGATAACGTTTTACAGAGAAGAAAAACAGAATGTTGGATTGCTTAATCGATACCCCTCCTCCTTTGCATTGTTTTTTCCCCTTTCTTGTTTTTAACTTCAGGAAAACGCTGCCCGTGGAGGAGATCCTGACCATTAACGTGAAGCCCGGATGGAAGAAGGGCACCAAGATCACATTCACAGAGAAAGGCAACGAGCAACCCGGCATGCTCGCAGCAGACCTAACCTTTATCATCGACGAGAAACCCAATGATAGATTCAAGCGCGACGGCAACGACCTGATTTACACCCAGAAATTGAGCCTGGCTGAGGCTTTAACCGGTTACACCGTGAGGGTAACCACCCTGGACGGGAGGCGGCTGGAAGTGCCTGTAACGGAGGTGATTTCGCCGGGGTATGAGAAGGTGGTTGCGGGCGAGGGTATGCCGATGAAAGAGCCTGGAAAGAAGGGGAATTTGCGGATCAAGTTCGACGTGCAGTTCCCGAGGCGGTTGAGTGCAGAGCAGAAGGCGTTGGTCAAGCAAGCATTGGATCGGTAAACCGGGAGTGGAAGCGTTTTGGGGATGGAGTGGAACAGGTGCTAGCGGATTGTCATTAGTCTAAGAAGCACAAGCATGTCTTGAAGCAGTCTCAGGGGGAGTTGATCAATGGAGAGGAAAGGGTGTCTCAAGGTTACCGTAGGTTAGGAGTTGTAACTTGGGACTTGGTCTTGTACACGTCATCAACTTACCGGTAGGTGTCTGTTGTATTGTTTAGAGATTCTGGTTCCAGCCGAAGAGGGCTGGGATTCTTTTAGGCAAGTGTATCTGAGACGAGATGGATTGGATGCATTGTAGGCTGGCATGTAGGCTGTGCACAGCCAACTGCAGATGCTGCTATGCCCGCCTAACAATTTTTGCTCCCCTCCCCTGAGATGTATGAAATGAATCATCAGTGTTTACTTCTCTTGCCAAATCTGACAGAGTCATGAAATGGAACCATGAATGCACCAGCACAGCACCAACAGACCATCCGAACCGACATCAGGGTACCGTATGAACCAGGAAGTGCCAGGACATTCGAAACTAACCCCAGCACAGCACCAACAGACCAACCAATTCCGAACCAACAATAGGATATGAACCAGGAAGTGCCAGCCAGGACGCTTGAAGCGAAGCAGGAACTGCCAGAAAATTTGAGACATCAAAGCAACCAAGATCACACAAGACTAAACAACGAAGTCTGTAAGTGAGCACAGCAGAAAATCCACAACAGCTGAAACAACCGGCCCCTGTGCAGTATGAAACTGAGGCAATTCAGTGATGCCTAATAATCATCATCTGCAATGGACACCAAAGCAGCAGCAGCCGATGCCGAAGCAGCAGCAGGTGCTGAAGACTGCCTAAACCACACTGTAGAGAGCACAAGGAATGCCATTGTTGACAGATGAGCATTCTCCACCCTCTTAGACACCCTTGTCCACATCTCCCTCACATCCACTCCCTTCCAGCATCCACCGCCCCAGACACACCTTAGCCACCCTTGTCCACACATCCCCTGGGAGAACTAGCTATCTGTGGCCATTGGTGCATTTTTTAGTCCACTCAAAAATCGGAGAACTAGTTATCTGTGGCCATTGGTGCAGCAGCAGCTGACCCATTAGCACTTGCAGGAGCACCGTTAGCAGCAGCAGGAGCAGCACCGTTACTAGCAGCAGCAACAGCAGCAGCAGCTGCAGCAGCAGCAGCAGCAGCAGCAGCAGCAGAACCAGAAGCAGCACTAACAGATGAAGCACCAGAGGCTGTGTTAGCCGCCTCCTCCCTATCCATCGCCAGCACTGCCTTCTTTAAAAGAGCCTCCGTCGACAGGTGAGCATTGTCCACCCCCTTAGCCACCCTCGTCGACGCCTCCCCTGGGAACCCTAGTTATCCGTGGCCATAGGGGCGGCAGAAGCTGAACCATTAACACTCGCAGGAGCACCATTCGCAGCAGCAGGAGCACCATTCGCAGCAGCAGGAGCAGGATCACCAGAAGCAGCACCAGCAGCACTAACAGATGAAGCACCAGAGGCTGTCTTAGCCGCCTCCTCCCTATCCATCGCCAACACCACCTTCTTCAAAAGAGCCTCGGTCGACAGATGAGCATTCTCCACTGCCTTAGCCACCCTCGTCCACGCCTCCCCATACCTCGGCTCCGCAGCCACACACCGCCGCACCACCTCCGCCCTCTGCTCCTCGCTCCCATGCGCCTTCTCAAACCTCCACAGCTGCGCCCAGAAATCCCCCACTTCCGGAGCTAGCGTCACGGCTCGGCCGAACCAGTTCCGAGCCTTGTCGACCTTCCGATCCGCCCAGAAAAGCCGAGCCACTGCAGCAACCACGTACGCGTCGTGATCACATTTTTTCAGAGCGTCAACGCTGCGGGATTTCCGCTGCGGCCGAGGTGCCATTTCGATGGCTTCTGCCCAGAGCCTCCCGCTGCTGGGGCACTCCTGGAGTGCCTTGGCTAAGGTAGCTTCGGCGGCCTTCTTGTTCCCAGCCCGAGCCTCCGTCCGAACCGCAGCCAGCCAGAGCTCCGGCGTCTGCGGGTTCTTGTGCCGAGCCTGTTCCAGAATTGCCCGAGCCTTGCTCACCGCACCTAAGTCTTCCTCCAGCTTCGCAGCACACAGCCAGAGGAAAATACTTCCCGGGCAGTTTTTCAGCCCGCGCTGGAAAATTTCCCGGGCAGCCCCGGTCCTGCCCTGCCGAGCCTCGAGCTGCCCGAGCATAAGCCAGAGCTTGTGAAACCCGGGAAAGAGCCGCAATCCCGACTCCAACAAAAACTTTTCCTCCTCCACATCCCCCACCTCTCGCTCTAGAATCGCCGATTTCATCCACACTCTCTCTGTCCCTCCCATCTCCCTTGCTTTAGCAAGCAGCCTCCTAGCTCGCTCCGGCTCCCTGTTTTCGAATTCTAGCTTGAAAGCCGCAAGCCAGATTTCCTCGGAATCCGGAATGGCTGCATAGGCCTCTTCGAGGATAGCTCGCGCACCTGGCACGTCGCCGGCTAGCCATTTTTCTTTTGCCCCCATGAGCCAGAGAACTTCGGCCTGCGGGCAGTACGTGACTGCTCGGCGCAGCAGAGCGTCCAATGACTCGCAAGTCCCGTGCGTTTTTTCCAGCTGCGCTGCCCGCCGCCACACCGACTTCTTGCCTGGAAAAACGGTCAGCACGTGCGCAAAAATCGCCCGAGCCGTCTCCACCGAACCTCTTTTGATACACTCCTCCGCGTCTGCCACCCAGGTTCGTTTCCGATCCTCCTCCTCCACCCCCATACCAACCGTCGAGCGAATGATAGCACGACACGTGGCGACCGAACCTGCCCTTTCCGCTGCTTCAGCTTCTTTCATCCACGCCTCTCTATCAATCACCACCCCTTCCCTCTGCAACCCGCGAATTGCCCTCTCTATAATCTTCCCCACCATCCCTTCATTATCATTTGCCTCTTCCAGCTTAGCAGCAGCAATCCAAATGGCCGGTTCTGTAGGCAAAGCCTCCCTAGCCTTATTCAGAACCCTTTTGGCGTTTTCGTAGACCTCTAGACGGGCCAGGGCAAGCCAGAGTTCCACGTGCAACGGGCAGCATTCAACTGCCCGGGACAAAAGAATCCTCGCGTCGTCTTCCTTAGCTAACTCCACCACCGCTTTCCAGAGACGCACCGAATCTGGCACGTGCTCTAAAGCCTTCCTCAAAACGCGGGATTTTGCCACGTCATCCTTCTCCAGCCGGGCCGCGTGCATCCAGAGCTTGACAGACGTCGGGATCTCCTTCACCCCCCGCGCGATCACGGCCCGAGCCGCGTCAGGAGAGGAAAGGCGACACGCCTCCAACCAAACATCCTCGTTTTTAGGACACTCCTGGCAACCCCTTTGAATAAACCCCCTCGCGGCCTGAAGCTTCCCGGCAAGTTCCTCCAGCCGCGCGGCAGCTATCCACCCTGGCGCGTGCTTAGGGTTAGTCTGGATCACCGATTTCAGCAGCAGACGCGCCTTCTTAATATCCGAGATTTCCGCGTCGGAGGTAATACGCATGGATTTGAGATCCGTTAAGTACCCCTTGGGATCCACTACAGTCTGCCCCGTTACACTGTCAGAAAGGCGGTCCAGTTTCAAACTCAGCACTGTACCGCGCCCTTCGCCCACAGCCGTCAGATCTGTAACGGGTGTCTGAGATGCGAATGGCGTTTCAGTGCCGCCCAGAACGGCCCCTTTCCCTTTCGGATCTAGCGCCGACACGTGTTCTTTCTCCTGACGCGCCTTCTCTAAAAGCGTATCCGGTACAGGTACGAAGCTCTCGAACCGCTTCTTTTTGTTTCGTAAGCTGTAGTCCCCGATTTCCGGAATGCTGTCCCAATCAGTGGTCGACATCTGGCCCAGCCCGCGCTTCAGATCCGCAAATTGCTCCGTGATTTTCGGGTTCGACGCGCGGTACTTCTCGATCTCCTCCTTCAGCCGCGCCTCGCGCCGGTCACGCCGCCGATCGTCCATGCGCTCGTCGACGCTGTCCCAAACCGCGTCCGCGTCTTTATCATCCTCGTCATACTCCCCCGTCGCAAACAGCCCCATATCGTTCCCCTCGAACTCGTCGAATTTCTGATGCTCGTCGTATTTAACCTCCTTATTTTCCTTCCCCGTGTCCTCCTCCTCTTCCTCCTCCTCCTCCTCCGCTCCCCCTGCTCCCCCTCCCGCGCCTCTCCCGCGGCCCAGCGCCCCCGCGCTGCGGTCCGGCATGTCCGGCGCCGCCCGCGCGGGACCGATATCGGACCGCGTGGTGAAGCCTGTCGCACCGCGACCGAGACCGGCGACATAGTTAGGCGGCGGACGCTGGTTGAAATTCAGCTTCGGGCGTGGAACCGCGGGCTGCGGAGCGCCGCCGGGCAGAAGAAAAGTCTGGTGGACGGTCAGGTCCCGAAGCGGAAGCTGACGTGGATCGCCGCGTCGGGACGCGAGTACGGACGCGAGCGGCGCGGCATCGTCGGAGAGCAGGCGCGATTCGAAAAGCAGGTGTTGGCGGGATGTGGTGGCCGGGCCGCCTTTGGAGGCCAATAGGTCTTTAAGATCCGCTACTCGCGCGGAATCTGGGAGCTGGAGGGAGAGCGTGGTCCCTCCTAGGGTTCGCACGAAGAGATGCATGTCGGCTGTTGCTGGTGGTGCTGCTGCTGGTGCTGCTGCTGGTGCTGCTGCTGATGATGCTGTTGATGCTCACTGCTGCTGACTAAGAAACAGTCGCTAAGCTCTTCTCTCGAATCCTCAGGGTTGTCAAACACTAGTGTGTCAGAGCTCTTAGATGGCATAAACGTTGCGTACTGATTAGAGAGGTTCGCAGTATGGGCGTAAACCGCGGTGACAAAAGTAACCGTGAAACACGCGCTTACGAAATCAACCGTGATAAGATGCTACAAGAAAACCGTGGCTCGTAGGCTGCTAAAGGGACCCTAGCCTTCTAGACTGTTCGAGGTATTTATTTTACTTGCTGGATTTGACGAGCTAGGGACGGAGATCTCGAGGGATTGTACAGGATTCCTTGCATCCCCTTGGCACATCCTCTAGAGTCTAGAGAACTGTATTTGTTGCGCTACAGAGTTTCACTCTGATTGCGTACTGTGTGCTGCACTTGAATTACTCTGTCTAAGTTTGTTTCATAGCATTTACTTCTCTGGTTCGACTTTGTGAGAACGACAGCTGTTGCTCCGGACAACTCTATAGCGCAGTCGAGGGTGTTCGAAACCCTGGGATTTTCGGCTGGAGTTTCGTTTTCTTGGCGGCTGCGATTCCACCATCGACGAACGCGAACCTATCAACGGTGCACTGTCATCCTCGGAGTCCCAGCATGTCTTGCACAGCCGTCGATTACATTCCCTCAAACACGACCTTGATCGCAGCCACAATCGTCGATATTATTAGACTCAGGCCGGTACTAGGAGTCACATCGTTAGAGACCTCCAGTCCTAGTCCGGAATACATCTTAGTGGGTCGTTCAGGCAAACAATAATCTACTCGGCAGCAGGCACTTTCTTCCTTTCAATCTCAGCCGTCGGTGGTCATGGACATTTCATGCGAATCCAGTCGGCGCGGAGAGTTGAGCAATAACGGTGATGCCGATAGTAACGAAAGTAGCAGGGAGACAGCCCGCGAGATTGCCAATACCAGAGGTACTGGCGTTGCAGCTACACCAGTAACCGATTCTGTAACACCAGATGCTGACACTGTAACCGCAATAACTGACAATGTAACGCGAATATGTGACGATGTAACGCCAGCGACTCACGCGAAGTTCGCAGCACCACCAGCAGAAGCGACTGATGCGAAGGCAGCAGCAGGAATCGGTTATACAGCCACATCACCGCGGCTTGGGAATAGCGCCACGTCAGCAAGCAGCAACGGTGCCGGTGCACCCAAATCACGGCAGGGAGCAGATTCGGAACCAGTGAAGGGAACAGAATCAGTTCATGGAGCGGAAGCAGTAAACGGACCGGAAGCAGGAAAGGGGGCGGAATCAAAGAAGGAAGCGGAATCAGAAAAGGGAAGGGAATCAGGGAAGGTACCTGAAAGCACTTCCTCAGTGGGATTCGACAGCGCCACGGGCGTGTGGCTGCTGACGTCAGAGGGCGAGACGCTTCAGATGGACAGACGCGTCGCCGCTTTCATCCCCTTCCTCTGGCAGGCCATGGCTCAAAAGTCATCCCAAGCCATGGCTCGAGTCAAAACGGACAAGTCATCTCATTCTGACGAGGGTGCGAGAGGGAAGGGAGAGGGAGCGGGCGTGGGTGATGGTGCGAAGAGGCTGAGTGATTATTCCGTGATTGCAGCTGCTGGTGCTGCCGCTGCTGGCGCGGTGGTTGCTGATGATAGTGCTGGTGCTGCTGCGTCTGGTAGTGGTGCTGCTGGCGCTACCGGTGCTGCTGCTACCGCTGATATTGCTGGTGTGGGTGCTGCTGGCAGTGGGGGGGGATCACAGGAGTCATCGCCTATTCTTCTCCCGAAGCAGGTGTCAGCAGCGGTGCTGCAGCTGGTGGTGGAGTACTGCCGCTACCACAGCGTGCCAGGGCGGTCCGATAAGGTGAGAGGGAGTCTGTGCGGGCAGCGCACTGACTACCAGGGTAGACAGGTTAGTGTCAGCAGTGGTTCAAGTGGTGCTGCAGCTGGTGGTGGAGTACTGTCGCTACCACAGCGTGCCAGGGCGCTCTGACAAGGTGAAGATGTGGGTTTCTTGGTGAAATCAGGGACGGCAGGTCAGTGCAGGCAAGTCAGTGTCAGCTGGTGCTAGCAGGTGTCAGCAGCGGTGCTGCAGCTGGTGGTGGATTACTGTTGTCGCTACCACAGCACAGCGTGCCTGGGCGCTCTGACAAGGTGAGCAGGAGGGTGTGTTGGTTCACTAGAGTAAGAGCAACTGCAATAAGTCAAGCGGTGCTGCAGCTGGTGGTGGAGTGCTGTTGTCGCTACCACAGCGTGCCCGGAGGCACTTTTGAGAATTCTCAAAAGTTCTGCAGCTGGTGGTGGAGTACTGTTGTCGCTACCACAGCGTGCCCGGAGGCTGTGCAAGCTGACAGCCCCCTCTCCGCCACCCCTACCCGTTCTTCCTACGTGCAACCTACCACCCCCACTCCCCACCCCCCAAACAGGAGCGGAGGCTCTTTGACGAGAAGTTAGTGCGGGTGGACCCGAGGAGGCTGTGCGAGCTGCAAGCTCCCTTTCCATCTCTTCTTCCCCCTTTTCCTCTCTGTCCCGTCCACCCCCACACCTCCCCCCCCCTTCCTCCTTTCCCCCATCCCCTTTACAGGAGAGGAGGCTATTTGATGAGAAGTTTGTTCGTGTGGACCCGAGGAGGCTGTGCGAGCTGACGTCAGCAGCGGATGTGCTTCAAATGAAGCCTCTGGTGGACCTCACGAGCAGAGCGCTGGCACGGCTGATAGAGGGCAAGTCGCCCGAGGAGATCCGAGAGACGTTTCACCTTCCAGACGACTTGACGGAGGTAGGTGGTGTGGGGAAGAAGGGTTGGTGTGTGGTATCTGGGGAGAGTACGGGAAGCCTCTCGTGGACCTCACATGCAGGGCACTGGCGAGGCTGATCAAGGGCAAGTCACCCGAGGAGATCAGAGAGACGTTTCATTTGCCAGATGATTTGACAGAGGTGGGTGGTGTGGGTGGGTGGGGGAAGAGGGGGAACAGTAAACCTCACGAGCAGAGCGCTGGTGCAGTTGATAGAGGGCAAGTCGCCCGAGGAGATCAGAGAGACGTTTCATCTGCCAGATGATTTGACAGAGGTGCGTGACGACCTACGGATTCGCCTGTTGCAATGGCCCTCCGCCACTCCCCCTCCCCTTCGTCCTTTCGTTTCCTCCCCTCTCTTCCATCTAACTGCAGGAGGAGAAGCTGGAGCCGGTAAGGAGCGGCACGGACGACCCTCGCATTCGCCTGCTGAACCGGCTGTACGCAAAGAAGAGGAAGGATCTCATAAGGAAGAAGGTGTGTTCTGAGTCAACCAATTCTGGTAACTATCGGGACCCGGTCTGTGTCGCTCCGAACCAGTTCTGAGTCTCATTGATTTCTCGGAGTTCAAAGCCGGCTGCTGAACCGGCTGTACGCAAAGAAGAGGTGGACCTCGCGAGGAAGAAGTGCGTTATTCCTGTGCTTGCAACTGTCCCCCCCTCTGGAGCATGCACACTCGGGTATTAGTCACCTTCAAGAGGACGAGACCAGGCACAGGCAGGGCCAGGGCGAAGCGGATTGGGAGGTCACATTCACCCCCGAGTGTGTGTATGCCTATATTCCTTTTCCTTGGGAGGATCCTCTTGGGAGGTCACATTCCGGCTTGGGTGCTTATATTCCTATTCCTGTGCTTGCGACTGCCCCTCCCTCAGGAGCACACACACTCGGGCACTCACACACTCGAGAACGAGGAAGAGCAAGGACATGATTCGCCGCATTACCTGTTTATTAGTTCCGATTCTATATGTTTGGCAGGAGCACACACAATCGGGCACTCACGCTCAAGAGGACGAGAACGAGGAAGACTGGAGAGAAAAGGCTCGAGGCAGAGAGAGGGGAAGCAGAGAGAAGGAGACAGGGAGGTGTGGGGAGTTGGAGAGGGAGAGGAAGCACAGGGATAGTGGAGGTGCGCGGGAGGCGATACACAAGCACAAGGAGCGATTGGTGGATGAGAGATCGGTGGATGACCTGTTGTCCTTCATTGATGGGGGAGGTGAGTGAGTTGGTTTTTTTTATGTTGAGTTGACTTAGAAAAGCAATGCATAGGCACAAGGAGCGATTGGTGGATGAGAGATCAATGGACGATTTGCTGTCCTTCATTGATGGGGGAGGTATTTTTGAGAATTCTCAAAAATACCCCGCAGCATCATGGGGGAGGTGAGGTCCAGGACTTTGGGCTTTGAGTTGATTCAAAAGGCGATGCAGACGCACAAGGAACGATTGGTGGATGAGCAGTAGGTGAACGACCTATTATCGTTCATTGATGGGCAAGGCGAGTGAAGCCGGGGGCTTTGAGAATCCGCTGCTGTTTTGTTGTCCATCCATGCGTGCTTAGTGTCTAAATTTGACTGTGTCGAAACGAAACAGAATCGTTTCTTGGACTGAGTGAAAACAAATTCTGCCCGTTGCCTTCTCTGTGTAATTTCTTCAGTCGACTCAAAACTATACTCAAAACTGCCTGCTCTGTGTCTTTTCTCTTGCGTGCAGGGAGCAGCGGCAAAGGCAAGTCCGGGAGAAAGAAGAAGAGCCGGAAGAAGACGGACAAAACGAAGGTGTGTGACGCGGTGGGATGGGATGCGATGGGATGGAATGGGATGTGATGTTCTCCTCATCTAACTTCAACGTCCTTACCTTCAACGTCCTCATCTAAATTTCTTTGTCTTCCTTTTCCCGCTGTCCTCTTCATCTCATGTTTCCCCCTTGTTATCTTCTCCTCCCGTTTCCCTTAGTCCCCTCGTCTTCCAGATTCAGACAAAATCTGCCATCCAGCATCGGGAGGCAGTGCCAGTCAAGACAAAAGCTCAGGAGGGATGGAGAGTGGGGAGGGTGAAGAGGGATTGGAAGGAGAAGTGGAGGAAGAGGGAGTGGAGGGAGGGGAGGGAGAAGGCGGTAAGGAGGGAGGGGCTGCGGTTGTGGTTGATAAGGTGATGGATGGTGGTGGTGGGAGTTTGCTCAAGGCTGACAGACGTGGTGGTGGTGAGGAGGCTTGGCTTGACCATAGAGGGAGGAAGATGGGTGAAGAGAGGTTGGGGCCGGTAGCAGAACAGAGGGCTGCAGCAGCAACATCAGTAGCAGCAGGAGCAGCAGCAGCAGCAACAGCAGCAGAAGGAGCAGGAGTAAGAGGAGAGAAGGGAAGCAGTGGTGCAGTAGGAGTGGGAGGAGCGGCAAGAGAAGAAGAGGCCGCATGCACTGTTGGGAAGGAGAGGAGAGGAGAGGTGGTGAAAAAGGTTAAGACGCCACGGCAGGCTAGGAAGGTGACAAAAGAGGAGCAAGAGGAGGGGAAGATGTTAAAGGAAGGGACTGGGGATGTTCAAGCTAAAGAGGGAGTGAGGGAGGGTAAAGGCAGTGAGGGATGTGTTGAGGGGAGGGGAGGAAAGCACAGCAAGCAGGGGAAGTCTGGGAAGGTGACTCCTCGGCACAAAACTGCTGCAGCAGAAGCTACAGCAGAGCAGGAAACAGCTGGGGTGACTGTATCGAGCTGTGATGTTATCAGAGTTGAATCCAAGACAGTGGAGGTGGCAGCAGATGGAGCAGCACGAGTTGCATCAGAAGGAGCAGCAGCAGAAGGAGAAGCAGCAGAAGGAGGAGCAGCAGAAGGAGAAGCAGGAGCATCAGCAGCAGAGGGAGGGTCAGCACGAACAGCCGCAGCTGGGTCTGTTGTTGTTGAAGGCTCTCAATCCCGCAGCCGGGACAAGTCCAGCCGTGCCAGTACCCCTGTGTCCCGTCGTGCCAACACCCCTGTCTCTAGCAGCTCATCTATCTCAATGGGAGTGGGAGACACTTGGGCAGCAGAGCAGCAGGCACGGCCGCTCCCTTCTCCTGTGAAAACGCCCAAGAAGAAAAAGAAGAAGAAACATTCAGTTTGCCAGCAGCAGCAAGAAACAGGGCGGGAGGAAATACGACAGGAAGGAGTAAGGCAGCAGGTGCAGGAGATGGAAGAGCAGCAGGAGGAGGAAGAGGAAGGAGAGGAGGATATAGCGGAGCGAAAGCGACAAGAGCAGCAAATTGCTGGCTCTGGTGAAGCTGCTGATGCTGTTGGTGATGTTGGTGGTGCAATTGGTGCCGCTGGTGCTACTGGTGCAGGTGATACTGGTGGTGGCGCTACTGGTGCAGGTGATACTGGTGGTGGTGCTACTGGTGCAGGTGATACTGGTGGTGGTGCTACTGGTGCAGGTGATACTGGTGGTGGTGCTACTGGTGCAGGTGATACTGGTGGTGGTGCTACTGGTGCAGGTGATACTGGTGGTGATAAGCGTACAGATGTGCATGCTGCAGTGCCTGCAGCGCAGCTGAGCATAGCAGGGTCTGGCCGGATGAATGGCGACCCAGAAGCAGAGACAGCAGCAGCAGCAGCAGCAGCAGCAGCAGCAGCAGCAGCAGCAGCAGCAGCAGCAGCAGCAGCAGCAGCAGCAGCAGCAGCAGCAGCAGCAGGGGAGAGAGCAGCAGGAGAGGCAGCGATAGGTGAGACAGCAGCAGCACCAGCGTCAGTGCTGGAAGCAGCAGCAGCAGAAGCAGCAGCAGCAGAAGCAGCAGCAGCAGAAGCAGCAGCAGCAGAAGCAGCAGCAGCAGAAGTAGCAGCAGCAGCAGCAGCAGCAGCAGAAGTAGCAGCAGCAGCAGCAGCAGCAGCAGAAGTAGCAGCAGCAGAAGTAGCAGCAGATGCAGTTGCAGTTGCAGAGGGGCAGGTGAGCAGGCCGCATGAGAAAGGAATGGAATCTACCCACAGCAGCCTGCAATACCCTGCCGTGGCTGCTTGGCATGTGCATAGTCACAAGCAGCAGCAGCAGCAGCAGCAGCAGCAGCAGCAACACCACCACCACCACCAGCAGCAGCACTTGATTCACAGGAACGCACAGGGTGACAGTGCCATTGGTACCACTACTCACTCAGCACATGTTGAGCACTCTGCCCACTCTGCATCCACTCCACTCCCCCAAGGACCGTCCTGGCAGCCCTTTGTCTCGAGGCTGCAACAGAGCCCAGGTGGTCCCAGTGAAGCAGGCAGAGAGTACAGCCCCAAGGGACGCACACCACAATACAGCCTGCCAGGCTTTACACAACCTAGCAGTGGCAGCAACGGCAGCGGCAGTGGCAACGGCAGAGGCAGCGGCAGCGGCAGCGGCAACCCGCATATGAGCCCTACGAGAAACAGTGACAGGCAGTCCCCACTGCCGCATCTCCCTCCGTTGCTCTACTCGCCCCCCCAGCCATCTTTCTTTGACCTGCCTCTCCATCTCGCCCACCAACACCACCAGCCCTGGATGGCCCGAGTCTCACCACCCGGTCCACCAAGTCAATGGAGTCAACCAGGCGTTTCAACTCCGCCTGGTCACTTGGGTCAATGGAGTCAACCAGGCATCTCCACACCTCCTGCTCAGCAGGGTCAACCTGACCAGGAGCACCCAAGTCAATCAAGTCAACAGGGCCATCCAAGTCAACTGGTTCAATTAGGTCAACAAGGCCAGTCCCCTTTGGAGCAGCAAGTGCTGCATAGCAACCACTACAGACACACTTGGCCGCCCGTGTCTGACGACCAGATTCCAATTCGTAGCAGCAGTGCGGGCGGCAGAAACAGAAGCGCGGGTAATAGCAGTGGCGGCAGCAGCAGCAGCAGCCGCACAGGAATCAGCATGCTAAGCACCAGCACTGGCACCACCAGCACTGGTACCACCACTGACACTGCTGCTGCTACTAATCTTCCTCCTGCCACTGCTGCTGCTGCTTTCCCTGGTGCGCCTGGGTTCGGGTTCCCACCGTTCGCTGCTTCTGCTGCTGCTAGTGCCTCAGCCTCCCCGTCTCCTCTCTCCCCCGCTGCTTCCCCTGCAGCAGCATCAGCAGCTGCAGCCGCAGCAGCAGCGGCAGGGGCGGCACCAGCGGTTGTGGCAGGGCGGGCAGCAGGGGCGGAAAGATTTGCAAGTGCGGGCAGCGCAAAAGTTTTGGGCACCAGTGAAGATGCATGGGAGGTTGCTACTCTCCTCCAAACCTTCATCCAGCTCCTCCATCTGGACTCCCACATTGAAGTGGTTTTCAAGCAAGGGCTAGGATCGTCTCTCGCCACGTCAGCTTTTTCCTTAACCAGAGGATTTTCGTCAGGTGGCGGATTGTTTGGTGGAGCGAATGTGATTGGGCAGCTCCCGCAGCCTCGGCGGTCAGCTTCGGCAGCGTCGGACCTGGAGGTAGCTTCGGATGTCCGGCCAGGTTCGGTGAACCTGGCACATCACCTGAGGTCGGGGGGGTTCCTCAGCTTCTCGTTGTCGCAGCCGGTGTTACCAGGTTACAGGGTTTCGTCTCCTGCTGCTCCTGGTGTTCCTGCTTTTTCTGCTGAGGTTCGTCCTTCTGCTGGACCTGCCGGTCCCGCTCCTGCCAGTCCCGCTCCTGCCGGTCCTGCTGGTGCTGCTAATGAAGCTCATACTGTCCTTACTCCATTGGATCGGGCAATTATGGCTGCTGGAGTTCCCAGTGGGCATGGGACAGTAACTAGTGGAGGACACAACAGTCACATGACTATATCGAGTAATCGGGCCAATGGGCCTTCGGCTTATGGTCATCCCCATCTTCAAGGCCACCATAGCCACCTCCACTATTACCCCCATAACCACCAAAACCAGGGGTATTTGCCCAACTACCCTGACGACGAGCGTACGCTTTATAACCAGCGTCTAATGCATAGTAATGGGGTGCAGAGCAGTGGAAGGATGGTGGCCAATCAAATGAGCGGAGGAATGGATCCTATTGGCCACTCTCGGCGCAATTCACAGGGTAATTGTGATGCAGGTGGTAAGAATTTGGTACAGGGTAATTGCGGTGCTGGCGAGCATTTACCCTCCGACCCTTTTGCAGATGGTGCGTCACTGAGAGTGGATTATCGAGAGGGGTATTTTGATCTGGGACCTGGACGGCAAGAACAAATGGTTTCCGCTAGTGTTGGCATACCACTTCATGGGATGGATTCGCCGTTTGATAGATTTGTTGGTGACTTTTCACACTATTCGTCACAACATGGGTCTTCTTCTGAAGCAGGTGGCTCTTTCAGATGAAGGGTCTCTTGTTTGGGGTGCGGTGTTGTAAAGCGAAATTAATTGTGTTGTACCATTTTTATCATTGCTTTCTGTATATTGTAGGTTATGCCCAAAGATTAATGGGTTCTACACTGTACCCGAATCCCTCCGTAACCATTCACTACATCGAGTACAGGACAGAAACTGGTTTCTGTGACCCAATTACTTCTGACCACTTCTAGGTTGTGCTAGGCTAGGTGATAGGATTCAAAACGCTATGACAAAAACGTCAGTGTCGCAATGGCGGTGATTCGGACCTAGGCATTCACGATTACGAAACGCACATTTGTAAATGATAGGACGTAGAGTTATCAGTCTGATCGCCGTAAACCAGTATTTCTAGTGGGATCCCATCCACGTGTCGCCATTTTAATCCAGTCTGAACGCCGTGAATCAGTGGCGTCGCTTCCAATTTTTCGAGGACCCCGCGTCCGTCGATTATTGAGTTGACTAAGAAGTCATGCAAACCCATTGAAACCCATTCTAACGCATTTAAACCGATTCTAATCTCAGTCTGGTCGACATGAATCAGTGGCGTCGATTCCAGTTCTTCGAGGACCGCTCGCCCGTCGGGCCGCTAGCCGACGTGCTCGCGGAGGGCGTGCGGTGCGGCGCGGGTGGCCGAGGCCGACTAGCCGTTGGCACAGAGAGCGGCTCGGTGCTGTTGCTAGATCGGTCGCTGCAGGTTCGACGAAGCTTCGTGGCTCATGAAGGCCCAGTGGCGTTTCTACACCTGTTCAAAGTGAGACTGGGCTTTCAAAGGTCTTCGAAATTGAAACATAGGTTGTTGGCTGCTGCTTCTGCGTGATCTGTTCCCACTTGGTTGACGTCTACTTCAGGTAATACACTGCCATTTATTTCAGGTCACATCCTGCCATCCACTTGACGTAACATCCTGACATCCACTTGAGGTAACATCCTGACATTCATTTCAGGTAACACCCTGACATCCATTTCAAATAACATCCTGACATCCGTTATCAGGTAACATCCTGACATTCACCTTATGTAACAATCTCATTCTCATATTCCTCCCTTCCTTCCCCTCCCTCTTCCCCTCACGCCTCCGCCTGCAGCAACGCAGTTGTCTGTTGACCGTGGGCAAGGAGGCAAGGGGAGCAGCAGTGAAGCTGTGGGACCTGGACAAGGCTGCTGCTTCAGGTGCTTCAGGTGCAGCAGCAGCGGAGGGAGGTGCACTGGCGCTTCTAAAGACCTATAACATCTTCTCAGACGCCTTTCCTGCTGCACAGGTGAGTAAGATTGATCATGTTGACTGGGTGATATGTTGAATGTGCGACTGTGTTGAGTGTTGGAGAGGAGAGGTGCACTTGCTCTTCTACGGACCTATAACATCTTCTCAGACGCCTTTTCTGCTGCACAGGTGAGAAAGATTGATCATGTTGACTGGGTGATATGTTGAATGTGCGACTGTGTTGAGTGTTGGAGAGGAGAGGTGCACTTGCTCTTCTACGGACCTATAACATCTTCTCAGACGCCTTTCCTGCTGCACGGGTGAGTAAGATTGATCATGTTGACTGGGTGATATGTTGAATGTGCGACTGTGTTGAGTGTTGGAGAGGAGAGGTGCACTTGCTCTTCTACGGACCTATAACATCTTCTCAGACGCCTTTCCTGCTGCACGGGTGAGTAAGATTGATCATGTTGACTGGGTGATATGTTGAATGTGCGACTGTGTTGAGTGTTGGAGAGGAGAGGTGCACTTGCTCTTCTACGGACCTATAACATCTTCTCAGACGCCTTTCCTGCTGCACGGGTGCGTGAGTAAGTGAGTGTAAGAATGTTGATTGGGAGGGAGATACACCTGTTCTTGCGCGGACCTATAACATCTTCTCAGAGGCCTTTCCTGCTGCACAGGTGAGTGAGCGAGCGTGTGGTGGTCATGCCTAACGGACGCCTTTCCTGCCCTGGGACCTGCCCTGGGACCTGCCCTGGGACCTGCCCTGGGACCTGCCCTGGGACCTGCCCTGGGACCTGCCCTGGGACCTGACCTGGGACCTGCCCTGGGACCTGCCCTGGGACCTGCCCTGGGACCTGCCCTGGGACCTGCCCTGGGACCTGCCCTGGGAATCTTCAATAAAATGAAGCAGTTTCACGTTTCCCCATTCCCCATGCGTGCAGATCACAGCCTGTGCCACTCGCGAGGCGCCACAGCTAGGCTACCTCCTGTCTTCCCTTCCTGTCCTTCCCCCTTTCCTACCCCCTGTTCCTTTCCCTGACCGTCCCCTGCCCCCCCTCCCCTCCTTCCCGTTCCTCATGCGTGCATTGAGACGTCTCAAAAACACCCTCATTCCTCATGCGTGCAGATCACAGCCTGTGCCATCCGCGAGGCGCCACAGTTAGGCTACCTCCTGGCCGTTGGATTGGCCACAGGAGCCGTTGATGTGCTCCTGGCAGACTCGTCCATGCGGATCAAACGGCTGAGAATCCCTCCCAACAGCAGCAGCCAGGGGCAAGGGGGGGCAGGGGGAGTGGGCGGAGTGGGGGGAGAAGGCGGAAGAGAGGGGGCAGGGGAAGGTGGAGGGGGAGGGGGAGGAGATGCGTTGGGTGTTGGGGAAGGGAGAGGAGGTATAGCAGCAGGAGGAGCGGCAGCAGGAGCAGGAGCAGGAGTAAAGAGCGATCACTCAGGCCCTTTTGAGAATTCTCAAAAGTCAGGCCCTTCCATCTCTGCTTCTGCTTCTGCTTCTGCTTCTGCCTTGGCTTCAACTGCTGGAGCTCTCCCCCCCGTTGCAGTCACAGGGCTGGGGTTCAGGATCCTGGATTCGGGCCCACAGCTCTTTATAGTCACGGGCGAGACAGTCACACTGTACACTCTTCCCAGTGGCATGTTTGGGGCTGCAGCGGAGGGAGGGTGGGCAGGGAAGGGAGGTGGAGGAGGAGGAGGGGGAGGAGGGTGGGGGGTTGTGCTTGAAGAGAGAGGAGGGGATTTGTTCTGCTCTGCCATGACTGATACTCAAGTGAGCGCGAGTGAGAGCGAGTGAGCGTGAGTGAGGGTGAAGGTGAGTGAGGGAGCGGGAGCAGGAGTGAGTGTGCGTGAGTGAGGGTGAGTGAGCATGAGTAAGTGCTGAGTGAGGGTGAGTGAGGGTGAGTGAGCATAAGTGGAGGCGAGTGAGTGTGGGTGAGCATGAGTGAGGTTCATCCCTGCTCCCTGCCGACTCCCCGCCTTCTCTTCTCTCACTTGCATTGCATCCCCTCTCACCCTCTTCCCACCAGGACCTGATGGTGGAGCGCCCAGTGGCCTTCTCCCTTATCCCTCTCTTATCCCACTCGTATCCCTCTCTCCCTCGCTCTCGTTCCCACCCTCACTCTCAGTCATCCCTTCCTTCTCTCCCCCTCTCAGGACCTGGTGGTGGCGCGTCCAGAAGCCTTCTACTGCTTCAGCGAGGATGGGCCGGGGGCGTGCTTTGGTCCGGTCCGGCCCCTCCCCCCCTGCCTCTGCCTCTTCCACGCCTCATCAATCCTCTCTCTCCCAAGCGGTCCATGTATTAGATCCTCTCCCTCTCTCATTCATCTCCTCCCTCTCTCCCTCTCCCATCAGGACCTGGTGGTGGCGCGTCCAGCAGCCTTTTCTTGGTTCAACGAGGATGGCCCGGGGGCGTGCTTTGAACTAATCCTTATTTCTCTCCCCAGTATCCGTTGCACACGCACACACACTCTCTCTCCTTTCCCCCTTTACCCCTCTCAGGACCTGGTGGTGGCGCGTCCAGAGGCGTTCTACTGGTTCAACGAGGATGGCCCGGGGGCGTGCTTTGGGCTGGACGGCCCCAAGCACCGCCTCGCCTGCCTGCGAGGCTACCTGCTCTGCCTGCACTCGCCGCCCTCCCCTGCTCCCACCGCTGCTGCCTCTGCTGCTGCTGGCCCGGCAACAACCGGTAGTGGTGGCGGCAGCGGTGGCAGCGGCGGTGGTGGTGGCGGCAGTGGGGAGTCTCGAAAGCAGCAGCAGCAGCAGCAGCAGCAGCAGCAGCAGCAGCAGCAGCAACACCATCAGAAAATGGTGCTGTCAGTGTATGACACACGCAACAAGCTGGTGGTGCATTCTGCGCCGCTCACTCCCGCCGCCTCTCTCCTCGCACCCCTGCTGCTGCTGTGCGAAGGGGGAGCTGTGGTGCTGCTCTCCCTGCACCGGCGAGGAGATGGGGGAGCAGGAGGAGATGCAGGAGGGGTCTCAGCAGCAGGGGTTTCAGGAGGAGGGGCTTCAGCAGGGGGAGGAGGCGGCGGAGGCGTAACGGGTGGAGGGGCAGGAGGAGCAGCAGGAGGAGTGGGTGCAGGGCGTGTGGAGGCGAGGGGGCTGCTGCTGGTGGAGAGGGACATGGCGTGGAAGCTGGAGGCCCTTTTTCGAAAGGGCTTGTATTTGAGTGCACTGGACCTCGTGGTGTCTCAGGGAGGCGATGCTGCTGCGACTGCTGAAGTGCTCAGAAGATACGGGGATCATTTGTATGCCAAGCAGGTGAGAAACGGGTGGGATATGGGGTGTAGATGGGTGTGAATTTGGTGCCTGCTAGTGGAGTGCGTATTGAGTGGAGGCGAGGGGGCTGCTGCTGGTGGAGAGGGACATGTCATGGAAGCTGGAGGCAATCTTTCGCAAAGGCTTGTATTTGAGTGGAGGGGAGGCGAGGGGGCTGCTGGCTGCTGGTGGAGAGAGGGACATGGCATGGAAGCTGGAGGCTCTGTTCCGAAAAGGGCTCTACTCCAGTGCACTGGACCTCGTGGTGTCTCAGGGAGGCGATGCTGCTGCCACGGCTGAAGTTTTGAGACGATATGGCGATCATCTGTATGCAAAACAGGTGCGTGAGGTCTAGGTGTGAATGGGTGTGGATGGGTGATTTTCAGGGGTTCAATTCTGCTCTGAACGGGCCTGCACTGAGGCAGTTTGCGCGTGGGGTGGAGGCGGGGGGGCAGTGCGGGTGGAAGCGAGGGCGTTGCTGCTGGTGGAGAGGGACATGGCGTGGAAGCTGGAGGCGCTCTTTCGAAAGGGGCTGTACTCCAGTGCACTGGACCTCGTGGTGTCTCAAGGAGGAAACGCTGTTGCCACGGCTGAAGTGCTCAGAAGATACGGAGACCATTTGTTTGCAAAGCAGGTGGGGCATGGGTACAAATGGGTGTGAATGGGTGCTTTTTGGGGGGTTTTTCAGGAAGGGGCTGTACTCCAGTGCACTGGACCTCGTGGTGTCTCAGGGAGGAAACGCTGTTGCCACGGCTGAAGTGCTCAGAAGATACGGAGACCATTTGTATGCAAAGCAGGTGGGGTATGGGTACAAATGGGTGTGAATGGGTGCTTTTTGGGGGGTTTTTCAGGAAGGGGCTGTACTCCAGTGCACTGGACCTCGTGGTGTCTCAAGGGGGTGACGCTGTTGCCACGGCTGAAGTGCTCAGAAGATACGGAGACCATTTGTTTGCAAAGCAGGTGGGGCATGGGTACAAATGGGTGTGAATGGGTCCTTTTTGGGGGTTTTTTCAGGAAGGGGCTGTACTCCAGTGCACTGGACCTCGTGGTGTCTCAAGGGGGTGACGCTGTTGCCACGGCGGAAGTGCTCAGAAGATGCGGGAACCATTTGTTCGCAAAGCAGGTGGGGCATGGGTGTGAATGGGTGTGAATGGGTGCATGCTATGGTAGGGGCTCTGTTTTGGAAGAGTTTGTAAGCAAGTGCGCTTGTACTTGGGCAGGTGCAGCCGTCGCCGTCATACGTGATTCAGCGCTACCTGCGCGCCCAGCGGTTGACCCTGCTCATCCTCCTGTCCTCTCCCTGTCCCTGCACAACAGGACTATGAAGAAGCAATGGGCCAATACGAGCGCACGTTCGGGCAGGTGGAGCCGTCCTCCCCACCCCCCCCCTTTACTAACACTATCCCCCTCCCCTCCTCCCCTTTCCCCCAGTAGGACCATGAGGAGGCAATGGGCCAGTACAAGCGCACCATTGGGCAGACGTCGCCGTCATACGTGATTCAGCGCCACTCCCCCTCCCCCCTTTTTCCTTAAACAGGACTATGAGGAGGCAATGGGCCAGTACGAGCGCACCATTGGGCAGGTGGAGCCTTCATACGCGATTCAGCGCTACCTGCACGCACGCCCTCAGAAATACAGTATTCCCTTCCCTCCCCGCCTGCACACTCACGTTAGGACTATGAGGAGGCAATGGGCCAATACGAGAGGACCATCCGGCCGGTGGAGCCGTCATACGTGATTCAGCGCTACCTGCACGCACGCCCTCAGAAATACAGTATTCCCTTCCCTCCCCGCCTGCACACTCACGTTAGGACTATGAGGAGGCAATGGGCCAATACGAGAGGACCATCGGGCAGGTGAAGCCGTCATATGTGATTCAGCGCTACCTGCAGGGCCACAGGAACACAGTATCCCCTTTTCCCTCCCCGCCTGCACACTCACTTCAGGACTACGAGGAAGCAATGAGGCAGTATGAGCGCACAATCGGGCAGGTGGAGCCGTCATACGTGATTCAGCGCTACCTGCACGCCCACAGGAACACAGTATCCCCTTTTTCCTCCCCGCCTGCACACTCACTTCAGGACTACGAGGAAGCAATGGGGCAGTATGAGCGCACGATCGGGCAGGTGGAGCCGTCGTACGTGATTCAGCGCTACCTGCACGCCCAGCGGCTGAGCCTGCTGGCCCGGTACTTGGAGCGGCTGCACGATAAGGGCGTGGCTACGCCGGATCACACCACTCTGCTTATCAACTGCTTCTCACGCCTCAAGGTGAGTGGATTTTGTGTGTGTGTGTGTGTGTGTGTGTGTGTGTGTGTGTGTGTGTGTGTGTGTGTGTGTGTGTGAGTGTGTGTGTGTGTGAGTGTGTGTGTGTGTGTGTGTGTGTGTGTGTGTGTGTGTGTGTGTGTGTGTGTGTACGTGCGTGCGTGCGTGCGTGCGTGCGTGCGACAACTGCCTCCAATACAACGAGACGAGAAGGCCGTGGCTACGTCGGGGCCACTCTGCTTATCAACTGCTACTCACGCCGCCTTAAGGTGAGTGGATTTTGTGTGCGTGTGTGCGTGCGTGCGTGCGTGCGTGCGTGCGTGCGTGCGTGCGTGTGTGCCTGCGTGCGTGCGTGTGTGAACTGCCTCCAATACAACGAGACGAGAAGGCCGTGGTTACGTACGGGGCCACACCGCCCTGCTTATCAACTGCTACTCCCACCTTGTGTAATGAGTCTGCTTTTGAGTTGTCTCAAAAGCATGCTTGTCAAACAACTGCTTCTCCCACCTCGTGTAATGAGTCTGCTTTTGAGTCGACTCAAAAGCATGCTTATCCATCAACTGCTACTCCCACATCAAATGGCAAATGGATCCATTCAAGTGGATTGTTGTATGGGTGCAAGCGGGTCACACCCATGGTGACTTTTGAGTCGACTCAAAAGCCATTCAAGTGGATTGTTGTATGGGTGCAAGCGGGTCACACCCATGGTGACTTTTGAGTCGACTCAAAAGCCATTCAAGTGGATTGTTGTATGGGTGCAAGCGGGTCACACCCATGGTGACTTTTGAGTCGACTCAAAACCCATTCAAGTGGATTGTTGTATGGGTGCAAGCGGGTCACACCCATGGTGACTTTTGAGTCGACTCAAAAGCCATTCAAGTGGATTGTTGTATGGGTACAAGCGGTTCACTTCACACCCATTTTCACCTTTCTCGCATACCCGCGGACCACCGTTCTCTCATCCCCACCGTTCTCTCATCCCCACCGTTCTCATTCACACATACTGCATTCCTGCGCATCCCTCTGCACCCATTTGCACCGTTCTCTCATCCCCGCCCACCAGGATGTTGCTAAACTGGATGCTTTTGTCCGGGCCGGCTTCGATTCCCCATCCTCCATCGAACCACCAACCACAGCCACACCCAAGCCTTCATCTGCCCCCTCCTCTTCCTCCGCTCTCCCTCACTCCCTCACCCTCTCACTCCCTCACACCTCCTCCTCTCCCTCTCTCCCGTACGATGCCGACACAGTGATCCAAGTCTGCTGCTCCGCAGGGTATTACAACCAAGCTCTTTTCGTCGCTCAGCGCGCCGCTAAACATTCCGCTTACTTAAAAATCCTCGTGGAGGATCTACACCGCTACGCCGACGCCCTTGCCTTCATTTCTGCCCTCGCCGACCGGGCGAAGATTGTTTCGGCTGCCCGGGAATACGGGCCGGTGCTGGCGGCTCACCTGCCCGAGGAAACTATTTCTCTGTTCTTGGAGCTCTGCACGGGATTCGGTAGCAGCAGAGATGGAGGGGGGATGGGAGCCGGGGCTGTCTCAACAGGTGGGGAAGGATCAGGGGGAACTGGAGCAGGCCCCTCCAGGTTTAGGGATAACAGAGAGTCTGCCTCTCCTCGACCCAGCCCTGGTGCCTCTTCAGGTGCTTCTTCAGGTGCTGCTGCTGCTGCTGATGCAGCTGCAGGCACAGGAGCAGCAGCAGCAACACCAAGAGGAGGAGGAGCAGCAGTTGCCCCGGTTACCATCCCCCCTCGTTCTTCCAGCTTTCGAAAGTCACTCGTTTCCGGCTCGGGCAGGCTCATGGGCAGCCCGGGCAGTTCGGGCAGCAGCAGCGCCGGCACGAAAATTCGCATCATGGACCCCGGGCAGCAGCAAAAATACCTGTCACCAATGGAGCTAGCCCCGGTGTTTGTGGACCAACCACGTTGCCTGATGAAGTTCCTAGAAGCCTATGTAGACCGAGTTATAGACTCCCCGTGGCATAAAGACGCTCTGAACTCGCTCCTCGAGTTATACCTTTGTTATGAGACCTCGGCCGTCCTCCCATCCTCCTCCTCCCTCCCGTCGGATTTGCTTTCCTCACCCTCTGACTCTGAACTTCCAAGTTTTGAGTCAGTTTTGAAAGCTGCCGCTGACGTCGCTGCCAGTGCTGCTAATTCTGCTTGCAACGATGGCATGGGCAGCTCGATTCTTTCAGGGGATTCTGCCCGGACAGACCCTGTGCGGTGGGCAGAACGAAGGATGCTTCTCGGGCAGCAAAAAGAGAGAGAAGCAGCAGCAGCAGCAACAGCAGCAGCAGTACTGCTACCACCTCCTATTTCGTCCCCCCTTCTCCCACCTCCCTCACTTCTCCTCCTGCTACTGCTGCAGCTGCTGTTGCTGGAATAGGAGGAACAAGAGCGAGTGGAGAGGGGGGTGGTGAAAGACTAGTTATTGTGTCGACCAGAAGTGCAGAGGGCAATGATCGGGCGGCTTGTTTGGCAAAGGCGGGTGCATTGCTGCGAGCCTATTGGCAGCAGCAGTCGGCTCCTCGTTACGACGCTGACCTGGCACTGCTGACGTGTCAGGTGAGTGAGTACATTCTTTTGTGTGTTACATTCAGTGTTTGCAAGCTCGTCTCCTCTCTTTTGTTTTTTTCCACATGGAACTTTCAAAAGTGATTCCAGTATTGCGTTTATGTGTTGGATGTAAGATTTTTTAACCGCATCCCCTTTGTTCCCGCCTCCGCCTTCCCGCTCCTCTCCTCCCCTGTCTTCTCTCCTCCCCTGTCTTCTCCCTCACCCGTTCCCTCGCTTCCCCGCTCGTTTCTCCTTTCCCCCTCCCAGGTACGTGGTTTCAGGGATGGGCTTCTGTTTCTGTATGAGAGAATGCGGCTGTTCAAAGAAGCCCTGGCGATGCACAGCCTTCACCCCCCTCCATCCCCTACTGCCCCCTGCTTCCCTGGTGCACGGCTTTAGAGACGGGCTCCTCTTTCTCTGCGAGAGAATGCGGCTGTTCAAAGAGGCCCTGGCGATGCACATGCGGGAGGGCGACAGCAAGGGGCTCATTGCTGCCTGCAAGCGACTGGGGGAAGCTGATGCTCCCTCCTCTCCTCCCATCCCCTCTCCATCCCCTCGCAGGTGCATGGCTTCAGAGACGGGTTACTATTTCTGTATGAACGAATGCGGCTGTTTAAAGAGGCCCTGGCGATGCACATGAGGGAGGGCGACAGCAAGGGGCTGATTGCTGCCTGCAAGCGGCTGGGGGATGCAGGGAGAGGGGGGGACCCCAGTGTGTGGGCGGACGTTGTGAGGTACCTGGGGGAACGGGGGGAGGCATGCGGGGAGGAGGTGGCGGAGGTGTTGAGTGCGGTGGAGAGTGGTAACCTGCTGCCGCCGCTGCTGGTGTTGCAGGTGAGATGATTGCTGGTGGTTGCTTTGGCGGGTTTGCACTGGAAAATGTTGGGACTCTCTCTCTCTCTGAACCCACACATCATGGTGGGGGAGATTTTAGACGTCTCAAAGCACTTCTTTTATCATGTTTGAGTGCTTTATCGAGTGGGGCTATGTGTTGCTGCACTGCTATGTGTTGTGGTGGCACTTGCACATGCAAATCTTGAGGCGCCTCAAAAACCCTCCACACCAGGCTCTCTCTCTGAAGCCACACATCATGGTGGGGGAGATGCGGGACCATGTGTCACAGCACTTGCACGTGCATATCTTCTCCCCCCTTTGAGAATTCTCAAAAGTCACTTGCACGTGCATATCCTCTCCCCCCTTTCTCCTCGCTATTCCTTCTCCTCCCTCGCCCCCCATTGGCTTTGCGTGTAATGAGTTGTGTTTTGAGTCGACTCAAAACGCAAATCTTCTCCCCCTTTCTCTTTGCTGTTCCTTCTCCTCCTCCCTCACCCCCCTCTGGCTGTGCTGCTAACCAGACTCTCTCGCACAACCCACACATCACGGTGGGGGAGGTGCGGGACTATGTGTCCCGGCACTTGCAGCAGGAGACAGCAGTCATTGAGGAGGACCGGCGAGCGATTGAGAAATACCAGGTGGGGAGGAGGAGTGGGAGGTGGTGGGGAGGGGTGGGAGCAGGTGAGGATGGGTGCAAGCAGGTGAGGATGGCAGATGATGGGGGTGCACACACATACACACATACTACAACCCACACATCAAGGTGGGGAAGGTACGGGACCCCACACATCACGGTGGGGGAGGTACGGGACTATGTGTCCCGGCACTTGCAGCAGGAGGCTGCCATTATCTAGGAGGACAGGCGGGCGATTGAGAAATACCAGGTGTGGATGGGTGGAGGCATGTGGGGATGGATGGAAGCAGGTGATAGATGCACACACACACACCCGTACAGGGATGTGGATAGGGAGTAGCATGAGTTGTGACACTTGCAGCAGGAGACGGCCATTATTGAGGAGGACTGGCAGGCGATTGACAAGTACCAGGTGGGGAGGAGTCGGAGAAGGTGAGGAGTGGGAGCAGGTGGGGATGGTTGGCAGCAGATGGGGATGGGTGGCAGCAGGTAAGGATGGGCCAGTGCAACTCCCTGCTTGATCTCCTCGAGGCGCCTCAAATTTCCCAAAGGAGCTTCACCAGCTCAGCTCCCCACTGCTCCTCCCGCCGTGCTCACTGCAACTCGCTGCTCAGCCGCTCTGTCTGTCCCTTATACCTCCCTGATATCCACCCCTCCCAACGCAGCACGAGACTGGCAAGTACAGGAAGGAGCTGCACCAGCTTCTGACCTCGTAAAAGCCAAAACACACACACACACACACACACACACAAAACATAACAAAACAGCTTCTCACCGAACCTCTCGTCTTCCAGTCCTCCCGCTGTGCCGAGTGCAACTCACCAATCAACCTTGCTGAACCTCTCCCCTCTCTCTCCTCCTCTCTCCGTCTCTCTCCCCTCTCTCACACCCTGTTTGTGCCCACTTACCCCAACAGCACGAAACGGACAAGTACAGGAAAGAGCTGCTCCAGCTTCTGACCGAACCTCTTGTCTTCCAGTCCTCCCGCCGTGCTGAGTGCAACTCGCTACTCGATTTCACAGATCCTCTCCCCGCTCTTTCCATCTCTCACCCTCCTTTTGTATACCCTGCCTATGACCCCAACAGCACGAGACGGACAAGTATAGAGAAGAGCTGCACAAGCTTCTGACCGAACCACTCGTGTTCCAGTCATCCCGCTGTGCCGAGTGCAACTCGCCGCTCGATATCCCCGCCGTCCACTTCTTTTGTCTGCATGCGTTCCACCTGCGCTGCCTCGCCGACCCAACCACGGCTGTAGCAGCCGCTACAGCTGCCGCTGCCGCCTCCCTTGCAGGTGACATGGGGGGGGTGATTGGGGGTGGAGGGGTGATGGGAGGAGGTGTGGGAGGGGGTGGGTATGGCGGGGCAAGAGCAGGGGGGTATGGAGGAGGGTTGGGAGCGGTAGGTGGAGAGGGAACGGGAGGAGAGGGAGAGGACGGAGAGGAAGGGGGGATGGAGTGTCCCAAGTGTGCGGCGTCGTACCGGGTGGTGAGGGAGATGCGGGTGGGATTGAGGCAGAGTGCGGCGGACCATGATAGATTTTTTCAGGAGCTGCATGACGCCCGCGACGGCTTTGGCGTCGTCGCTCACTACTTTGGCCGCGGGCTGGTCGGCGCTGGAGGAAGCTGCACGGAAGGCGCCTCGTAGTGCGAGTTTGATTTTTTTTATTTCCAAGAGGAAAATGGAGGGCTTTGGCAGCAAAACCAGTCCAGAGGGTGCGTTTGGGGTCATGTCAGTGTGACCTGGGTGTTCCATATCAAGGTCTTCAAGAGGTTACCAACAGGCGTGATACATGTGCGATTTCGAATTTTTTCTTAGTCAAAAGTCTCTTGAATGGGTAGGAAATCGTATTTCATACGTTCCAGTCATTTTCCCGACTTACGCTCACCAGCAAGATGGTGAGCAAAACCCGGGAATATTCAAGTTAGGTGTGGAGGTCGGGCTTGGGTGTACAATATTCAATATTTAGTGGAGCGGGCATCCCCTCTGACTGGGCACTGTATGAAAGAGGACACGGATCTCTCTTCAGGCGACAGGGATCTGTCATGATGACTTGGCGACAGAAAAGCGTCGTAAGAAGTCGCTCTCAACTCGCAATGAGCGACTGTGCGATTGGATAAGGAGATCTTCCAGGTCGCGTAAAGTCGTGCCATCTCACGCGCGAAAGACTTTCGGTGGCCGAGGGAAATGCGGCGACGTGATATTTCTCGTTTTAGCACGAGCCCTCACCCTGTGACCACGCGCTCCGTTCAGGGGCTCCTCAAGTCCACAGATTACTCGTGTGCTGGCAGCCTCTCCGCACGTCGCGCTAGCGAGGAAATTTTACGTGTGTTGCTCTTTGCGCCACGCCGACAGGTAAAAACCGTTCGGCCAATACGGAGGGACGGAATCTTTTGGGGGAAGCATCTTCCGACGGATCTCCCTGGACCTCGCCCCCTCCTAGCACAACGCGGTTCCATTCATGAGTGTTCCAGACCGTTCACTGAATCTATCCTGCTGCTATGAGCACCACAAAGATGTTGGGCCTCACGTAACTTTTGTCTTCTGCCCTATCCGTAAGGAAGTCCAATCATGCACAAAACAAAAACAAGACACAGAACACATGCGAACAAAAGTACCGCAGTCCAACGAAACTAACGAATCAGTTACTGCAGGAGCCTTTTTCGCCTCTAGCTCGCCCACGTCACGTCACGACATGCCTCTACCCTCCGCCCAACCTCCCTCTGCCCGTGCCTGCCCATCGCCGCCATTCCAATCTGCCCCGTACTCAAATCTGCCCTCGTCGCACCTCTAATCTGCCCCTGCCCGGCTTCCTCCCCTGTTCTTGAAATTTGCCTCGATACGCTCAACCAGGTTCCATCCATGGCCAATGTCGTTCGTTCACCATCGAGCCTTTTAAAAAGGGCACTGTACCGTATTGTACCTTCGTAGGTCTGTGTTCCCCTTGCGATTCCTCTAGAAGCTCATTTAGCTTTTTGCGGCTCTGTTTGGTGGGGGGTACGGAGCGGTGGGTTATTTAGTAAAGAGCCCGCAGCGAATGTTGAATTCCATTAGAGATTTAACTCTTAGAGCAGTGCCACTGCAAAGACTTGCAGTGGCAGGTGCTCCAGAGTCTCCTCTCGCTGTGTCGCTGCATCTACTTCATCCCTCGCGTCCCTAAATTCCGCACTCCCGCGACTTGTCACTAACAGCTTCAAGCAAAACCTCCCAACAGCCTTCCAAGGATCTTCTGGCGGTATGGATAACACTCGCACCCTGCTCCTGCGGCGTCAATCTACCCCGCACGCTTTCGTCCATTCCGGCACTTCCTTGATTCCGTCTTCCGAGAAACGCGCGTCTCAGCACCACCGATCATCGGCGAATTCGCAGCGGAGCCTGCGCCTTGTCCAATCCTCCGGAGTTGCGGCTTTCCCCCGATCTGTGTCCTCTCCCGCCGTTGCTCCGCTCCGGCGATCTCTGTCTTCCCCCGCACCCGACGCCATGACTTCCGCGGCCTGCGGGTTCTCCTCCGGAGTCTCCGCAGCCTCTGGAGTCCTGGGACTTTCGCCCCTTTCGCCGTTAGATCGCTGCGCGGCTCGCAATAAGAACGATACCGTTCTCAACAGCTTTCGGAGGCGTAGCCAAGTCAGAGTCAACCCGGTCCTCGCGGAAAAGCGGAGGAGCGTTACGGCGTCGGTCAAGCGATCCACCACAGCGGCTGCATCCCAGCGTGATGCGTCTTTTGCGGAGCTTATTGACTGTAGCCGAGTCGTAACCCCTTCGTCCAGCGCGCTAGATTCGGCTAGCGCTCCCCCTCCGGCCGTTTCTCCTCCTCGCACCGAAGCCGTCGCGAAGCTTCCGTCGCCTAAGATGGACCGTCGCACGCTTCTGGGACTCGGTCTTGCGACGCTCGCTGCGACGGGAGCCGCGGAGTTAGGATTAGTCGACGCGGCCTTGGCTAAGACCGTAGAGCCTCCTAAGAAGCAGCCGATGTGGTTCTTAGGCGACGCGGCAGGGGGTGTGGACGGGGAAGGGGGGTTACTGGGTAAGAACCCAGCGGGAGCGAGTAAATCGCGCGTGTATGACGCTACAACGGTTGGCGAGCCGGCTCTCGTCGGGGATAAGACGAAGGCGTGGGAGAGGTTGCTGGCGGCGAAGGTGGTTTACCTGGGCGAAGCGGAGGTTGTTCGCGATCCCACGGATAAGGTGCGAAAGCGGATGTGTTAGCAGTGTTATGTTTTAGTTGACTCTCGCACTCCCGCCGCTGCATTTCATGAATTCTTGAATCCGTCGGTGGATTTTTGTTAAGATGTCTCATCCACGTCAATTGCCCCAGCAGCTCCAGACCCAGGCCCCTCATCCCCTTTCTCTTCCGTTTCCGTCCGTCTCGCGTTCCCATCGTCCCGGTCTCTCTCTCTCTCGCGTTTCTTCGCCATCCCGCAAACCAGCCGCTCTTCGCGTCGCCCCCACAGCCCCCACGGTCCCCGCTCCCGCTTCGTAATCTGTTTCGATCCGATTTGATTGGATTCTTGTCCATTCTCCGATTTTTTTTTCTCCATCCTCTCAGGTCGTGGCACTCGAGATTTTGCGCAAGCTGCGCGACGAGTCGTTCGCCGCGGGTCGCCCAGTCACTCTCGCGCTCTCCGCTTTCCCGCGCTCCATGCAACCGCTGCTCGACAAGTTCATCGGAGGAAGGTAGGCATGTTGTGCCCTCTTTTTTTTCCCTTCATCGCGCTTTTCTTTCTCACCTTATTTTCGACCAAGTGCAAACCTCAACGTACTCCAATTTTTATTCGCTGCTGGTTTTTTTTGGGGCAGGCTTCCCGAGGATGAGCTCCAGGTGGCAGTCAACTACTGGCCCAAGGGCCGCTTCCAGGAAATGTTACCACTCCTTCGCTACTGTCGCGAAGCAGGAATTCGCCTGTTCGCGTGCGGCGTGCCCCCCAAGGTGCTTCGCACAGTGCAAGCCGGTGGCATTCAAGCTCTCTCCCCGTCGGACCGCAAAAAGTACGCGCCGCCTCTTGGAGGCGGTTCGGCCGCCTTCCTGCGGCCCGACAGCACCTCTGCCGTCCCCTCGTACGGCACCGCCCCGACCGGCGGCTCGTCGGCACTAGCAGGCGGCGGCATCAGCAGCATCAGCGGCGGCAACGGCGGGCTGCTGGGAATCGAACCCATCGCGAACGCCGCCGAGCCTCTTGTCTCCCGAACCTCCTCCCGAGCCTCGTTCCCGTTCGGCCCGGGCCCGTACTGGTTCGCGCAGGCGCGTGTGGTAGAAGATCACGCTATGGCTGGCGCGATTTCGCAAGCCATGTCAGAAGGCGGGAAGATCGGGCTTCTTGTCGTTCTCACCGGCGCGTCGCACGTGCGATTCGGAGTTAACGGTCGCGGCGTGCCGTCGCGCGTCGCGGATTGGCTGCGCGCGTCGCCGGCGTCGCAGGCCGTCGTGCTGCTGAACCCGGAGCGGCAGCGCGCGCGGCTCGAGTCGGATTTCCCCGAGGCGGATTTCTTCTGGTACTCGGGCAGCTGGGCGTGCACGCGCAACTGCTTCGACCGCGCGGAGATCGCGCGCGTGATGGGCGCGGCTGGGCGCACCCCCGACGCGCTTCCGCGCGACCTGCAAGTCGGGATCGAGCGCGGATTAATCTCCCCCGACACGCTCCAGTCGTTCTTCGAGCTCGAGAACAACCCGCTAGTCGCGGAAGCGACGAAGCGCTTCCAGGGATTGCGAGAACGGTTTTACGCGGATCCGCGATTCCTGCAGCGGCTGTGCACGGAGGAGGCGATTAGCATTGCCACGTCACTCGCCGCCCAGTTTCAGAAGCGCGGAGATCGGTTCTGGTCGGAGCTCGAATATGTTTCAGCGGATATTCTTAGGGGAACGGTGGTGAACTTTTTTTCTGTTTGGCTGCCCGCGCCGCGCCTCTCCTTCAGGGATGCAGCTGGGCCAGCTGCGCAGGCGGCCGGGGGGGCAGCTGGGGAAAAGCTTTTTGGCGGGCTGACCGCGTGGATTTCCACGCTGCCCCACAATGCGTTCCAGATGGCCGGGCCGGGGCAGAATTTCGGCCTTGCGGAGCGAATCGGAACGGTTGTGGTGGCGGGAACGAAACTCTTTTCGGTCGGGTTCGTTTCGAGTTTGGCGACGCTGTCGTTGACGAATTTCCTGGCGGACATGAAAAACAAGCTGCCCGCGAAAACAACCGAGCACGCAGCCAACGGGCAGGTTTCCACAGAAGCAGAAACTGGAGTGGCAGGGGCGGTGGGAGGGGCAGTGGCAGGTTCGGGAACTGCAGCAGCAGCAACTGCCGGGGAAACAGCCGCCAATGGCAGCGGATCTACAGTGGCGAGATCTCCTGTGTTCAAAACAGCATTGGTGTACGGCGCGTTCCTGTCCACGTCAGCGAATCTGCGGTACCAGGCGATTGCGGGGATTGTGGAGCACTGGATCGCCGACTACTACCTGGCGTCCAATCCCGTCGCAGGGACGGCTGTGTCGTTTCTAGCGCGCACTGCGAATTCCTACTGGGGCACCTCGGTACGCTGCATATGTTCTGTCGTTCTCCTCTGTCGCTCTCCCCTTCTCTTCTCCCCTTCCCTCCGTCTCTCCTCCCTCCTCTCCCCTTCACACAATGCATGGATCATACTTGGTTTGCATGCCTGCCTACCTTCTCCTCCCTCCCTCCCTCCCTTCCTTTCCTGCTTCCAGCCGTGAATGCTCCCTGTCTAACGACACCTACGTCCCTCCCATCCCTCCCATCCCTCCCTCCCATTTTTCCTTCCCATCCCCCTCCCATCCCTCCCATCCCTCCCTCCCATTTTTCCTTCCCATCCCCCTCCCTAACTTCAGCAATGGGTGGATCTCGCTCGCTTCACAGGCCTGCAGCAGTCCCCCAAGCCAGCAGCTGATGCTACTGCCGCAGCTGTAGCAGCTACCGCCGCCCTGCCAGCTGGTGCTAATGCTGCTGGTAGCTCTATGGCAGTTGCCGAAATAAACAATCCAACAGCAGCAAATGCAGCAGCAACAGCAGGAGGAGCAGCAGGAACAGCAGTGGCAGCAGCAGCAGCAGCAGATGTTAGCTCCACCCCTGGTGTTTCTGCACCTTCCCTCAATTTTCCTTCCCAAGGCTCCCTGCCTTCACTCGTCCCTGCATATGCCACCGCTTATGCCAGTGCTGCAGATCTCTCCTTTGCTGCTCCTAACGGAGCAGCCTCTAACGAGTTCCCTTATGCTGCTCAAACAGCTTCAGACACAGCTTCGTCGTCCTATGCTGCTGCCGCACCTGCGTCTGCTTCTGCTGATGTTGCTGGATCTTCTGCAGGTGCCACTGCTGCCGCTGTCTCTCCTGCAGATGAGTTTGCAGCAGCAGTGATGAGCACAGCAGCTGCTGCTGCACACAGCAGGAGCAGCGTAGATGCTGATGAGGCAGGTGCAGCAGCAGTACTGACAGCAGATGTAGCAGATGTTGCAGAGTTAGCTGCAGTGAAACCGCCAGCAGCGGATGGAGCGGCAGTTATGGCAGCAGATGTAGCAGATGTTGCAGAGTTAGCTGCAGTGAAACCACCAGCGGGGGATGTAGTGGCAGTTGTGGAGTTCGGAGAGGAGGCTGTAGCAGCCGTGCAGGCAGGCGCTCGTCTTGTTCCGGTGGAGGTGTTATCTGACAGGGACGTTCTCAACTACCACAGCAGCAGCAGCAGCAGCAGCACAGCTAGAGTATCAGTGGTGGGCGGGGCTCGTCTTGTTCCGGTGGAGGTGCTATCTGATCGGGTCGTTCTCAATTACCACAGTCAGCAACAGCAACAGCACAACTAGAGCATCAGCGGTTGCAGGAGCAGCATTGTCATTAGTGCGTAGCTGAATGGCAGCAGCAGCACCACCACCACCACCAGCACCAACACCAGCATCCAGTCTATCTCCTTTGCACCTCATTGGCAGCTTTGGGTTGCAGAAGCAACCTATGGTGTCAAAGTTTTCTTGAGGAGCAGGAGGAGCATTGACGAGGTCCTTGCGCGTCTGCCTTGGGCAGTTTGTTTCTGGCGCGGTCGTTTATGGTTATCAGGCATCTCAGATGTACTTGCTACCGTAATTCCAAAAATAAAGAATGCTCTGAAAAGGGAAGTCCTATCTGATCCAATAACGACGCAAAAAATGGAATAACTTTGGTGGGTTGCAGTTGCAGACTTGTATTGTGAGACATAAGAATAGATGGGTGTGGGTGGGGGTGTCAAGGTCTTACCATATGATGTTTTCCCCTGTATGGGGAAAACACTGTAAAACATGCCTGAATAAATCATTACAGGGGAAAAGCTATGGAACATCCCTGAATTAAGTCGCCCACTACCTCCTCATAAGCCCCACGGTATATATTTAGGGAGCCTTATACAGTTGGGATCATGGTACGGTATTGCTTATGGTAGTGTTGTCTAGACCAGTGGTATGGATTTTAGATACTGATTTTTTCCCAGCTCTGAAATCCAGGCTTGTTCCTGAGCCTTACTGTGATTTGTCAGAGTAACCCTATTCCTTGGAAAAAAAAACCCAGAGACGTCAGAGTAATATTTTCCCCAACTCTGATGTAAATCTGACTATGGAGTTGGATGTGCCTCACAATGTGAGCTGGCTGGTGAAGTTGTCACTCCAGCTAATCAGGGCTCAAAATGCCGCCAACAAACGAACGAAATCAGGGGGGTTTTACTCTGGAAAAAAGAAGGCTAGACAACCATACATTCAAAATGCAACACGAAGTAGCATGCAGAAGAGCTTAGTCATAATCACGTGCAGGTGGGATTACAGGGGTATTTACAGTCAACAAGCACAACGCTTGGCCTTTCAAAAAACCAGTCCCCCACTGCCTCTGCCATGGTCTGTGGGGGGTTTGAGAAAGAGTGAAGAGGGGAGAATGGGGAAGATACTGGAAATTTATGTGAAAAATATGAAGAAGAAGAAAAAAAACCTTAACAAATTGAGAATGTCCAGGGAATATTTGGCAAAGGTATGGGGCCAGAGCGAACCTTGTTGTTTATTCTCGGAGCAGCGCTGCCATGCCACATGGGAGTCATGGCCTGTTACATGCATGAAGAGGGGATGGATGGATGGATGAATGAAGTGGGATGCATGGGGATTAAGACGATGGAGAGATGGGGAGATAAGATGGATTTGCAATGTTGTGTATCCAAGGCTCCTCACCATGCAGTGTGCTTGGCAGGACCCGAGGTACGCTCCACTTGCTGCAGTTCCCGGCGACTTTTGAGTCAACTCAATAATCATGTTTGAGGCGCTTAAAAAACAGTGTGCTTGGCAGGACCCGAGGTACGCTCCATCAGTTCCCGGCGATTTTTTAGTCAACTCAATATTCACCTTTGAGACGTCTCACTCCTCACCATGCAGTGCGCTCGGCAAGAGATGAGGTATGCTCCGTTTGCTGCTGTTCCAGGTTTGTAGGTGAGTGAGAAACCTGCAAACTTAGAAATCACCTTTGAGGTTGAGCCATCTCTCACTCCTCTCCTCCTCACCATGCAGTGCGCTCGGCAAGAGATGAGTATGCTCCGTTTGCTGCTGTTCCACTCGATGCTCCAGCTAGTCGCCGCCGGACAAGTGGCGCGCTGTGATTTGCCGAGAGGAGGGGCGACACCTGGGCCACCATCTCGTCCCTATAGGCTGTTGCGGCGGGGAAGGGCGCGGGAGAGGACGAGAAGGAGAGAGGGAGAGAGGGAGAGAGGGAGAGAGGGAGAGAGGGAGAGAGGGAGAGAGGGAGAGAGGGAGAGAGGGAGAGGCAAAACTTGAGATGGGGAAAGGAGAGGATAGGAGAGGTGACACCTTCCCCACTGTCTATTTTTGAGTCGACTCAAAAATCGACTTATCACACATTGCGCTACTGTGCTGCTCTGTGTATCTTCACACAACACAAGGAGAGAACCCACCAATCACTGCGCCTTACAATGGATCTTATCGAGCCGCTCCTTATCGCATCCCTGCTGCAGCGACATGCGGCACGCACGCATGCCACACTCACATTCACTGCACCTCACCATGGATCTTATCGAGTCGCTCCTTATCGCATCCCTGCATCGACATGTGGCACGCATGCCACGCCTCCTCTAGGAAGAGTGTGTAAGATGCAAAGGAGTGGGCGATCTGCGGATGGTGTGGATGGGCATTGGGCAACACAGTGCAGCAGAGAAGGGTAGGAAGATTACAGCAGGACACACGCATGCCACGCCTCTTCCAGGAAGAGTGTGAAAAATGCAAAAGAGAGGGCGATCTGCGGATGGGAGGGGGTAGGGAGACATGCAGAGAGAGTGCTTATGAGTCGACTCTGAAACCTTCTAGTGCCTTGTGGCTCGCATGCCACGCCTCGTCCAGGAGGAGTGTGTAAGATGCAAAGGAGTGGGCGATCTGCGGATGGACGGAGGGAAGGGAGATGGGGGGGTGGTGGGAAAAGGAAGGGAGATGGGGGGGGACAGCAGAGGGTGCCTATGAGTCCACTGAGAACAGTCCTCCTGCCACATGTGGCACGCATGCCATGCTTCTTCCAGGAAGAGTGTAAGACGCAAAGGAGTGGGCGACCTGCGGATGGTGTGGAAGGTGGAACAGAGAGCAACAGAGAATAGCTGAAGAATTGCAGCAGAACATGTGGCATGCAGTGCCACGCCTCTTCCAGGACGAGAGTGAAGGATGCAAAGGAGTGGGCGATCTGCGGATGGTATGGATGGGCATTGGGCATCACAGAGCAACAGAGAAGGTTGAAGGTTACAAGTTTACAAGGGCGCATGTGGCACGTATGCCATGCTTCTTTCAGGAAGAGTGTGAAGGATGCAAAGGAGTGGGCGATCTGTTGGATGGGAGAGGGTTAGACATGCAGAGAGTGATTATGCAGAGGGTTACACATGCAGAGAGTGATTATGCAGAGGGTTACACATGCAGAGAGTGATTATGCAGAGGGTTACACATGCAGAGAGTGATTATGAGTTGAAGGCTATTTTTCTGTGGATGGGAGAGTTCTCATCCGGATGGGAGAATTCTCAAAAATAACCTGCAATGCAATATCATAGACATGCAGAGGGTGCTTATGAGTTGATTCAAAACAGCCCTCCAGCGACATGCGGCACGCATGCCGCACGTTTTCTGGGAAGACTGGGGAAGATGCAGAGGAGTGGGCGAGAGGGCGAGTGCAGGTTGAAGAAGGCGTTGCTTGAGTCGGGCTGGAGAGTTTATTCGTACCTGCCAGCCATGAATCGTGGAGCGAGTTGAGAATGGAGGAGGGCGTGCGGAGGAAGGAAGGGAAAGGCGTGGATTAGAAATGCAAGAGAAGAGAGCAAGCCTTACCTGCCAGGAGTCGTAGAGCGAGTTAAGAATGACGAAGGGCGTGCAGAGTAAGGAAGAAGAGGACATGCAATAGTAGAAACGCAAGAGAAAAGAGCAAGCCTTACCTGCCTCGTGATGAAAATTAATACCTGCCAGGAGTTGTAGAGAGAGTTGAGAATGAAGGAGGGCGTGCGGAGGAAGGAAGGGAAAGGCGCGCATTAGAATTGCAAGAGAAGAGAGCAAGCCTTACCTGCCATGAATCGTAGAGCGAGTTGAGAATGAACAAGGGCGTGCGGAGGAAGGGGAGGAAGTGCTGTGGGAAGAAACACTGCCAGCTGTCGTTGGCAGGCCGAGAGGCGAGACAGTGGGGGTTCAGAGTGACGTTCTGCCGTGGGAGCGAGAGAGAGGAAGGGAGGGAAAGGACAAGGGGGAGTGGAAGGGGAGGAAGTGCTGTGGGAAGAAGCACTGCCAGCTGTCGTTGGGTGGGCGAGTCGCGAGACAGTGGGGGTTGAGAGTGACGTTCTGTTGAAAGGGGTGCGGCAGAGGAGGGTGGGGGAAAAGAAGAGAGTTATAAGGAGGAGAGGAAGGGGAGCAAGTAGAGCAAGTACTATGGGAAGAAGCACTGGCAGGTTCCTCTGGCTGGGCGTGAGGCCGGTGTGGTTTCAGTGAAAAGATCTGTAGGGAATATGGGAGAGGGGGAGGCAGAGGACGATGGAGTAAACTCAAAACTCAGAAGAAGGAGGAGAGGAAGAAGAGGAGGAAGTTCTGTGGGACGACTCAAAACTCACATGTAACACACCGGACTCACATGTAACGCGGTAACCGGACGGAACATGGTGTCCCTCAGAAAGTGCCTGCTGCCGCCCACATCCCTCGCATCCAGAAAGTAACCTCCATCCGACATGCACTTCACCACCACTCCTCCTTCCCTCCCTCCCACTCCTCCCTTCTCCCCCCCTCCCTCTTCCCCCCTTCCTCCCCCCACTCCCTCAAGCTCCTCCCCACCCTCCCTCCCCATGCGGTCAGCCAGGCTGTCGCACAGGAGGAGGGCAGCCAGGCCGCCAGCCGAGCAGCCGGAGAGGAGGACGTGGGAGGCTGAGCGCATGCCGTGGTGGGCCAGCAGGTGGGAGATTATGACGTTGAAGACACGGCGACCACGCATGTAGACCTGAGGCTTGCCCTCCTGTGGGGTGGGGAAGAGAAGACGGAGTACAGAGAGGGAGTGTGTGGGACAGCAGCAGAGGTACAGCCGGTAAACCCTCAGATAAACCCAACTGGCTGTCGCACAGGAGGAGGGCAGCCAGGCCGCCAGCCGAGCAGCCGGAGAGGAGCATGTGGGAGGCTGAGCGCATGCCGTGGTGGGCTAGCAGGTGGGAGAGAATGGCGTTGAAGACACGGCGACCCCGCATGTAGACCTGCGGCTTACCCTCCTGTGAGGGAGGCAGGGGTGGAGAGGAGCATGTGGGAGGCTGAGCGCATGCCGTAGTGGGCTAGCAGGTGGGAGATTATGGCGTTGAAGACACGGCGACCCCGCATGTAGACCTGCGGCTTGCCCTCCTGTTGGTGGGATGAGGCAGAAGGAGGTAAGGGGAACACGGGTGGCATGTGAGCTGTGAACATAAGAGGCCGAGTGCATGCCGTGCCGTGGTGGGCTAGCAGGTGGGAGAGAATGGCATTGAAGACGCGGCGACCACGCATGTAGATCTGCGGTTTCCCTTCCTGTGGGGTGGGGTGAGGCAGAAGGGGGTAAGGGGAACACAGGTGGCAGGTGAACCGTGAACATGAGAGGCTGAGTGCATGGCGTTGTGGGCTAGCAAGTGGGAGAGAATGGCATTGAAGACGCGAGAAAACCACGCATGTAACTCTGAGGCTTGCCCTCCTGTGGGTGGGAGGGATGAGGCAGAGGGGGACATGGGGAATGTGGAGTGGAGGGCACAGGCGGTGAATACCTTACCTGCCATGACTTTTGAGTCGACTCAAAAGTCACCTCCTGTGGGTGGGAGGGATGAGGCAGAGGGGGACATGGGGAATGTAGAGGGCATAGGCGGTGAATACCTTACCTACCATGCCAGCCCAGGCAGCAAAGCCACACCACACACAAAACCAACGCAGCGCCCCCCCCCCCTTTCGCAGTGGCGGCTCATTCACTCACATGGTCTTTGAGTGGCTCGTCAACGTTGCCGACGAAAGAGGCCCCATCACAGTAGCGGATGTAGACCAGGTTCCAGTTGAAGAAGTCTGCGAGGAGAGGAGGACAGAGGTGAAAGCAGCAAAATTTTAGTGAGAGTGGTTGGGGAATGAATCCCCATCGCAGTAGCGGGTGTAGACCAGGTTCCAGTTGAAGAAGTCTGCGAGGAGGAGGGATCAGGGCAGGGAGCGAGGAGCAGAAACAAAGAAACAATTAATGAGAGAGGGAGGATGAAACAATTAAGCTCCATCACAGTAGCGGATGTAGACGAGGTTCCAGTTGAAGAAGTCTAGAAGAGGGGAGACGGGAGAGGCAACGGGGAGTGGGCAGATGTAAGAAGGGAAGCAGAGGGATAATAACAACGGTGGGTGGGGAAAAGAAGCCCCATCGCTGTAGTTGATGTAGACCAAGTTCCAGTTGAAGAAGTCTTCAAGAGGGGAAAAGGGAGCAGAGAGGGTGGGCAGACGGAAGAACGGATGCAGAGGGAGGACGCTTGACGAGGGTGGGGGGAAGAAGGAAGCTCCATTACAGTAGCAGATACAGACCAGGTTCCAGTTGACAAAGTCTGGAGAAGAAAGGGGGAGTTTTGAGACGTCTCAAAACATCTCTTTTATCACGTCTCAAAACATCTCTTTTATCACGTCTCAAAACATCTCTTTTATCACGTCTCAAAACATCTCTTTTATCACGTCTCAAAACATCTCTTTTATCACGTCTCAAAACATCTCTTTTATCACGTCTCAAAACATCTCTTTTATCACGTCTCAAAACATCTCTTTTATCACGTCTCAAAACATCTCTTTTATCACGTCTCAAAACATCTCTTTTATCACGTCTCAAAACATCTCTTTTATCACGTCTCAAAACATCTCTTTTATCACGCAGATACAGACCAGGTTCCAGTTGACGAAGTCTGGAGAAGACAGGGGGAGTTGGGGGACGGGTGGGACAGAGCTGGAAGCACAGAGCCGTCAGTGAGATGGATTTTTATCCCACCACATTCATTGAAGCACAGAGCTGCGATGAGATTGGCGGGATAAAGCTCCATCGCAGTAGCGGATGTAGACGTCTGGAGGAGGAGAGTGGGGTGGAGGTGGGGAGGGAGCAGAGGCAACTAGCGTGGAGAAGAACAAGTCACTAGAGAGAAGAGGGGGGGGGGGGGGGGGGGGGGGGGGGGAGTGGGCGCAATAGAGAAATGAAGCGACCGATAATGACTCACTGGGGTTTGTTTTACGGCTGGACGAGAGCAGCCCTTGCAGCAGACAGCTGGCCATCTTGGTGGAAGAGCCGAAGTTAGGAGAAACTGCGGACGATGCAGTGAGCGGCGTCCATGACAGGAAGCTCCATGACAGTAGAGAACACTCGATGCTCCTCTTACCAGGATTGGTTGTTCTGCTGGAAGAGAGCAGGCCCTGTAGCAGCCAGTCGCCCATCTTGGTGGAAGAGCCGAAGTTGGAGAAGCTGCGGTCAATGCAGTGAGCCGAGTCCTCGCACCACGCCCCGCCCTGCAGGGATGCAAGAGTGCAGTGCAAGCAGGTGCGCAATCAAGGCAGGAAGGGGAGGGAGGTGAGCACATTGATGCATTGCACTGTAACCTACTGCAGCGCATGTCACCTCCCTGCACCGCACAGCACCCACCTCAAGATACAGGATCCACTTTTTCCTCCCTGTGCCTCTGCCAGGACGCCAGTTGAAAGTCAGAGGGGAAACTTCCACCCCCACAGTACCGCACCTTACTGCACTGTTATTTACTGCATCGCATATCACCACTTTGCACCGCACAGCGCCCACCTCAAGGTAAAGAATCCACTTGTTCCTCCCCATGCCATGCCCCTCCCAGGCTGCCAGTTGAAGGCGGATGGAAAGATCCTGTGCAGTGCACTATAATCCACTGCACCGCATACAACCATTATACGCCGCACAGCACCCGCCTCGAGATAGAGGATCCACTTGTTCTTCCCGGTGCCCCTCCCAGCATGCCAGTTGAAGGCCGGAGTGGAGAGTTCCACCCCACAGTACCGCACCTTACTGCACTGTAATTTAATGCGACAAGTATTACCATGCTCCACCGCACAGCACCCACCTCAAGATAGAGAATCCACTTGTTCTTCCCCGTGCCCCTGCCAGGATGCCAGTTGAAGGCTGGAGGCGAGCCGTCCAGGCAGACTGGAGGGTCATGGGGTGGGCAGGGGTGTAGAGGGGTGGAGAGAGATGTAGAGGAGTGCAGAAGGGTGGACAGGGATGTGGGGGGGTGCAGAGGGGCTTCAGCACATACGCTGAGAACATCAGGAAAATTTGGTATTGTTAGCCCCACCCCTATTGCAGAGGGGCGACAGCAGCACCAGCAGCCTACCCTTCTGGCAAGCTTACCAGCTATCGATCCGCGTGAAAGAAGAGAATATCTGCTGCGTCTTGAGACGGCTGTGTGATGGACGGACGGACGGCTGTGGTGGGGTGGATGGAAGAAGAGAGAATACCTGCGGCGGCTCGAAATGTCACTTCTTCCATCCACCTGTGATGAGTCCATTTTTTAGTCGACTCAAAAACATCTGAGGCGGCTCGAAATGTCACTTCTTCCATCCACCCCACCACTAGCAGCCTACCCTTCCGGCCTCCTGACCCACCTATCCATCCGTGTGAAAGAAGTGAATTCTTGACACGTCTCAAAATTCTATACTGCTTCCATTCCATCCACCCCACCACTAGCAGCCTATCCTTCCGGCCTCCTGACCCACCTATCCATCCATCCGTAAATCACACAGCCAACCCATAACCACAGTTAGACTAGTCCCGCTACAGTTAGACCCGTTAGTAGCAGCCGCCTAGCCTTCCAGGCTGGATGGAATGTATGTCCTCCCATCCACCCCACGAGACTGCAGCACCTACATACCTACCTGCACCCGGATCAATCGAAGCATTCACTATAGTCAGCCCCGCTAGCAGCAATCTGGCCCTCCAGGCTGTAAGCACCTACCTGCACCGGGATCACTAGATGTATTCACTATAGTCAGCCCCGCTTGCAGACTCTCCTGCCCTTCCTCTGCGTCCGCTGCCGCGTCTGCAGCCGAAACGACTGGCGAGGGAGGGGCACCTGTCACGAGCGCTGGTGCTGGTTCTTGTGATGCTGCTTGTGCTGCTGCTGCTGCTGCTGCTGCTGCTGGTGCTGCTGCTTCTGCTGGTGCTGCTGCTGCTGTCTCTTCTTTCAGAGGAGGAGGAGGAGAAAGAAGAGGAGAAGGAGGCGGAGGGGTAACAGAAGGAGGGGGGGAAAGGGGAGGAGAAGGAGGGGGAGGGGAAACAGAAGGAGGAGGAGAACGGAGAGGAACGGGCGGAGGAAAGACGGGAGGGGAAGGAGGCGGAGGGTAAAAAGAGGGAGGAAGCATAGGGGAAAGAGGGGGAGGAAGGGGTAGCTAAGGCGGAGGATAAGGGGAGGCTGAAAGGGTAGATGAGGGAGAGGAGTCTATGCGGGAGATACTACTCGCACTATCAAAACCACTATCTTTAGCACCAGCATCAGCACCGGCACCACCAACACCAGCATCAGCAGCAGCAGAATTCGAAACAGAGAGAAGAGGATCGTGTGCCATTTGCTGCGGTTTGGATCGGTACAGAGGGTTCAAGTTCACCCCTATAGCGAGCGCAAAAGCGGCGAGATACGCCAACGCTGCCACCCTTCCGCGCCACCTTCCGCCGCCCGCCGCTCTGCTTGCGACGTCTGATCGCGCCATTGCTACTACTAGCGCCTCTCAGCTGCTGCTGATGCTTCTATCTTAAGTCTTTGTGATCTACTAAGTCATCTTCTTGCGACGTCTGATCGCGCCATTGCTACTACTAGCGCCTCTCAGCTGCTGCTGCTGCTGCTACCTCAAGTCTTTGTGATCTACCAAGTCATCTGCTTGCGACGTCTGGCCGCACCATTGCTACTACTCGCGCCTCTCAGCAGCTGGTGGTGTTGCTGCTGCTGTTGCACTGCTATTTTGAAGACTTTAACGGCGTATTGAGTCAGCTAATAGCGACGCCTGGTCGCGCCATAACGCGGCTTACGCCTCTTCGGTGGCTGATGCTGCTACGGGTGAATTTCGAATCGACTTAGCAGTCATCATATTACCAGTAGGTGCCTCGTCGGCCGCCGCTGCTGCTGCTGTTGCTGCGGACGAAAGCCGAAACGACGGCACGACATTGAAACACGCTGCGAGTTTTAGCCGCCGCCCCTTCTCGCAACTTGCCGTTTTATTCTACGCGAGCCGTTCACAAATTGGCTCGCATCCGCGACGCTACTGTTGCCATCACATGTCACAATCAATCCTGCTCGTGCAAATTTTTTAAAAATATTTTACTTCAGCCCTAAAGCAAGCCTCGATGGCGCAGTCGGTAGCGCGTAGGTCTCATAGCATTCCGACTCCTCACATGTGAGGCGGCAGCCATCCTAAGGTCGTGAGTTCGATCCTCACTCGGGGCATGGTTTTTGGGCTCTCTCCGTTTGCTTCACGGGGAGTTACCCTTTTCCTAGGGAATATGTTGGAATCGACTTGCCATTTCTTCGCGGCATCCTGCATACCGCGTACATCGATGTTCTCGCGATCATCCATTTTGTTACCACCCTTGACTTTTCGTCAACGCCTCCCTCCGTTTATCCACACCCTGCGTTTACCTCTGACGTTTCGTTTCGCCTGGGCCCTTCACCCTGGCATTTCACCAACCTCTCAGATGAGCTTCTGTGTACACACACCGAACAAACGAGGCAAACCAATCCCAAGGGACGTCGACGGCTCAGTGAAAATCGAAGGTGAATTCACCACACTGTACACACTCATCAAAGACTAGGCGCCACGTACAAACACCTGACGACGACGACTATGAGAATTTCTGTGAGTACAAGCTGGTCGCGACATTATTTCTGTCGCTTACGAAAGCGAAGCCAGGCCAATCAGGTAGTATCTTGTTCGTGAACGAAGTCAGACGTTACTCCCTGTTGTTTCTTCACGCTGTGAAACGTGAGCTGCCCTTCGGGGATCAAAGCGCCAACCTGATTGCTGGTAGTACCAGTAAAGGTAAAGGTAAGGTGCACGAAATAGCACACTTCACACTCGCCAAAGCTGCAATGAGTAGCAGCAGATTGCGACGCACTTAGGTAATACGGATTTATATTTTAGCACGCTCCCGGAAGGGGTGTTCCGAAATGTTCAGAGCCACCATAAAATCGCAAAACAGTTTGTGCTCTTTCTCGTGGTTGGTGGGTGATCTTCGAGAGTTCCTCCAACCGCCAATCGCAACCGCCTTCCCGTCTCGTCTCTCCTCTCTTCCTCCTCTGTCCTCTGTTTCAGCCCTTGTCGTCAATCGAGAAGTTGTTTCTTTCACTTGCTCACTCACCTCTAGATTTGCCAGTTCCTCACTTTGACTCAGAAGCAGTGAAGGCCTTCAAGCATCAGCATCGTGCATCTTCCCTCCTGTACTAATGTGGTTCATGAGGTTTCACTTTTAGTTGCTTCAAATGGCAGGGCGTACATAACCAGTTGTAACTCGTGCGGCCTTGCGCGAAGCGTACACATCCGCTGCAAGACCCCCCGTTTTGGCCCAGTGGTTTAGCAAAGCGTTATTACACAGCGCTGTATAGTTACCTCCACTGATAGGTTTTCACTTCGAGTACACATTGGGTATTTTACCGTCAGGGTTCTTTTCTCTCGGGTGCGGAGCTGTTCGATATGTCGCCATTAGAGCAGCAGCAGCAGCAGGCGTACGAAAGGTCGTCGTTCTCATCGTTCGAGTTACCGCAAGAGCAGCAGTTTCGCGAGTCGTCGCCGTCGCCTACGTTCTCGGCGGCATTCGAGTCGAACCATGACGAGTTAACGTCTAAATTTGGACCCAGTTTGAAATCAACAGCAGCAGCAGCAGCAGCTGCGTCGACCAAAATGGCGGAAGAGCTCGAGGGAACAGCAGCAGCGCGGGAGCCGCCGTCATGTGCGGCGACGGTGGGCATCTGGTCGATGAACGTGGTGGGGTCGGTGGGAATCATCATGGTCAACAAGCAAGTCATGTCGGGATACGGCTTCGTCTTCGGTAAGAGCTGCTTCATCTTTGGTAAGAGCTGTCTCGGTGAGCTATGTATGATGATCAAGCAAGTCATGTCCGGTTACGGCTTTGTCTTCGGTAAGAGCTGCTTCGTCTTCGGTAGTACCGCAGAAACAAAGTTCGTTCTCCCTTTATCCCTTCCCCTATCTCTCCCCCCTCCTCCCCCCTCCTCCCTCCCCCCCGTCCCTCCCTTCCCCACCCTACACCGCCTCCCTTCCTCCCGTTCCCCCCATCTCCCTCTTCCTCTCTCTCCCCCTTCCCCCCCCCCCCCCCCCCCCCCCCCCCCACCTTCAAGTCAGCACACTAACCGGAATGCGTTTCGCCCTAACAGCCCTAACGGGGGTCGCGCCAGCCTGCGCGGGGCTGGTCCCCAGGCAGCTCAGCGTGCCCTTCGGGGTGCTGCTGGGCTTCTTATCCCCTCGTTCCCCTTCTCCTCTCCCCCTCCCCTTCTCCCCCTCCGATTCCCCACACCTCCCATCTCCCAGTCTCAACGCTAACAGGAATGCACTTCGCGCTCACAGTCCTAACGGGGGTCGCGCCAGCCTGCGCGGGGCTGGTCCCCAGGCAGCTCTCCGTGCCGCTGGGGGTGCTGCTGGGCTTCTCACTTCCCCTCTTCCCTCTATATTCCCCTTCCTCCCAGTCTCAACGCTAACAGGAATGCATTTCGCGCTCACAGCCCTCACAGGGGTCGCATCAGCGTGCGCAGGGCTGGTCCCCAGGCACCTCAGCGTGCCCTTCGGTGTGCTGCTGGGCTTCGCTCTGCTCGGCAACGCCAGCCTCGTCGCCACCAACCTCTCGCTTCTCCTCAACTCCGTCGGATTCTACCAGGTGAGATTATCCCGGGCCTCTCCCTTCAGCTGGGCTGGGATGGAATGGGATTGCCCCCCCACGCACCTCTCCCTGTACCTAGGGGGATGCTCCGCTCTGCCGATTTTAGAGTCGACTCAAAAATCGACGCACCTCTCCCCGTACATAGGGGGGTGCTCCGCTCTGCTCGGCAACCCCAGCCTCGTCGCCACCAACCTCTCGCTGCTCCTCAACTCCGTCGGATTCTACCAGGTGGGCTTGTAGCGAGTCACGGCGTTCAGCTAACGAGTCTCACAGTTCAGCTTGCGACAAGTCCCTGCCTTCCCAACTGTTCTCATCGGCTGTTCTCACCCGTAGATCTCCAAGGTCAGCATCATCCCGACCGTCTATTTCTTTGAGGCTGTCTTCAAGGGTCGCACGTTCACCCCGCGGGTGAAAGCAGAAGTCGCGGTCGTCCTGCTGGGCGTCGCTCTCTGCACTCTCGCTCATACTCAGAAATCCCTCTCTCATCCTCTCCTATTTCCCCCCCCCCCCCCTCCCCCTGCTTCCTTTCTGTTCTCCCCCTGCTTCCCCCCTGTTCCCCCCTGTTTTCCCCCTACACCCCCCCCCCATCTCCCCGGCCGATCTCACCCGTAGATCTCCAAGGTCAGCATCATCCCAACCGTCTGTTTCTTTGAGGCTGTCTTCAAGGGTCGCACGTTCACCCCGCGGGTGAAAGCAGCCGTCGCCGTGGTCATGCTGGGCGTCGCCCTCTGCACTGTCTCTGAGATCCATGTCAACCCGCTGGGACTAGCAGTGGCCGCTTTTGCTGTTCTCTGCTCTGCCATGCATATGATGGTACGCTTGAATAATCTAGTCTGAGGGGACTCAAAAGAGGTGCTCATGCTGGGGGTCGCCCTCTGCACTGTCTCTGAGATCCATGTCAACCCGCTGGGACTAGCGGTGGCCGCCTTCGCTGTTCTCTGCTCCGCCATGCATATGATGGTACGGCACCTTGCATTTTTTTTTTTTTTTTTTTTTTAAATATGGTGCTGTGCATGTGATAACATCACTATGCAAAGGCCATGGCAGCCCCCTGTTCTTCAAGAAAGAAAAACGACCTTCTCTCCCCCTTTCCCTCTTCCGCTCCCCCCCTTGCTAGCATCGCCTTTCTATTTCTCCATTCTATCCATCTCCCCATACTCTCCTTTTGAGGCGCCTCAAAACTAAGACGATTTTTTAGGCCATTTTTTATGCAATTTTTGAGGCGCCTCAAAAATCCATTCTATCCATCTCCCCATACTCTCCCACTCCCCGTGCTTCCAGCTGATTGGTCTGCTCTAAGAAAGATACTCCATTGGCTCTTCCTCAGCCAATCAGCACCTCTCCAGGTCTTCACGCTCTTCCTTCCTTTCTGCCAACATCCCCTTTCGTTCTCCCCATACTCTCCTCTCCGTGCCTCCTCCTCCCCATGCTTCCAGCTGATTGGTCTACTTCAAGAGCGCTACTCCATTGGCTCCTTCGATCTCCTCAGCCAATCAGCGCCTCTCCAGGCCTTCATGCTGCTGCTCATCGGTCCTTCTCTCGACCTCCTTCTCACCTCTCGCTCTCTTCTCGACTACCACTACCAGCCATATGCCATTGTGAGTTTACTTTACCTACACAGGGTGGTGCAACTGGTGATAGAAACAGGCCTTCATGCTGCTGCCTACCAGCCCTACGCCATTGTGAGTGAGCTGTAACTGCACGGCGTTTTATGCGCCTGGAAAGTCTTTCGGGGTGCATAAAACGCCGATTGGTATCTTCTCGATTGCTCCCTTGCCACATCCCGCTCTCTTCTCGACCATGTTGAGTTTTTAGTCGACTCAAAAGTCTTCTCAACCACCACTACCAGCCCTTTGAGATTGTTGTGAGTTGACGATTGAACCACGCCGATCCATCTGTCCATGTTCCCTTCTCCTTTTCAGGCCCCAGTAACTCTTTCCTGGTTTTTGAGAATTCTCAGGATGCAGCTCGTCCCTTTTCCATTTTCTCTTTTCAGTCTCAGGTCTTCATAACTCTCTCCTGCTGCTTAGCCGTGGTCTGCGATCTCAGGGCCTTTCTCTGCATCGAGAAATTCTCCGCCTCGACTCACCGACACACACCCTCACTCACTCCTTCCTCTCTTCCCTTCTCCGTGTTCTGTCTATCCATCTCCATACCCCCTTCACCCTCGCAGGTCTTCATAACTCTCTCCTGCTGCCTGGCAGTGGTATGCAATCTAAGCGCCTACCTCTGCATCGGAAAATTCTCTGCCTCGACTTACCAGGTGTTAGGCCACATGAAGACTGTACTAGTGCTCGTGCTGGGAGTGGTGCTATTTGACTCTGCCATTTCCCTTAAAGCCGTCCTCGGTATGTGTGTAGCGGTCACAGGAATGGTCATGTATGGCCATGCCACTGCCGCGCAGGTGATTGCTGCAGGAGCAGGGGGAGGAGGGGGAGGTGGGGGAGGGGGAGGAGCAGGAGCAGGAGCAGGGGGGGGAGGGGGAGGGGGAGGAGCAGTGGTGGCGGGAATGAAAGCGGAGCGAGGAAGGGGAGAAGCAGGCTTGGTAGGGGGGAAGGAGAGTGAGAGGGAGGAGATTCCGCTACTCAGTATTGTGGTCGGGTCAGAGGATGAGGAGACAGACGAGGAAACTGATGAGGAGGATGAGCGAGACGGCGAGAAGGGGTTGTTTAGGAAGCAGAATATTGATGAGTATAGAGCGGGTGAGCTTAAAGAGGGGACGAGAAGGGCAGAGGAGGGGGTGCATCTTGCACAGGGGAGCAGAGAATCCCACTCAAACCCCACACAGGGCTCCAAATCCAAAACCGGTCAGGTGATTGGATTGGCGTCTCAAAAGCAAATTCAAAGACTGGAAGTCCCGTCGATCGGCCTTGTCGTGTTGCCGCATCCAGAGCGGTCATCAGATTCGAGAATACAGCACCCACGAATGCAGGAGCTTATGCTCGCAGCGGCATGGAAGGGTGAGGGAGGGAGGGACCTGTTGCGGGAGTCGTCGAGTTTCTCCGAAGGATCGGTGGTTTCTGAAGGGTCGGTTCTGTCCGATGAGCCGAGCTTTTCAGAGGAATACAGGAGCTGATGCTTGCGACGACATGGACGGGGAGAGGGGAGGGGCCTGTTGAGGGAGTAAAGAAGGATCAGTGGGTTCTGAAGGGTCGCTTCTCTCGGAGGAGTCTTGTCCTTCCGGAAGAATGCAGGAGCTGATGCTCGCAACGGCATGGAGGGGAGGGGAAGGAGGGAGGGGTCTGTTACAGGAGTCATATTTGAGCTTCTCGGAAGGATCTCTTTGTTTCTGAAGGGCCGGTTCTTTCAGAGGAGCTGATGAGAGAGTAGGCGAGCGGAGGGCAGTGTTGATGGGGTTGGTGGGGTAGTGAAACAACAGCACAAGCTGTTTATTTATTCATTCATTCATTTTCCTGACAGATTGACTACTCGGAAACAACAGCGAAATAATTGGAATTCGGAAGCAAGAATATGCATTCGTTGGGAAAGGGAAACAGGGGGGAAGGAAGCTGGAAAGTGTCTTGGAAACAAATATTCCTGGAGCAGTTTCTGAATGTTAGGGAAAAACCAGCCTTCAAGGAAATTATGCAAATACTGTAGCAGCAACTGCAAGTGTTACGATATTTCCAGTTCCCTCGCCACTCCCGCCCAGTAGCCCAGCCCACACCATTCTGTTCAGACATGCATTCTGTTGCACCTCACACACATGAGCTGGAAATTTGATAGCCATTGTAGACTGGCGTGGATGCTGGTTCTACCATTGAAACTGATTTTGAATGAGATATATGAAGGGAATCCGTAGAAAGGCACTCAATGGACAAGACACGAGAGTGCCCATCAATTGACACGGAACCGCTCCGTAATGAAACGCCTAAGGCCCGCCGTATCATCCATACTCGCAAACCTGCCAACTGTCTGCCACCCGTCGAATAACACGAAAGTCGGTTGGTGTATAAGATTCTCCGCGCTATTATTAAGGTTCTCGTCAATATCCAGGTTGAAGAAGGCTAAATTCGTGTGTTCCTCCGCGAGGCTTTCGAACATAGAAAGCATCTTCACGCAAGAGGTGTCCAATTTAGTAGAAAAGAATACCACGGCTGGACGCTTACTCTCGAAAACGACACCAAAATTCGAATCCGTCAAAGTTGTGACCATTGTCACAAGGAATCTGCTTACGGGTTATGCAAAGTGAATGAAGCTACTAGAAGAGTGAAGCTCCGGAAGGGATTGAAGCTTTCTTGGGCTTGGAATGCGGTTTAGACTGATAAAAGGCGGTCTTCCTGCAGAGCGGAGTTGCAATGGGAAGAGATGCAGCGAGACAGCTGAGAACCACGGTGAGGCACATCAAAACCTAAATCTGCTCAAACTCGGTACTCCGACGGTCGCGAACTTCTCATAACATTCGACATGGTGGGGAGTCGATAAGTGTCGAGAAGTGGGGACCAGGGGAGTCCGTGTTTCCAGTCAGATTCCCTAACACAAGCACCCCATCATTTTCTGGCAAAACCGCGAAGCGCTGTTGACTCTGCGTGCGTGCGTCGCCACCCACAGACTACCACTTGGGCGGTGCCAGGACAGTAGCCCAAAACACCCCAGTTTCCTAAGGGGCGAAACAGAGTGCACGTAGGAGTCGCCATGTCCTAATGTCAAAGCGGTGCACCGCGCACAGAACAGCGGCAATGCTGCTCGAGAGACACTTCCTCCTTTTGCCCTCGCTGTAACAAGTTGTAACTGTAACTGAAGGCTGACACCCTACTGCAACATGTTGTAATGGGGTGTTTCACCAAAGCGGCTAAAAAAGGCTTGGTGCGATGTACGGCGTTTTTTTAGAACTTAGAATGGTTGGGTAGGGTAGTTGCAAAAGACATACCCCCGTGAGTCGGGACCCGCCCTGCTAAATGTCCACTCTAGGGGAAACACGCTGCCTCGCCAAGAAGATGCCTTTTCGTGAATGTGAAGGACGGGGCAAGATTTGCCACGCTGGACAGCTCATCTGCCAGTGTACGTGGTGACTTTTCCTCATCACGAATCGTGGCGAAATTCGTTCGCCAAACCCAGATGTTCTCCAGGTGTGCTTCGTGTGAACGATTTCAAGATAAGGGACGTGCTTGGTTCGGGATTGCTTCATGGGGGCTCACAGTTCTTTTCGCAGACAACTCGCACCCCCCTCTGAATCCCTGGCTATGGTGTCGCGAAATCTGGTCATCACCAGGAAACCAGGTCGCAAAAATGTCGTGTGCTCGCTGGTCCGCGACCAAATTTCGTCAGCAAAAGAACCACTCCCAACCTGCCTGAATCGACGAACGCCGCGTCGCCATCCTTCTCCAGTCCGCTCTGGCGACCCTCACTTCACCGCTAGGTTGGGTTGGGTTTGGTGTACCACCAAACTCTTAGTAAACAAGTTCACTAAGGTTGTCGAGTCCAGTGTCATCAAGGTTGCCATGAGTCAGCAAAGGGGATGGGAGAAGAAGCCCATAAGGGAGCGTAAAGCGACGGAAACGACGGGAGGGGCAAGAGAAGAGAAAGCGATGGAAGCGATCCAAACCAGTGGAGAGTGGCAAACGACGCAGCGAGACCAGGGAGTGACAGGAGAGACAGGAGCGACGGTAACGACGAGAGCGAGGGAGAGGGAGCGATTAAGACAGCGACGGCGGTGATATGACGGCAGCGGGGAACGAGCGAGCGATGGGAGCGGCGGAGCGAGCGGAGAGGCAAATGAACGAGAGAGTGACAGGAGAGACAGGAGCGATATAGTAGCGACAGGAGAGTCAGGAGCGAGGGAGAGGGCGCGAGCAAGGGAGCGACGGCGGCGCGAGCAAGGGAGCGACGGCGGCGCGACCGCCGCTGGTAGTAGGGCGAATCGAGCAGTAAGAGACGCTTGGAGCGAAGGGAGCGGCAAGGGAGCGAGGGCGGCGGGAACAACGGGAGGGAGCGGCGGGAGCGAGTACAGAACGGAAAGTGGAAGAAAGGGAAAGTTACGGGGGTAAATGGTAGCTCGGTAGTTTGATGGGAGAGGGGGTGTAAGTAGCCTGCGCACGTCTCCTACTAGCGTTTCGTTGGACAGCGCGTTACACTGTGAAGTGGTACGTGAAACGTCATACCCACGTTATAGTACATAGTACGCAGGAACGCGTTTGATACTTTAGTTAGTAACTGTACCCAGGTGTGTGATCTCGCGGCCGACTGAACGGAGGGTTCTGGGCTTTATTGCGATAGTGTCGCACAACATTTTCAGCTCCGCTTACGGCAACGTCGGCTTACCCCGACGTTATGGTAGCATCATCGGGAATCCCACGACCCCTAGACTCGCTGAAAACTACTATACCAGACTTTAGGGCTTTGAAAGGCAAGCCTTGATCTATTGTTTGACATATTCGATATTTGCGATCCGAGCTACTTGAGAGGTGAAGCCCGAGAGTGTCCTTCCCGTCCCTTCAACCGCCACCTATACACATGATGGTAGTAAAATGAAAACATTATTGTGAGTTCCTTTCAAATACGCTTTACGGCCAGAGCATGCACGCTGAAGACCATATGAAAGTCAATAGTAGTAAGGCTGTAGTGAAACTCCATCGCACGCCGTGTTTATTGTTTTCAGATGTCGTGCTTCGCGCTTCCCAAATAATGACTGATTTGGGGCGGACCTACAGAACCTTGCATGTCTGGCGTCCGACGTCAAAGTGCGATGACAAATGTATCCTTTTGTTTCACAAATTTGACATGCAATGAGCATGAGAGAGCACACAATATTTCGCAAAATTGACATGCAGCGAGCATGATAAGACCACACGATACTTCACACGGCGAGACAGATTCTCTCCACAAATTGCTCGAGGGCAGTCGGACGTGTAATGCCAACCAACTCGCCCACTTTCTGCCCTTCTTTGAAGACCAGGAAAGCCGGCAAGCTGAAAATCCCGCACTCCTGGTTTGTCTGGGGATTCGCGTCGCTGTCCAGCTTGTAGAAGGTGAACTTTTCCGCGTTCTTCTCAGCGATGTTTTCATAGATTTGAAGCATTTTTCTGCAAGGGCTCGACCACGCAGCGGAGATGCAGACCAGGGCTGGACGCTCGCTTTCCAGAACGCGGGTCTTGAACTCCGAACCCGTCAAGCTTTGAGCCATTGTCAGAAGCAGGTCCCGGACGGGATATGGGAAGAAATGAAGCGCCGCTGATGGAGTATGGAAAGAAATGAAGCTACGTGGATGGAGTATGGGAAGAGACGAAGGTTACTACTGCTTGGTGAACTAGAAGAGTACTGCAAAGGAAAGACTGCTGGAGGTTTCTGATGAGAATGAGCTTCTCTTTCGGAGAGCGGGATATATAGTTGCGGGAGCGAGAGCTGAGTGGGGTGGCGTGGGAACGAGAGCCGAGCCGAGGGTGGGGTGGAGTAGGTTGTTGAGGACATCGAACGCCGGCGCGCCGCATCGCTGAATTATTCAGCGAACTTGACGGATCGCTTGTTTTTATTTGACGAACGCCGGCGCGCCGCATCGTTTGATTTTTTTTTTTTTCAAGGGTAGCGACTCTAGAGGTCGAGCACTTTATGGTTCTCAAATAAAAGCACCGTTGCGTGCCTAATCATGGACACTGCGCTTTATTGTCGAGGAACTGTGCCTGTCGGGTTAGACTGTACTCTCAAGTTCGCGCGTCGTTCGTGCTGTGAAGGCGATTACCTTTTTTTTTTGCGCGCTAGCCTCCTGCGGGTGAACTGCACACAGCACTGCCTCGAAGTTAGTTGAACAAAATGGTTACCCCTCCGATTTTACTGGCTGTCAGACGACGAGACCATTGCATCCGTCAAGAACACCTCAGCATAATCGCCATTGAACGTGCACTCCGGTCAAGAACTGCCACTCTGGACAGCACGGGAGATAAGTCAGGCGTTGGTTGGGAACTTGGGACGTGGATTGCGGGAATAGTCTCTTGACTGACGCACGTGTGAGGTTCTAGATTTGAGGGCCAGCGATATCGAAGCAACGTATCCGCGAATATCATATCGTTAAAATTTCGACATCCAATCAAATGGCCGCAAAACATGGCGATAGTTGGAAATTAGGATTATGTACACTAAAGCCTCGCCAGTGCTAGGAGTTTGACCAGGATTGCACGAAATAACTGTTAAATATCAAATGTTAAAGCAAATGCTATTCCCCTTCCAATATTCTCATTACATAGAAATATAAATATATATTTCATGTGTTGAATTGTGCATTGAGGTAGATGGTATATTTGTCTGTATGCACCTATGAGTATGAGCCCAGAAATTAAACCATTATACCCCTAAAATACAACAAGCCCGATAAAAAGCTACACTTCATATGAAGTTACACTACCCAGAATTCTTATTGCTTGAATTTTGTCATATGGGTATTCTTTACCCACTATCAACCTGCACCATCAATCTCTACAACCTCCCACCTCATTCTAGCTAAATCAAAACGGATCTCTAACTTAGGAGTGCAATATCACTCGGAACGGACGGTTTCGTGTAGCCTCCTGATTGGACCCGTTACAATCAGAAATTTAACCTTCTCGGCAGCCACCTTCTCTCGTTCCCACCCCCACCTTTCCGCAGCCCTCCCACACTAGCTTTCCCCGCGCACACCCCCTCCGCGGCACCATTCGCGCTCAGCCTCCGCTGCCGCGACAGCGTGCGCTCCTCCTCCACTTCCGCAAACTCGCGGCAAATCTCCTCCAGCGCGCGCTCCAGCACCGCGGATTCCAGCGCAAACACTACCTGCGGAACTTCCGCAGCTGCCACTTCTTCCGCGGACCAGCGCTCGGTTCCGCGCACCATATCCCTCCTCGCCGCGTCATCCAGAATGTCGTACACGTCATCCGACGGCGCAACCGGCCAGCTGTGCACCTCCGCCCACACGCGCTGCAGCAGCTGGCGGCCGATGGGGCGCGGGCGGAGAAGGGCGGGCTTGCGCGAGGCGGAACAGCACGAGGCGAAAAAAGACGCGCCGTTATCCAATCCCCACAGGCCGAAGTCGTTATTTCCACTCCCAGTATTAGTAGTATCCGCGAATAGCTGCGACGGGCGACCCGAACCGCGATTATTCGCGTCTCGCTTGTTCTCATCTCGCGCTTGAAGCTCTTCCAGATGAGGCGCGAGCGTGCGGCCGAGCGCCTCGTTGACCGCGTCGAAGAGCAGCATGCGCTGGCGGCGCTCCTCCGACGTGTTCTGCGCGCCGACGGCGAAGCTGGGGAGCGGAAAGAGCGACGGAGACGGCGAGCGCGAAATCCCCGCGCCAACTGCACCAGCAGACGCGCCTGTTGCTGCTCCGACGTTGGAAGAAGCAACTGGGCTTGTTAGGCCTATCATCGAAGGGCTTGTACTCGATAACGAGGACGCTGATAACGAGGACGGAAAGTGTTGGGACAACTGTCCCGTGATCTCAAACTCCAGCTGCTCGAAAACCACCGGGTTTATCGGGAGGTTGCGCGAGAAGATGGGCGGTAGAGACGGTCCGCCAAATCCGGAGATGAGGAGCACGTGGCGCACGTACTCGAGGTCCTGCTCCATGCCTGCCACGTCACCGACGATGTCTTGCGGCGACAGGCGGAGGAGGTCCATGGCGACGTCGCCATGTTGGCTGGGCGACGCGAGCGACGCGGGCGACGGCTGCCGTAGTGCAACGGTCGCGTCTGGGTAGCACACTGAGACGGAATTGACGGAGCGATCTGATTAGAAGGGGGAAAAAGCGACGAAAAAGTAGGGAAGATGGTTAGACGACGATGGTGATCACAAGGAACACTTATGGTTCTTTGAAACATTTCTCAGAACAGATTGTAGTTGATGGTAGAAAAAAATTTTTAGTTCTGAACCAAACTTGCTTTCATGAATTCACAAGAGCAACTCGTTGCTCACCAGCGAATAATTCGCCACTGTTGCCTTCGGAATCGCTCTCGTCGCTTCGTCGCATGCCCACATCTAGCACCGAGACCGGGCTGCCCTCCTCTCGTCGCACACCCATGTGCGACAGCTGCGACATGTCCTTTGCCGGCGTATGATGGCCCGAGTCTGACTCAAATTCATCGTCATGATGCGCCGGCAGAGGTCGCTCACCAGAGGAGGCTAGAGCAGGCTGAGGGTACGGAATGGCAACGCGGAAAATAAAACACGATTAAGTACGTTGGTAAAACGAGTGACGGGCAGGGAACATAAATTATACTTGTAATCAGTGAACAGTAAATCCAGAAAACCGTGACACTCATAGCTTGAGACCTGAACCTCGTCCTACTCACCTTGGACAATAATCTCGCATCCGAATCCGCACGACCAGCACCATAACCACCCACTGATCTCTCCACCTTCTTCGCTCGCCGCTCCCTCTCCGCGTCATCGGCATCACGGCTCTTAAATCGATTCTCCTGTCGGCCGCTGTCTTGCCGCGGCGAGCGAGGACCACCCCCTCCCCCAGAGTTTCCGCAAGCGGCACTCCCGCTCCCTCCGGCAGCAGCGCCACACGAGTTCCGCGTTCCCACTCCGCCGCGCCCGCCCTTCACGTCCCCCCGCGTCGCATGCTCGCGCGTGTGTTCGCCACGGTGACGAGCATTACTGGTGCTCGAATCAACCGCCTCTGCAACCGTAACCCTACCGCCACCACCACCTCCGCCGCCGCCGCCGCTCACGCCAGCACCAGACTTGCTCAGGGAAGAGGAACCACGGTGGCTAGCCGCGTTCTGGACAAGAGACTGCCTCTTCGCTCCGGTAACCGCCAAGCGCGGCGATCGCGGCGACCGTGGCTCGGAACTAATCACCGACCATCGCGGCGAGACTGGCGGAGAGCTGGCAGGAGTTCCTTTGCCGTCCTGCTGCCGGCTTAAGCGGAGCGCGAGATTCTCCGAGACGTCGGAGCGGCGCCGGCCGGTTGCAGCACGGGGGGATGCAGGTGGGGAAGCGTGCGGGGAGGCGCAGGTGGAAGGGGAAGGAGAAGAGAACTTGGAGTGATTGGGTGCGGGACGTCTCTCCAAAGTCATTCTCTCAGATGCTGACCGCGGCTTTTCGTGCCCGTTGGTAACATCGCTGCCGCTTCGCCCTTTAGCGAGAGTCTTCGCGAGGGAGGATTTCGTCGGGGCGAAAAGTCGGCTAGTGGTGCTAGAGGTCGCTGGTTTCTCGCGTTTCGCATCCTTCTTTAATTCCACTTGAGACAAATCAAGCTCGAACAGGTCTGTACTGTCATCCTCCTCCGCGTGAGCTTGACGGATTGCCATGTCTGGGCTACGGCAGGCCCTAAGACAGGCGGGAGGAAGAGAGGAGAAAGTGATAGCAGATCACACTAGCTGTAATGATATCACTTGCTCTGATTGCTTAGACGGGAGCGAGAAAACAGTCAGTTGATTTGGGTCACGTTTCTGGCTTGATCTCTCCACGTTGATTTGTGTTTCAGATGTTGACCAGCCTTCTCTAGGAACTTGCAGCTAGAGTGACGTTCTTGGAGAAAGTCCGAATGGGAAAGTGCGAGAGAGTGCATGTGTGTGAAGGGCGATGACAATGACTGGATGTGGTTTCGTAAGGTCTACTGCTGATGATGTCCTGTCGAAGCGGAGGTCTGGAAAGGCAACCAAGAAGGCCACAGAACGAGAAGCAGAGGGGGCCGAAATGGACGCACTTTGAAACTCAATTGCAATGGAGGGACATGCGACGCGACGCGACGCCAAGAGGAGGTGAGTGCGAGGGAGCTGTAGACGGGGTGGAGAGATTTCGAGATTATGGATGCAGTACTGCTGCCGCCGGACCGCGGATCAAGTCCCCGTGGACATGTCGCCCCCAAGATCTTGCCCGCTGCCTTGACAGGTCGCCACGCCAAATGGCCCGTCAAACACGGATGAACGAGTCATGGGCGGACGTGGCGTAAATTTGGGGGGAACCTGAAGCCCGCCACCAACCCCAATAACCGAAATGGGACCGCTTCACGAAGGTGGGGGTCCTTTAGCGATGGGAGACATGTCAGGCGACTTTTCGCCACACTTCAAAATGTCGCAACTCATCCAGCGACAATGGGTTACGAAGTGCTACTGGAAATAGCAAGGCTGGCTTCCTGCGGGTGAACCGTGCTCACTTTGGAAATCAATTGGCGGCAGATTTGGAGCGGGCAGGTTTGACCAATCGCAATGTTTCAACAGCCTAAGTTCGCCCATCAGCTAATAATGAGGATATGACCATCACACATTAATAAATTAGTATCACGTGATATGCATATTGCGACCGACCTTCTAAACAATCTTTTGCTCAAACAGGTGGTAGCCATCTCAAACCATACACATTTATCATTTCTCGATACACTCTGAACGCAATCTTTCCACTAACAGCTTCCTCGACTCACCTTCCACCAACACCACCGACCTACCATCCTCTTCCCCATCCCCACCGCTCCCCACTCCTCCATCCCCCACGAGCCTCGCCATACCCTGGTAAATACAGTGCAACTCTCGAATGTGCCTGTCGTATATTTGCGTGCCGGCGCCCCTCTTCCTGAGCTGCCTCCACCGCTGCCTGTCCCATGCGTAGCGCCAGATGTGTGTCTGCGGCTGCACCCCCTCACACCCTTCGAGTTCACCTGGTGGCGGAGCGGAGCGAGAGGAGAGGGAAGAAACAGAAGAGTTGAAGGCAGTGTTTGCTTGTCCCATGCGTATGGTAGCGCCGGATGTGTGTCTGCGGCTGCACCCCCTCACACCCTTCGAGTTCACCTGGTGGCGGAGCGGAGCGAGAGGAGAGGGAAGAAAAAGAAGAGTTGAAGGCAGTGTTTGCTTGTCCCATGCGTATGGTAGCGCCGGATGTGTGTCTGCGGCTGCACCCCCTCACACCCTGCCAGCTCACCTGGGACCAGGTGGGAGGGAGGCAGAAGAGGGGAGGAGGGGGAGGACAGGGGGAACAGGAAGGGGAAACGAGTACAGAAAAGTTGCATTGCAAGGTGACTCTTTTGAGTCGACTCAAAAGTCAACGTGTACAGAAAAGTTGCATTGCAGAACCGCTTTACCTGGTGGAAGGGAGTGGCAGATGGTTTATTTTTTAGTCGACTCAAAAATAGAACCGCTTTACCTGGTGGCAGGGAGTGGCAGATGGTTTCTCGCTGGTAGTGTGCAGCCGTCTGCACAAAGGAGAGGTTGAGCTTGGAGCCCGGGTCAACCGGTGAGCCCCCGAGGTCCTTGAAGAGGTTGGTGTAGGGCAGATGCACGCCCACTCGTGGGATGGGCGTGTGGTCCGTCCACTCCAATGCGAATTCCATCTGACGGGGATGACATGGCAGGGCGGGGCAGGGCAGGGCAGGGCAGGGCAGGGCAGGACAGGGCAGGGCAGGGCAGTTGTTGTGTGTAGGGAGGAGGCTGATGGATACTCCCTCGCGGTATGGGTGCATGGGCGGTCCTTGTGTGAAAGAGTTTGCCATTTAATGAAACACTCCCATGCGAGAGAACGCAATTGAGTCGAGAACTCGAAAGTTGACTGGAAAGGGACTTGGCCACTTGATAAGACTCTCCCATTTTGAAAGCACACAGAGAGGAGGCGTGGATGGATGGATGCAACTATGATGAACTTCTGAGAAATTTCGAAAGCGACCTATTCTAAGCAAAATACGAGTCAGAACAGCTTTGAGTCGACACAAAATCATAGTCAATGTTCAATCTTGATAGTTTCGGACTTGTCAAGAATGGTTTTGGCTCTCTTTATTCCTGGCCTGCTGCTTCTGTCTCTCACCTTATCCCTCTCATTGTTCCACAGGTAGTTCCCCATCACAGTGTGGGCAATCTGATCCCTGCACACCACACAGCACCACACGGTACCACACCACACGGTACCACACCACACGGTACCACATTACACGATACCACACGACATGGCACAGCACGGCACCAAGCAACACACACCACACCACGAAAAAGGGGTTGTTTAGCAGTTATGAGAGGTAAGAGGAGGGTGGAAAGATTTTCCAAACGTGATTCTATGGAGGGTGGTGAAAATACTGAATTGGGTGGTGGGGAGGTGTCATTTCACATTTTGCTCACCGCTCAACCTCCCACTGCCTCACCCCTCAACTCTCACGGTCTCACCCCCTCCCTCCCTCACCACTTCTTCCACAGGGAGCTTATACAACCGCTCTCACTCACCTGTACTGCCCGCCGTGGGTTGTTTTTGAGAACTCTCAAAAATCACGCCCTCCCTCCCCCCCCCCCCCCCTCTTTTTGAGAATTCTCAAAAACCAGCTCGTATCACTCCCTCCCTCCCCACCCCCTCTTCAACAGGGAGATTATACAACCCGCTCTCACTCACCTCTACTGCCCGCCGTGGGTTGCTTTTGAGAATTCTCAAAAATCACCCCCTCCCTCACCACCCCCTCTTCCACAGGGAGATTATACAACCCACCTCACCTCACCTCACCTCACCTCACCTCACCTCACCTCACCTCACCTCACCTGTACTGCCCGCCATGCTCCGCCCACCACTGCACAGCCTCGCGATACCCCCGTGTCATCACGGGATGGGCCGCACCCACCGCTTCCCTATACCCCCTCACGGCCCCCCCATACACCACTCACCCCCTCACGGCCCCCTCCCCTACAGGGAGCTGAAACGAGCAGCAGCACAACACACTCACTGTACTGCCCGCCGTGCTCCGCCCACCACTGCACAGCCTCGTCATACCCTCCTGCCATCTTTGGGTATGCCGCACCCACCGCCTCCCTATACCCCCTCATTGCCCACCACCACACCCTCACCTCCTCCTTCCCACAGAGAGAAAATCCATTGAGTTTCACTTAACAAATATTTTATCCCACCACTCTCACTCACCGGTACTGCCCGCCATGCTCCGCCCACCACTGCACAGCCTCATCATACCCCCCTGCCATCTTAGGGTGGGCCGCCCCCACCGCTTCTCTATACCCCCTCACGGCCCCTCGCGGAAGCAGCAGCGGCAGCTGAACCATGAAGTTGCCGGCATAGGCGCGGCGACCCAGGAGGAAGTCGGTGGAGGGGCGGTGGTAGCCTTGGTCCTTGCTGCCTATCAGGTAGGGCCGGCCTTGGGATGGGTCTGAGAGGTTGAATAGGAGAAACGGCGTGACCTGAAGGAGGGAAGGGGACGAGAACGGGGGAGGGAGAGATATGAGCACCGCCAGCAGCAGCAGCAGCAGCAGCAGCAGCACCATCAGCAGCAGCGGCAGCTGAAGCATGAAGTTGCCTGCATAGGCACGGCGACCGAGGAGGAAATCCGTGGAGGGGCGGTGGTAGCCCTGGTCCTTGCTGCCTATCAGGTAGGGCCGGCCTTGGGATGGGTCTGAGAGGTTGAATAGGAGAAACGGAGTGACCTGGAGGAGGGAAGGGGACGAGAACGGGGGAGGGAGAGATATGCACCAGCACCACCAGCAGCAGCAGCAGCAGCAGCAGCAGCACCATCAGCAGCAGCGGCAGCTGAAGCATGAAGTTGCCCGCATAGGCACGGCGACCGAGGAGAAAATCCGTGGAGGGGCGGTGGTAGCCCTGGTCCTTGCTGCCTATCAGGTAGGGCCGGCCTTGGGATGGGTCTGAGAGGTTGAATAGGAGAAACGGAGTGACCTGGAGGAGGGAAGGGGACGAGAACGGGGGAGGGAGAGATATGAGCACCGCCAGCAGCAGCAGCAGCAGCAGCAGCAGCACCATCAGCAGCAGCGGCAGCTGAAGCATGAAGTTGCCCGCATAGGCACGGCGACCGAGGAGAAAATCCGTGGAGGGGCGGTGGTAGCCCTGGTCCTTGCTGCCTATCAGGTGGGGCCGGCCAACTGGAATAGAGTTTTCCTGAGATGGTTTTGAGATGTTGAAGAGCAGGAATGGGGTGAGGTGACCTGGAGGATGGAGAGGGGAAGGGGAGGGGGGAGTAACAAGGGGAGGGGGCGGGAAGATGCCCAGGAGGAAGTCGGTGGAGGGGCGGTGGTAGCCCTGGTCCTTGCTTCCTATCAGGTAGGGCCGGCCTTGGGATGGGTCTGAGAGGTTGAATAGGAGAAACGGAGTGACCTAGAGGAGGAGGCACGGGAGGAGGGGGGGAGATAGAGGGGAAGCGGGCGTGAAGATACCGAGGAGGAAATTAGTGGAGGGGCGTTGGGATAGGTCAGCGGTTGAAGAGAGGCTTTTGAGAATTCTCAAAAGGGCGTTGGGATAGGTCAGCGGTTGAAGAGAGGCTTTTGAGAATTCTCAAAAGGGCGTTGGGATAGGTCAGCGGTTGAAGAGAGGCTTTTGAGAATTCTCAAAAGGGCGTTGGGATAGGTCAGCGGTTGAAGAGAGGCTTTTGAGAATTCTCAAAAGAGCGTTGGGATAGGTCAGCGGTTGAAGAGAGGCTTTTGAGAATTCTCAAAAGGGCGTTGGGATAGGTCAGCGGTTAAAGAGAGCAGGAATGGTGGGGTGACCTGGATGAGTGGATGAGGGAGGGAGGCAGAGGGAGGGGGGGATAGCGGGCGGGCAAGGGGGTTGGAGGAGGTGGAAGACGACGTCACCTTGAGATGGAAGATGACGTCAAAAGACTGATGATGATGTAATTTTGAGGTGGAGCATGACGTCACTGTGAGGTTGATGACGTCACCTTGAGGTTGAAGATGATGTCATCGTCTGCAATGGCGACAAAGGGCGCCAATGTGTAGTTGTCCACCCAGCCGTAGCTCCACTGCTGGAGAATCTTCCCAGGAAGCTTCAGGTAATTGCGCTCGTATTTCACCTGCAGGAGTGCAATGCAATGCAAGCCATGGGGAGGAGAGTTGAACTTGCGCGTACAGAGACGACTTTTGAGATGCCTCAAAAGTCTTCCCAGGAAGCTTCAGGTAGTTGCGCTCGTATTTCACCTGAGAGGAGGAGTGCAAGCAATGAGGGACTAGTTTCAGAGAGGTAACTTCGAAACACCTTTCAACATTCAGTGGTGTACTAGTCAGCATGGAAGTTATGTCTTTTGATACTTTCCAATCACTACAAAACTAGAATCACATCACCATCCCATACAATACAACCACAACTACCTACCTACCTACCTACCTACCTACCTACCTACCTACCTACCTACCTACCTACCTACCTACCTACCTACCTACCTACCTACCTACCTACCTACCGACCTAACTACCTACCTACCTACCTACCTACCTACCTACCTACCTACCTACCTACCTACCTACCTACCGCTTAGAACCGGAGTCACCTGCACCCAGGGCGGCATAAGGTGCATTGCCACGTCATCCCCCTCATCCAGCACGACCACCACGCGGCCAATCCCGCGCGGCCACATCAGCTCCACTGACGTCAGCAGAGAGTAGAGCAAGAAGATCTTTTCAGAGAGGTAGGTTCGAATCACGAGATCTACTTTTCCGGGCCAAAAGGGGCTGAGAAAGAAGACGGCGGAAAGGAGGGAGGGAGAGGAGGAGGGGGTGGAAGAGTAGAGAGAGAAAATAATTTCAGAGAAGCAACTTCGAATCACAAGATCAACCTTTTCTGGGCCAAAAGGGGCTGTAAGGGAAAGGAGGGTTGGGGAAAAGGACGGAGGGGGCGAAGGGGCGGGCGGGGGGTTGCAGTGGGGAACAAGCCAATAAGTGCATTGCCAGCAAGTAGCTTTGAGTCAAGAGGTCAACTTTTGAGTCGACTCAAAAGCGGATTGCAGTGGGGAACAAGCCAGTAAGTGCATTGCCAGCAAGTAGCTTCGAGTCACGAGGTCAACTTCTCCAGGCCAAAAGGGGCTGTAAGGGAAGGGAAGAGGGGGTGGGGGGTGGGGGAGGGGGGAGGGGGGAGAAAGTGAGGGGGGAGAAAGTGAGGGGGGAGGGGGGAGAAAGTGAGGGGGGAGAAAGTGAGGGGGGAGGGGGGAGAAAGTGAGGGGGGTTTGTGAGGTGAGGGGATGTGGGGGCATCAGCCCACCGACGTCAGCAGAGAGTAGAGCAGGAAAAGCTTTTCAGAGAGAGAGATTCGAATTACGAGGTCTACTTTTCCGGGCCAGAAGGGGCTGGTATGGAAAGGAGGGTTGGGAAACGGGAGTGGGGGAGGGGGCAGTGGGGAATAAACAAAACAAGAAAGAGCATCTTCAATAGGTAGCTTCCAATCACCAACGCCGACAGTCCCGTCCCGGCCCGGGCCAGAAAGGGGCTGATACGGAAGGTGGATGAGGAAGTGGAGAAAGAAGCGGAAAGGGCAGTGTGTAATGGAAGCTTCGAATCACAAGATCGATTTCCTCTGGGCCAAAAGGGGCTGTTAGGGAAAGGAGTCGTGGGCGCGTAGAAATGCACGACAAATGCACGTCATCAACGTACCTCTACACGTCACCAACGTACCGGTACACGTCATCAACGAGGGCGAAGAAATCCGAGACGCATATCCCCGCTTTAGTCACTCTCTCGCACCGCCGCCCTCCCCCGTACCCATCTCCACCGTACACGTGGCGCTCGCGCAGCCCTTCATCTCCTATACCTCCTACCCCACGCGACGCGGCCTCACGTTGCGATTCAACGTTTCCTATGTCTCCCGATGCGGCTGCTCCATTAGCGATGCTTCGCGCCGGGTTCGAGGCGCAGGAGATCTGGAAAAACTCTAAGATCCAGTCGCGAGCGCCGCTGCTGGCGCCGCTTTTTGCGGCGAGCGACGCGAGGAGGAGGAGCGAGAGGAGGGAAACGAGGAGAAGGCAGCCGACGGTGCGGCGCACACGCTGCTGATAGGCCGCTGCGCGGAGTCGCGCCTCCATTGTGTGGCTTTGTCAGGCGCTTGAAGTCATTCTATTTTCCCATATGGCAAACCAAATCTAGGCGATCTAAGCTCTGCAATGCATATTCAGACGCTGTTAATAGCCGAGACTGCCCGGGGACGATTCTAAGACAGGCTTAGCATCTCAGATGACTGATGGGTCCTAGCTTAGGTTCGAGAATTGAGCGAGACACAGGGAGGATGCATTTGCCGCCAATGGGCTTCTTTGGGGAGACAAGAGTACGAGTTTGTTAACCGCAGAACCCTACTAAAACGTACTTAACTTGGAGAGTTAAAAAAGACCAGTCTGACACGCACAGCATCGCATCCTACCGTAACGAAGTGAACACTTTTTCGCATGCCGCCCTACCTGTCTCGATTCTACCATTCCCAATGCTCTCACTAGCGAACCTGACGCAGCTCCAGCATCTTAAGGCAGAGATTGACGAATACAAGTTACGGTGTTCGCCAGCAGTCGACAACGTCGCCACGGTCAGAAAGTGGCATCGTTGACAGCCAATCCTGAGAGCGTGCGAAATGCTAGTCACCACGGTTTTCCCCTTCTTGGGTGCACGCTGGATAATATCGAGACCGCATGCCTTACTAAAATGTAGTAACCTACACCATTCCCTTAGTTCTCTCATATGACAGAAATAGTTCTAGCCTACACCAAGTCCCAACTACACCCACAGCTTTAAATCCCTGAAGCACATCTCCCTATGGCTCACATCATCCCCGCAATCATTCGGCACTGCAGCCACCTCCTCCCTGTGCTTCGCAAACCATTCCCTTTCACCCATAACCTTCCATACTGGTGGAAACAACCACCGCGACAACACGCCAACATTCGACCCCGGCTCCCCCTCCTCCACCATCCTCGTTACAGCCTCATTCAGTCCCACTTTTAAGCTCTCCGAAGCGGATAACGAGTGCGCGAGGGAGTTCCTATGCGCTGCGGCTGTCCTTTCCCGGAAATCTTCCAACGCGAGAACAGCCCATTCTTTCAGCATCAGGAGTATGGGCCGGGAGGGGCGAAGCGCGACGAACCAAGGGGAGAAATAACCCAAGTCGGGGCGGGAGATCGGCAGGGTGCGTTTGAGTTTGCCGTCTATTTTGTTGTTGGAGGGCGGTGATGATTGGGAGGATGAGGGGGCAGAGGAGGGGAGGACTGCGTTGTACTCTGGAGGGAGGAACGGGAGGGGGTCTTGCAGCCATACAGAGGAGATGTCACTGTTGGTGGGGGGGAAGAAAGAGGGGTAAGGGGGGAAGATGGGGGTGCAATGCGGTGGCATGAGGTGGACGTGAGGCAACAGGAGAGGGTCTTACAGCCATACAGAGGAGATGTCACTGCAGGTGGAAGGGGGAGGGAGGTGGGGGGAGGAAGGGCAAGGAGGGTGTAATGGTTTTAGGAGGGCTGAGTTGATCTCAGGAAGGAGGAACGGGAGAGGGTCTTGCAGCCATACGGAGGAGATGTCCCTGCAGTGGGTGGGGGAAAAGGGCAGGAGGGATGTGTAACCGGGGTGGAGGGAGGGAGAGAGGTGACAGGATGGTTGTGCAAGGCACGAGAGGATATGTCACTGCAGTGGGTGGGAGGGAGAGGGAGGGTGGTACAGGGCGAGTGGGGGGGATGTGTAATGGGGTGGGAGGACAGGACACGAGGGTGGTGAGAGGCGAAGGAGGGAGGAATGGCAGAGGGTCTTGGAGCCATACAGAGGAGATGGCACTGCAGGTGGAGGGGAGAAGGGCGTGCAGAGAGGGTCATCAACTGGAGGTGGAGGGGAGACTCATCACACTTGGAGCCATGCAGAGGTGTCACTTTTGAAGAGAGGGCAGCAGCAGGCATGTGAAGGCTGCCTTGTGATTGTAACTCGTACTGAAACATGTGCTGTAGATGCAGACAGCGGTGTATATTGTTTATACATGCACATATACACATATATTTCAACAAAATTATACATGACAACATTTCTAACGGACCAGTAGATGTCGTTGTAGCCGAGCTTGAGCACTCGCTCCATGAGCAGCGCGGGCAACAGCAGGCATGTGAGGGCTGCTTTGACGACTGTTGAGACGACTAAACAAAGTACTGTACCTGTACTGTAATCTACTGCACGGTATTGTACTGTACTCTAAAGTACTGTACCTGTAGATGACGTTGTAGCTGAGCTTGAGCACTCGCTCCATGAGCAGAGACGGCAGCAGCAGGCACGTTAGGGCTGCCTTGTAGGGCGACTCACTCTCCTCTGGCTGCCTCAGCAGACCCTGGCTGGTGCCCTCGACCTGTTGGGGGGGTGAGGGAGTGACGGCAGGGAGGGAAGGGAGGAAGCAGCAGGCACGTGAGGGCTGCCTTGTGAGCCGACTCACTCTCCTCTGGCTGCCTCAGCAGACCCTGGCTGGTGCCCTCCACCTGTGGGTAAGGAAGACAGGGAGGGAAGAGAAGGCAGGGAGCGAGAGCAGGGGGGGCAGGGAAGGGAGGGCGGGAAGGGAGGAGGGAAGTAAGAATAACAGCAGGCACGTGAGGGCTGCCTTGTGGGGCGATTCACTCTCCTCTGGCTGAAACAACAGGACCTGGTTTGTGCTATCCACCTGTTAGTGGGGTTGAGGGAGAGGGCACAGTCAGGTAAGCACACAACAGTTTACTCTCTCCACCTGTGGGGAAGGCGAGGGAGGGAGAGAGCAGCGAAAAAGCACTTAGGAGGGCAGGCTGGAAGGGGAGGGAGGGAAGGGAAGGCGGGAAGGGGAGGGAGGAAGGGAGGGAAGAGAGGGTAGGGAGGGCAGGGAGGGCAGGGAGGGAAAGCAGGGAGGGCAGGGAGCAGGGAAGGCAGGGAGGGCAGGGACGAAAGGCAGGCAGGGAGGGCAGGGAGGGAGGGAAGGCACACACACCTTTACAATGCAGGGAGGGAGGGAAGGCACACGCACCTTGACACGCAGTCCTGTATCACAAACATAAAATCGTAGACCCATATGTCGTACCTCTTGAGGCACGGAGGCGATCACATGGCCAGCCATGGCAGCAGAGTGCATGGCGTTGAATTGAACCAGTTGGTGAAGAACAAGGTAATCACATGCTGTGATCCTCACGCATGTTCCTCCTATGGCTACTCCTATGTCAAACCACATCCTCACGGATTTTCCTTACGCCATACCTCTTGAGGCACTGACGCGATTACATGCCCAGCCATGGCAGCAGAGTGCATGGCGTTGAACCAGTTGGTGAAGAGAGGGATTTGGCCTGGTGGTGTTGGGGAACAAGAAACGGGAGGTGGGGAAAGGGAGCAGAGCAGAATGCATGGCATTGAACCAGTTGGTGAAGAGAGGCACTTGCCCTGGTAACGGTCAGGGGACAGGAGAGGGTAAGGGGATAGGGATAGTAAGATGAGAGGATGATGGGAGGATGATGGGAGGCTGATGGGAGGATGATGGGAGGTGGGGCACTGCAGCACCACCTCCTCCTCCGATACATGCATCTCAAGACACAGCAGCCCCACAATCGCAAAGCGGTCTGCTGAGGCCACCATGGGCACGAGAGGGTCCATCTGCTGCACGTGGCGCTGCACCCACGACTCAACCGACAGCAGCACCACCTCCTCCTCCGATACATGCATCTCAAGACACAGCAGCCCCACACAGAAGGGCTTTTGAGACGTGCAACTCGGGGCACGGCACACACACACACCACCTCACCTGCCCCGAGTGCTGCCACTCCCACACTTGCATGGACTGACTCACCTTCGCATGCTGCAGAAACAATCACAAAGCGCTCGGCTGAAGCCACCATGGGAACAAGAGCGCCCATCTGCTGCAGTTGGCGCTGCGCTGCACCCACGCCTGCACCACCACCCGCACCCACCTTCCATCACTTGCTGCCACGTATCGAACCATGGCCTCTAAATGGGGCTCGATTGCACCCACGCCTGCACCACCACCCGCACCCACCTTCCCGCTCGCACCTGCCTTTCCTCTCACCTACCTTTGCACGCTGCAGTGACAATCACAAAGCGGTCGGTTGAAGCCACCATGGGCACGAGGGGGTCCATCTGCTGCACGTGGGGCTAAACCCACGGCTGCACAGACCTTTCCATTCCTACCATTTCCATTCCTACCCTTTCCATTCCTACCCTTTCCATTCCTTCCTACCCTTTCCATTCCTACCCTTTCCATTCCTACCCTTTCCATTCCTACCCTTTCCATTCCTACCCTTTCCATTCCTGCCTTTCCACTCATACCCTGGCAAGCCGCGGTGACAATCACAAAGCGGTCTGCTGAAGCCACCATGGGCACAAGAGGGCCCATCTGCTCTGCTGCACGTGGCGCTTCACCCACCGAAACGCCCACCCTTCCACACACCCACAAACCCACTTGTACCTTTGCAGGCCGCAGTGACAATCACAAAGCGGTTGGCCGAGGCCAGCATGGGCACGAGGGGGTCCATCTGGTGCACGTGGCGCTGCACCCACCCATGCACTCAAGCACAGCACCCGCCCTTCCACTTGTACCTTTGCACGCTGCGGTGACGATAACAAAGGGCTGGTCACGTGAAGCATGCGCATGAGGGGGTCCCACCTGCTGCAGAGTGATAAGTCGATTTTTGAGTCAACTCAAAAATTGAAGCATGGGCATGAGGGGGTCCTCACCTGCTGCAGATGTCGCTACACTCACCCACACACACCCACACACACCCACACACACCCACACAAACCCACACAAACCCACATTCACCCACACACACCCACACAAACCACCTGTTTGCTCGAGCCTACCTTTCTACCACCTACCTTTGCACGCTGCAGTGACAATCACAAAGCGGTCCGCTGAAGCCACCATGGGCACGAGGGGGTCCATCTGCTGCACGTGGCGCTGCACCCACGACTCAACCGACAGCAGCACAACCTCCTCCTCAGATACATGCATCTCAGGACACAGCAGCCCCACACAGACACACACACACCCACTCACCTGCCCAACTGCTGTTGCTCCCACACCTCCACCAACACACACGCACGGCCAGACACACACCCACCTTCCGCCCGTACCTTTACACGCAGCAGTGACGATCACAAAGCGGTCTGCTGAAGCCAGCATGGGCACAAGAGGGTCCATCTGCTGCACGTGGCGCTGCACCCACGACTCAACCGACAGCAGCACCACCTCCTCCTCCGATACATGCATCTCAGGACACAGCAGCCCCACACAGAACGGCCCCTTGTCCCCTGAACCGACACTGCTGCTGCTGCTGCTGCTGAGGGCGCTGGTTTCGGTCGTGCTAGGCCATTTACTGTCCTCGCTAGAAGTCGAAGCAGGCTCAGAGATCGACCCTGCTCCTGCTTCCCCTTCGCTCGCCCTCCCCCCACCTCCCGCTGCTGCAGCTTCCCCTCTTTCTCCTACTGCTGTTGCTTCTTTCCCTCCACTCTCCCCTTCTCCAGCTGCTGCTGCTGCATCCGACTCTGCAATCCAGAACCCTAATTTGTTCAGAGCATACCTCTTGGCATCTTTTCCCATCAGCCCGCCCGCATGTACGGTCACCAGCTCCCCCTTCAAAGCCTCCACCGTCGCCCAATCATCCTCCAGCAGCAGCTGCCCGGACAAAAATTTCTGCGCGGGCAGCACGGCAATTCTCGGCAAAAGTCCGTACTTGTCCATTTCGACTATGATTGCGTTTAAATGCTCCTGCTCTGTCCCTTCGTCCCTCCCTAACTTCATCACCCTGTTCGCCCAGTCCCCCACCAAACACTTAGCCCCCGACGTCGGGCGGAGGAAAAGCAGCGAGCTCGAAACGGAAAGTTTCCGGTCAGCTAGCTTCGAGACGCCATAACTCTCAACTTGCACTGCTTTCTTCTGCCAGTTCGACTCGTACCCATCGAGAGTTAGAGCTATGTCAAATGTCTGTTTGGGATCAGCAGTGATTTCCGGAAGAGGGTTGCGCAGAATGGCGACATCTGTGTCGGAATAGAGGAGGTTGAATCCGAAGGAGAGGAGGTGGAGCAGGTAGAGAATGCGGCGGGAGGCGAGGAGGTGGAAAGAGAGAGTGCCTGCGCGCGTGGCGGAGTGTGGGGAGTGTGGGAAGAGTGCTTCGGAGGAGGCCTGCCAGGTGGCGGAGAGTGATTGGTCGGGAAGGGCCAGGTGGATTGTCTGTGGGGGGGATTGGTGAGAGGGGGGATGGTGGGATGGGCAAGAGGGGATGAGTACATGAGTCATTCGCCCTTGCAGCATATGATGTCTCTGCCTTAGCAACTAACCACGCCTAACCTAACCACGCCTAACCTAACCATGCCTTACCTGCCCATGCCTTCCTGCCCATGCAACTAACTAACCACGCCTAACCTAACCACGCCTCACTTGCCAGTGCCTCACTTGCCAGTGCCTCACTTGCCAGTGCCTCACCTGGCCATCTTGGCCTGGCCGAACCTAAGGGTCTTTTCATACTCCGCAAAGAGAATGAAGTGCGCTCCCAGCCCCCACACTTGGCTACAGTCAAAAGTAACCATGCTAGCTTGGCAACCTACCGCACTGCACCTGCCTGTAATGAGTCGCGTTTTGAGTCGGCTCAAAACAGTAATCATGCTAACTTGGCTTGGCAACCTACCACACTGCACCTGCCTGTAAAGAGTCGCGTTTTGAGTCGACTCAGAACAGTAAGCATGCTAACTTGGCATACCTACCACACTGCACCTGCCCTGCCCGTGCCTGCCCCTCCTGGCCGGGCCATCTGGTCTGGCCAAACCTAAGGGTCGCCTTGTCCTCCTGGGTCAACTAAAAGAAACCATTCTACCTGCCCTTTCAAAACCCCATGCCTACCCCATGCCTACCCCATGCCTACCCCATGCCTACCCCATGTCTACCCCATGTCTACCCCATGCCTACCCCATGCCTACCCCATGTCCACCCCATGTCTACCCCATGTCTACCCCATGCCTACCCCATGTCTACCCCATGTCTACCCCATGCCTACCCCATGTCTACCCCATGTCTACCCCATGCCTACCCCATGCATTGCCTGACATTGCAACCCCCCATGCCTCACGCTCACCTGCCCGGGCCATCTAGTCTGGCCGAACCTAAGGGTTTCCTCATCCTCAGCAAAGAGAATGAAGTGTGCTCCCAGCCCCGCATTGCTGACGTGGCGCACCCAGTTCTCCAGCATGTCCGTGTAGCCTAAAACGGGTAGAAATACAAAGGGGTGGGAATGGGTATTAATGGGATGGGATGCAGTGCGGTGGAGAGGTGTGAGGTAGGGTAGTGGGGGGTGCTATTGCACGCTTTTAGTTCTCCAGCATGTCAGTGTAGCCTGGGAAAGATACAGGGGTAGAAATGGGGTACAATGAGATGCAGTGCGGTGGAGAGGTGTGAGGTAGGGTAGTGCAGTGCTGTTGCACGCACCCAGTTCTCCAGCATGTCGGTGTAGCCTGGGAGAGATACAGAAACAAAGGGGTGGAGATGTTGTTTAACACGATGCAGTGCGGTGCAGAATAGTGAGGAGTGCTCTTGCATGCACGCACCCAGTTCTCCTGCATGTCAGTCAGTGTAGCCTGGGACAGATACAGAAACGAATGGGTGGAAACGGCGGTTTATGGATGCAGTGCGGTGGAGAGGTGTGAGATAGGGCAGTAAGGAGTGCTGTTGCATGCACCCAGTATGTCAGTGCAGGCAGGGACAGACGCAGGAACAGAGGGTTGGGAATGGGGGTAAACGAGATGTAGTGCGGTGGAGAGGTGTGCGGTAGAGTAGTGAGGAATGCAGTGTGACGTAGAGTAGTAGACTAACGTAATTCCATTTCCATTCTCCTCAATCCCTCACCCGCGTTAGAAATCACGACGAGGACGGTCTCGTTGACAGCAACGCGGGCAGCCATGTCCCACAGCGGAATCAGAACCTAGTGAAGCTGCATGCCTGATCCGGACACACAGAAACAATCCCACTCACTTCACTCCCTTACCAGCATTGGAAACCACGACAAGCACGGTCCCGTTAACAGCAACGCGAGCTGCCATGTCCCACAGCGGCATCAGGTCCTCGTGAAGCTGCATGCCTGATCCGGACACACAGAAACAATCCCACTCACTTCACTCCCTTACCAGCATTGGAAACCACGACAAGCACGGTCCCGTTAACAGCAACGCGAGCCGCCATGTCCCACAGCGGCAGCAGGTCCTCGTGAAGCTGCATGCCTGATCCGAACACCTCAGGCGACTCCCGCGGCAGCAGCACGCGGCGACGAGAAGCCTGGACAGCTGTTGCCGTTCCAACAGCTGTTGCCTTATTGACAGAAGAACGCGGCTTCAAACCTTCAGCGTCCCCGTGAAGCTGCATGCCTGATCTCAACGCCTCAGGCGATTCCCGCGGCAGCAGCACGCGCCGACGAGGCGCCTGATTGGGTTCTGTCCTGTAGGCCACGTGGGTCTGCGCCGACGGCTGGTCAACGTCGCGCGAGGCCGACGGGCCGCGAATTGCGTGAGCCGCGGCGAAGGCGGCGGCGCAGCAGGAGGGAACGGCGGGTCGCGTTGGGAAGAGTAGCATTAACGTGGGGGACGGCAGAGGTGGCGGCAGTAGGAGGAGTAGAAGTAGGAGGAGGAGAGCATTTCGGAAGGAGCGGGGGTAAATGCATGATTCGGCATGACGGGACAAAGAGGCGGCCATGGCTTGCGGATAATATTCTCGGAAAAAAATATTCGTCTATCATATGAAGAAACGCGCTCGAATTTTGAGATGCGAAGCGAGCCCCTAAAAGATTGATGTGGTAACCAGAACGGCACGATTGGAGAAAAACGTCGCGAAGCTAACAGAACATCGCCGATGGTCAGTCGCTGGTACCTATCAAGTGGACGGTTTGGTCCGTCCAATGCAGACCATCGTTCGTCGGTCGCCGATCGTCGTCAGTCAGGTCCCAAACTGAAACCGTCTAAAGCCTAACCACAACGAACAGTTCACAGAAAACGTCAGTCGGCACGGCACCCATTGTCAGTCAATCACGTCCATTCGGGATCCTTCGAACACGATGGAAATGCGAGCTCTGTTGCTCCTGCTCCTAGCCAGAAACCATGCATCGGCTTGCTGGCAACACTGGCGGAAGTGATCATAGAAGAGTCCATCAACAAAATATAAAAGGGAAGGAGCCACCTTTGTGCCTCGGTCGGTTGGAACGGGTCGTAATGGTTATGGTTTGTTTTGGTTCGGTTTAGTCCAGTTGGGTACACGTCAGAGCAGGTGGGTGGGGCTGGGGCACACTTGCGGGCTTTTGGGTAAACAGCTACCCTTCTCTTACGCACAAAACCGTCTACAAAGAATCAATATCGTATGATACCGCGTGAAATAAACGTAAGTGATGATCAAGCTGCTGGCCTGCAACGAGCATGCCACACCACTTAACAGAAGAAATCGCGACAACGGTAACAATTACGAAGGACAGGTAGTGCGACATATTTAGTTCGTCCATTAAAACACCAGTATGATCCATTCAAATCAAAGCAACTGTCCAAGTAAAATAATTTTATGGATGAATCATAAGACATGCATGCATGTAGGAGGATAAAACAGCCTGGACGAGTCACCAAAGCAGGTGCATTGCTGCGGCAAGTGCGAGTTACGCGCTGCATGACGTAGGGTTCTACAATACAATTAGACTTCATACTTCATCGCTATAAATAGATATACTGAACCTCACATCAACCAATACGGTGCTAAACCATTCAGAAAAAAATATCAACATGCTCATGCGATCATGTTTGTGGCCTCAACTTCCTCAACAAGCTCCACTATTTGTTGCGCAGCTTCTTTATCCCTACCCACCACCACTGTAATGTGGTTTTCTCCCCGAACCTCCAACAGCTTCACGTTCGGATGCCGCCGAGCCAACCCCCTGCTTGAGTCGATCGGGCACAGCTTGTCTTTGTCACCATGCACTATAGTCACGGGAACGCTTCTGTTGCGTAACTCGCCGCTCTCTGCTACGGTACTCGCTGATTTGGTCTCGTAACAAGCACCACTGTGTGTAGTGAGGACGTTTGTGGGGCTCTGGTTGTGCAGTAGGTGCAGGGAAGGTTCCAGGAAGTTGGTGCCAGCGCAGATGGTGTTGAAGAAGCAGTGCCAGGCAGTGTGGTGTGTGTGGCGGGTGAAATCCCGCATGAAGGAGGGTGGGAGCCTGTTGTAAGGAGAGGGAGCATGAGGAAAGGGAGTATGAGGGAAAGGAGCGCGTGCAGCACTTAGCAGTGTGGTGTGTGTGGCAGGTGAAATCCCGCATGAAGGAGGGTGGGAGCCTGCAGCAGAGAGAGGGGGGGGGAACATTGGGAGGAGCATGAGAGAAGAGAGAGGAGAGCAAAGGGAAAGTGGCCGAGCCAGGTGGTGTGGTGTGTGTGGTGGGTGAAGTCCCGCATGAAGGAGAGTGGAAGCCTGTCATAGCGGGAGGGGGCATGAGGGAAGGGAGTATGGAGGAAGGGAGTACGAGAGAAAGGAGCATGCGCAGCAGTGCCAGGCAGTGTGGTGCGTGTGGCGGGTGAAATCCCACACGAGAAGGTCCGAGGGAGAGGGCAGCAGAGGGAAGGAGCATCAGGAAGGTGATGAGGGAAGGGAGTGAGGAGTATAGAGAGGAAAGCGGCAATGAGTTGCGTGTGAGTGTGTGTGTGGCAGGTGAAGCCTCACAGAAAGAATGGAGGGGAATGAGTGGCGTGTGAGGTGCAGTAAGAGAGGGAACATCAGAAGGGGCATCAGAGAGGCAAGGAGCAGTGAAGGCATCAGGAGGGTAGACAATATTCACAAGGCAAGATTGGCAGTGTGGTGCCTGCAGAGCGCTTTTGTGACATCTCAAAAGTTTTTGAGACGTCTCAAGAGAGGTAGACAGTATTCATATAAGGCAAGATTGGCAGTGTGGTGCCTGCAGAGCGCTTTTATGACATCTCAAAAGTTTTTGAGACGTCGAGAGGTGGACAGTATTCATAAGGCAAGATTGGCAGTGTGTTACCAGCTGAGGATGAAGCCAGGAAGGGCTGATGGGGAAAAGTCGAAACAGTGGAGTGGGAGAGTAGTCTACGTGGGACAGCTAGGGAAGAAATCTGAGAGAAATCTCAAAATCTACCGAGCAATATCGGCAAACAAGCTACTACATATCGCACACTCACTTGAGGCCTAAGTGGGGGCAACACCAGGAACGCAGCATGGGAGTTAGACAGAGAGCCAATGGGAGTGCACCAGCATGCACAACCACACACATGTAACAGCCTTCTTCTCACTTGATTGGCGCGTATGTTGTTTTTGAGAATTCCTAAAAAAACATACGCTCCCACTTACTCCCACCCCCGCACTAGAGTATTTGGGAATCACTTCTGAGAATTCTCAAAAGTGACCCCCGCACTAGACTTTCTCACAGACTCAAAATGTATTTTACCCAGATTTTCCAACCCACACAGACCTTCCCATATGCTAGAAGTTTCCACCTCCCTCAGACTTACCAACCCACGACCTCACTTGGCGCCTATGTGGGAATTAGGGGGGGAGCGAGGGGGTTATGCTTGTAGGACTTGAAGCATATGCAGGAAAGTTGAGTCGACTGAACCTTCGAGTCGGCCGTAATGTTTGAGTGGACTCAATTGATGAGTCGATAAAAAAGTTTGAGATGACTCGAAATGAAGAGCAGCGCAAACTCACTTGGCGCCTAGTCGGGGCAGCAGGAGAGCAGCGAGGGGGTCTGACAGCCAATGAAATTGCGCCAGCAAGGCGCAGATGACTCGGCCCACGTGTTCGAACCACGACATGACGCTGATGCCCAGAAGCAGTGCGGGGGAGAAGCAGCGCGGGGTGACCAGGCGGTAAAATTCTTCTGCTGGTGTTAGGCCTGGTCGAGGGAGGATGAACGGCTGAGGAAAAGAACATAGAGGAGGAATGAAAAGAGAGAGAACGAGACGAGTGAGAAAATGAGGGAGACGAGAGAGGGTTACATGACCAGACCAGTCGAAGTCACTTCAACATCACACCCACCCCTCTCTCCCCTCCCTGATGCTCGAACCACGACATGTTGCTGATGCCCAAGAATAGTACAGGGGAGAAGCAGCACGGGGTGACCACGCGGTATAACTCCCCCCGGTGTCAGGCCTGGATGGGGAGGGATGCAGGGCTGGAATGGCTTGGGATGGGGAAAGAGGCTTAGGCGAATGGAAAACGTTGTGAGCGGAACGCGTGTTTTTTTTAAGCAGCGATGGGTGACCAGGTTGTAAAACTCCTCTGCTGGCGTGAGGCCTGGGCGTGGGGGGGTGAAGGGCTGGGGAAGGAAAGATAGAGGAATGGAAGGGAAAACGAGAGGAGAGAGAGTGAGGGATTTGAGACAAAGCGGTTTCCTGAAGAGACCACAGTGGGAAGCGGCTTCTTGGGGCCATTGAGGCAGAGGCAGAGAGACATTAAAAGGCAGAGAGCCATTGGGAGGCAGAGAGCCATTGGGAGGCAGAGAGCCATTGGGAGGCAGAGAGCCATTGGGAGGCAGAGAGCCATTGGGAGGCAGAGAGCCATTGGGAGGCAGAGAGCCATTGGGAGGCAGAGAGCCATTGGGAGGCAGAGAGCCATTGGGAGGCGCGTGGTAAAAGTGATGTTTCGAGACATCTCAAAATATCACTTCTACCACGTGGCAAAGCGGTTTCCTGAAGAGACCACGTTGGGAAGTGGCTCCTTGTAGCGGGAGAGAGCCATTGGGAGGCCAAAACCGCTGCTGCCAGGCAGCCCATGCTGTGGCCCCCGTCTTGTGTCCTGCCAACGAACCTGCTATTCCAATACCACGTGTAGAGAGAGTATTTTTGAGACGTCTCAAAAATACCCTCTCTACACGTGCCGATGCTGTGGCCCCCGTCTTGTGTCCTGCCAACGAACCTGCTATTCCAATACTGGGGAAGTGGGTTACTCACAGGCGAGTAGAGGCAAACAGAGACCACTCTGTCCCGGTTGCGAGCAGCCAAGACTGCACCGACAAGGCAGCCCATGCTGTGCCCCACGACATGGAAGGAGGATATGTTGAGCGGGGCCAGTACCGTGCGCTCTATCCAGCTGCTCGCAGGACGAGGTGGGGAGGAGAGGGGAGGGGGAGGGGGGGAAAAAGGGGAGAATGTGGGGAATGAAAGGGGAGAATGTGGGGAATGAAAGGGGAGAATGTGGGGAATGAAAGGGGAGAATGTGGGGAATGAAAGGGGAGAATGTGGGGAATGAAAGGGGAGAATGTGGGGAATGAAAGGGGAGAATGTGGGGAATGAAAGGGGAGAATGTGGGGAATGAAAGGGGAGAATGTGGGGAATGAAAGGGGAGAATGTGGGGAATGAAAGGGGAGAATGTGGGGAATGAAAGGGGAGAATGTGGGGAATGAAAGGGGAGAATGTGGGGAATGAAAGGGGAGAATGTGGGGAATGAAAGGAGAGCAGGCAGATCCGCAGCTATCAGGCAGCCCATGCTGTGCCCCACGACATGGAAGGCGGATTTGTTGAGTGGGGCCAGTACTGTGCGCTCTATCCAGCTGCTCTTGGAGGAAGTAGGGGGAGGGGAAGTCGGGGGAGGGGAAGTCGGGGGAGGGGAAGTCGGGGGAGGGGAAGTCGGGGGAGGGGAAGTCGGGGGAGGGGAAGTCGGGGGAGGGGAAGTCGGGGGAGGGGAAGTCGGGGAGGGGAAGTCGGGGGGAGGGGAAGTCGGGGGAGGGGAAGTCGGGGGAGGGGAAGTCGGGGGAGGAAGGTTGGGGAGGAAGGGTTGGGGGAGGAAGGGTTGGGGGAGG